CTAACGATGTGGGGTGGGAGTGTGTCCAGTAGAATTGTTTTGCTGTTATAGTCCATTTTTGATATGTAGTGTGTAACATAAGCAATATCAAGAATGTGGGTTTCTACAAAAATAAAGTGAAATAGCCAAATATATATTAAGGTTTTCATGTTTAGTGCCACGCATTGACATGCATGAGATCAAACGAATAAAACAATGCTTTTTATCGTTTTCATAGCAACTTTGCGTTTTCTATTGTTTTCTTGCTTTATTGAGCAGAGAAGACTATTTCCTGTCGGTTTTTAACTTTAAAACGTTGCTGGTCAACTTTTGGTCTTTGATTATCTGGTATGGAAGTTTGTTTGGCAACAGATTTAAGCCCTTTTACTTCTCTTTCACTCTCCATTTTCCTTCACAATTGTTCGCTCTTTGAAAATGCAGAGCAGATTGCTTAAAGCTGTTTGAAAAAAAGAATAAAATAAAACTGCAAAATACAAAACCATGTTTGGAAACAGACAAAAAATGATTATATTTTATTTTCCCAGTTTATCTCATAATTGATGCAATTCAATATAAATTTGGCTCATGGGTATGTTTACTGAAAGATTATTTGTTCAAAATATTGTGTGACTCCAAAAATATTGTATTATTCCAAAAATACTATTGCTCCATTTCAGCGGTGCATTGAGGAGTTGATTTTAATTGGCTACAAATTTCTTCTTAGCCCTCGAATTGAAGTTCAAATTAAATAGAATTTTATATGATTTTAAAATGAGTTTCCATTGCTTTTTTTAGCAATTTTTCCTTTACATGACACTTTTTATTGTCTGTTTGGTATTTTTTGAATATTGCCCCTGTTTTACATGATGAGATGATATTGCAACACAATATTTACTTTAAAATTTAATAGCTGGAGTTTAAACCAAACGAATTTATTAAATTTATCAAACAATATCAATTACAACAGTTGAATTTTGTCTTGAATTGAATCTATTTGAACAACACCTGAAAAGAATCAATTTTATTTAACCTAACTAAAAATTATTTTGAATTGGAAAATAAAAATGTAGGTCCTATTAATCCGGTGTTTGTGGGTAGTAAAGCTCCGTCAAAAACATCTCAGGAATTGGATGAATTATGCAAAAGAGTGGAATGCTAAGCTGTTAGAAAATTGAAATTCAATAGGAAATTAGTTTTAATTTAGCTTTTTCTGTTTATGATATTTCTTTCTTCTATGTCTGATTTCTGTTTGTAATTATTTTGTAATTATTTTGTAATTTTATTTAATTTTATTTAATGTTATTTAATGTTATTTAATGTTATTTAGTTTTATTTAGTTTTTCTGTAATTCTGTGATAATTCTGATCAATGTCTATATTCTGCAAAAAGCATAATCAGATACAATGAGACTCCATTAAACCCAAATGTATCACTTAGTCAAATGGTATTCTGTGTCCTTCTTTTTTTTTCAGCATCTCAGAAGCTGCGATTGCACTAGGAATTTTAATACCGCAGCAATCGCCCCATGTATGAATATGGCCACCAGGTAGTCCTCCTTCAGAGTGGGGATCTAATCCCTTTTTGATATTATCACTTTCTTGATTATCATATTCGTCATCAGTATGATTGTGACTATTTTTATGATCACTCTCATAATCATATTTCGTTACCCTATTCTTTGATACACCTTCTGGTGCTTTAATTATATTACCAAAGAAAAAATGTTGAATAATTGGTAATCTGTTCAATACCTCACCTTTATACATTTTAACCATGCCTTCTGCAACTTTTTTCCATGTCTTGACCCCAGATATATCATCTAGCATTGGTGAATGCCATCTTAAGGAGGCAGTTTTAACATCGTTGATAAATGCAATACAATGGAAATACATGTATTTATTTTCAAACATTTCAATGTAATCTTTATCATGAATAGACTTTGGTTTCAAATGCTTATGCAAACTCAACTGAGAGGCACCAAATAAAAATGGCAAAAAATGATAATCATCTAATCCCCAAACACCATGGGAACCTGCTGGCTCCAACCAATATTTCTTTTGTAATATTCTCATAACAGAAAGATATTTAATAAATATTTTCAAAACAATTGCAGTTGCATCCCAATCTAAATTTAAAATATTTAGGTTCTTTAAACATAATAAAAAACAAATGAAATTTAACTCATGACCTGATCCATAATCGATTCTAGTTCTATTTCCCCATGATTCATTGAAATACACACATAATTCTATCCGTGGATCCTGAGTGGAGTCGATAAGAGGTCCAAGATCAGATATTCCTAGTAGCAAATCGTTGGATTTAAGTGTTATCTCATCATAAAAATCCCTAAATTCAATTTTCCCAAACCTTGAAGTTTCTTTATCTTGAATCACAGGATGCAGCTCAATTATATCGCCTACTTTATCCAATATATGTAATATTTGGTTGACAGATTCGGATACGTTGCATGGTGCATCGTTTTCCTTTCCCTTAACTGCGAGACTGAGCTGCTCAACAAAATCGACCACCTGAGTATAAGAAAGGGAACCAATCCACTTGTTCAAATCATCTGGAGACAAAACCCTTCTAACGGGCTTTATATATCCACCAGCAGGCTTTGTAATTGCTATCGATTGGGAAATCATTTTTCAATTGGAGCAGAAACTGAAGCAGAGTTTAGAGTAACTTTTCTGGTGATAAAGAAGAGTTTCCAATCAGCTGCACATCTCTGTTTAAAGCACGTGATATGCGTATGTAGACGCATATATATATAAGTGCATGAATAAACATACAATTGCGTACTCCGACATGCTGGTTCTAAGATTTTAATAGACCAAGTTATTGTTAAAGATAAAGGCATGATTAATTAAAAATGTCAAATAATTAAAAACTGTTAGATGTTAACTGGATTAGTAAGCCGTTGGTAAGCGGCCTCTCGGTTATTACCCAGAACATGTGATCTGGCTTAGTGCCGGTATTACTTCCGGTTAACCTCAGTCCCTATAAAAGATTCTTCGTGTTGTAAGGTGCTTGGATCTCACAATCCGGTTGGGCAACAAAAGCTAGTAAAGCTTCTTTCCCTAAAAGCAATACAACTCAACACAACGTAAAACACAGTATATGCAATAAACAATAAATAACTAATTATATAAATTATAAAGTGGAAACAAACTAAAAAATCTACAAAAATAAGCTCGAAATAATTTCAATGTATTTTGGGCGATTGAAGACTACTTTGAAATGAAATTTCTTTAATGTTGGCCAATCTCTGGACATTTCACTTGCTAAAAAATGAAATGCTATTAGGCAAAATTAAATGACTTATATTGCTCCATACAGGTAATTGATTGGCATTTTCTAATGGATTTAACGACAAATCCAATTTCATATTATGTCTTTCTTCCAATAACAAACTGAACTGTTTGTTGAACACTGTTTTGAAAATAGAATTTATTCCAAAATATTTTGATTAATTTTGATTAATTCTTTTTATTTTATTGTTGCTCAAATCTAAATATGAACAACTGTTCAATTGTTTTAAAGCTATTCATGTTTTAGTTTTGTTATTCCGAAGATTCAAAATTTTCAAATTGCTTAAACAATTCAAATTTGTTAGTTCTGTTATTTTGTTATTAGATAAATTCATTTTAGTTAATATTTCTAAACATTGACTTTCTTTGGTAATTTACAACCCAGTAATACTGTTCTTTGATAAGTTTATCATACTCAAGTTCACTAATTTTTCAATGTTTTTGACAGTTTTTATTCTGTTATATAATAAATCTATTTCGAAGAGATTGATTATTTGGTCCACATTTTTAATTTTTGATATATCGTTATAGGACAAATCAATTTTTACTAAATTTAGCAATGTTGAAACAAGTTTACTAATAGCTGTAATGAAGTTTTGTTTTAAATTTAATTTCTTTAAATTGAAAAAACTTTCAAAGGCGTCATCAGTATTTCTGTTGAGATTATGAGAAATATAATATTTTTAAATTTGACAACCTTTTTAGCTTGTTAATATTCGGAATCGAGTTAGCTATAAAATGCAACCCTTTCAAACTCAACAATGTATTTAAATTTTCAATGGACTTTCTACAATTATCTTCCAACTGAAGAATCTTTAGATTTTTGAGCTTGGACAGATCAAGCTTGGAAATTAAATTGTAATCTAACTCAAGTTTTACTAATTGTCCACACCTATCAAGATTTGAAAATAATTTTATTTTATTATAACATAAGTTCAAAGTAGCCAAGTGTTTAGAAAATAACACATTTTCTATAATTTCAATTCTATTCAATGATAAATTCAAATACTCTAACATGTCAGGGAACTTGATATTTTCCAATTTGGAACAACCATTTCTTTGCATGTTAAGATGCTTTAAACTTATTAATTTTGATACAAAACGTCTCACCTCCAATATATTTATTCTTTTTAATTCTAATCTAGTTAAGCCGAGTAAATTATTAGTAACATATTTGTCTGAGATGAGAGATTGAGCTACAATTTTCTAATTAGGCCTAGCATATATAATATAACATTTTTTTGTATTAAATTTGGGTTTGAATACATTATTTTAAGATATATGTTTTTGGAAAACATATTCAAATATTTAGTAAATATTTTAGTATCTGTAAGCGTTAATGTTAGAACAGGATCCGGGATGGCTCAATGATATGGAAACCGATAGGAACGATTAGAAGGATCATAAATTAGTTGAAGATTTTTATATATAATTTGCAAAGAAGCTATTTTAAGTACTTGATTGGTCGAGAAAATAAACAAAAATGTTTGTTTGAAAGAGAGTTTCGAGAAAATAGCGTTGATGATATGAAGTGGTAATCCCTTTAATAGATTGGATCTGTGTTGCTTAAATATTTTATCCTTAATTTTTGATATATTTTTTGTAATTTAAGTAATATCAAGAAGATTTATTTCTACCAAAACAGGCCCAAATATCTATATATACACAGTGAAGTTTCTAAGAAATATATATCATATGCACAATTATTTAAGTTCCACACATTGACATGCATGAAATCAAACGAATAAAACAATGCTTTTTATCGTTTTCATAGCAACTTTGCATTTTCTATCGTTTTCTTGCTCTTTTGAACAGAGAAGGTTCTTTTCTGCTTGTCTTCGGCTTCAAAACGTTTCTGATCAATTTTTCATCTTTGATTATATGGTATGGAAGTTTGTTTGGCGACAGATTTAGGCAACAGTTAAAACTGTTTAATTCGGAACATAGCACAATGTTCGCTAGTTCTTGTTTGTCATATTGATCAATGGATTTATTGTCTTGGTGCATGCAGTTTACCTGGCTCAAGTTACTTTTTACTGTTGCAGGATACTCATTCTTTCGGACGTTTATAATATTTGAAATATGTTTCAAAGTTTGTTCTGTTAATTTATTCGATTCCACCAACTGGTAACATTTTTTTAATAGTCTATTGACGTTTTTTACCAAATTTGTCACATTGATGTAATTTCTATCATACTCTACCACAATTATTGCTAATACAGTCAAAAATTGATTTAAAAACACAAACTCGACTTGAATACCCTTTTCTGTGGATTTATAAACTTCATAACTATCCAAAATTACTTCTTCATTCAAAAATTCATCTAAGTCAGAATTCCTAATTATATCTAATATTCTATTCAACTTTGTATTACTAATTTTAGTTGTATTTTTATGCTTGGAATTGCTATTATCATTGGAATTGCTATTATCATTAGAATTGTTAATTATATCAATATAATAATCTTTCACTAAACATAAAGGTATTTCTCCAATATCAAATCTGCATGTAACGGGTGACTCAACATATCCATATCTTCTTAATATTTCAGAATTTGGATATTCTCCATAGGTGTTGTATATTTGTTCTTGGCCTTTAATTTCCTTGACAGATTTCATTACTAGATGGGTTCTATTGTCATAAACCAAATTAGCATTAACAAGGGTGCTGTCTGCATTCAATAAATCGGCTACACAAACCATGCTTTTTAAAAATGTTTCATTTTCTTCTTCGACTTCATAGTCATTAAAATCATCATCCTGCTTGGAATGGTTTTTTTGCAAATCAATATCCTTTAATTCCTGTTTATTTTCATCGTGCATTTTTTCATCATCATCATTATCATCATCTTCATCACTTTTATTCCCCATGTCGATATCGAATGAGTATGACATAATAATTGTGGCAATCCTATGAAATAATTCTATGGAGTATTCTTGTGGTTTTAAAGATTCAATCCCTAGATCACGTAAACAGCTTGGAAATAAGTTATGGTACATTTCCTCAGCTTCTCTTTTCCCAATTCTCTCCAAAACCAACGAAGGTTTCAAATTATCCAATTCATTTTGTGACCAAAACATTGGAAATTTATTAAAAAAGTTATCATTTCCATTGTAAATGTCTGGTAGTATACTAAGATAATGATACCATGGACTTTGTTCTCCCAAATGATATTCATAAATCAAACATATAATCAAACCAGACCATGAATCATAGTTTTTCAGCAATTTGTTCTGATTACCATCTTTGAACTTGGATAAGCTGCAGGTATCAATATTCAATATCAAATTTCTTGGAATAGTAAATAACACTTCATCATTGGGAATATCCTGACTAGCTATTAGACCTATGCCAAAACCATTGGTCCGATTGTGTGTTTCGAAATCAACAATTTTTATCTTTGGTGACAATTGGATACCACAACAGTTTAACCAGTCTTTAAATTGATCTATTTTACTGTTAGTCGCCATCTTCCACTGTTTTTACTTCTCTTCTCACTAATTCTTTTCTTTCACCACCTATTTTCTGTTTTTTTCTTCAAAATATTTCACTCTTTGGAAAATCTAGCACGGGTCGCTTGAAGCTACCTAATCCGGACGAGAGAGAGAAGTAAAAGTTTGAGAACAATGTAAAAATTTGTATTAAATATGAATAGAAAAGAACAAAATAATTGATTAGTTAAAATAAAATAGATAATAATAGAAAATAATAGATAATAATAGAAAATAATAGAAAACAGAAAACAGAAAATAACAATTGTATGTCATTTAATAAGAAATTTTGAAGCTTTCAGTAATATAATAAAGAAACAATAAAATCAGTAAAAGAAAATCAAAAAGTATTAAAGAATAGTTGAGAACAGAAACAAAAAACACAAAAAACTAAAACTAAAATTTTTTTAAAAAATTTAATAAACAAAACCAATATTAATTTTGATCTCGAAAAAAAAAATACAATAATTAAAATCAAAAAAATGTGATATGATTACAATCAGAATGATCATATCGTTTTTTTCTTTCCTTACTTTTTTCACTTGCTTTAAAAATTTGTTCATCAAAGCATATTATTACTCATCAAAGCTGCCCGTAAATTTTTTTTATCCGTTTGTTTACTTCCTGGCCCATGTAATTTATTAAATCCAGAAACTATTGGCATTCCTGAAATAGCTAAATCACTAGTTGTCTTTGGGGGATTGGTTGGACTAGTATTGCCATTCATTTTTGGAGATCCTCCATAACCTCCCGATCCTCTAAATCTGGGCTGGGGTCTCGAATTTGGAGTTTGAAACCTTCCTGATGGACTAATAGGTGATTGATTTTGCGACTGTGGTTGGCTTGGAGGTCCATACATTTGTGTATTAATTGGAGCTGGCATTGGCTGACCCATGCCCATTGCTTGACCTTGACCCTGTTGTTGTGCTGGTGGAATTGGCTGTTGATAATACCTTTGATCATAATTAGTATTATTATTAAGCGAATTTGAGCTGTCATTAGCATTTCTTGCAACTGGATATCTAATAGCTCCTCTATATGGTTGAGATTGTCCAGGTGATACTGCTTGATTATTATAATTGACTGCTTGATTGTTGTAATTGACTGTTTGTGGCAGATTGGGGCCTCGGTATTGATTGTTATATTGTCCATTATACTGATGTTGAGGGGGTGGTGGTGGTGGCGGTCCTGATGGAGGAGGCAAACCACCTTGTTGAATTGGAGAACCCATTGGTGGCATTGATTGTGGTTGGACAGGCTGTTGCATAGGAGCTTGTTGTTGATAGTAATTGTCATTATTATAATAATTCCCGTTGTTATCATAGTATCCGTTATCATAATAATTGTCTTCAAAATAATCTTGTTGTGGAGCTTGTTGTGGAGTTTGAACGTTTTGATTTGGTATTGGTCCTGGTATTGGTCCTTGAACTTGACCTTGATTTGGTGCAAATCCACGAGTTCTTGAATTTCTTTGAGAATTTGGCAATGATCTATTACTTGAATTGTTCGTATTATTATTGTAATATTGTGCACCCTGAGGAGGAGCATTCATTTGTTGAGGAATTTGATTATAATTATCTCCGTATCCATCGTTAACATCTCCATAATATTGCTCTTGGTGAGGTTGCTGTGGGGAATAATTATTCATCCCAACAGGTGGTGCTGGTGGGTTAGCAGTTGGGACTGGTGGTGGTCCTCGAATTGGTGGTTTTCTTTCTTCGATATTAGCGTTCTGTGGAACATCTTGATTATAATTTGCAGGTCTTTTTGAAGGCGATGACGATCGATTTGGTCCATTATTTACATTTTTCCCAACGTTTCCATTATACTGATTGTATCCAGCTTGATCATATTGTCCATATGGACTTGTTCCAGGTGTGCTTCCATCAATGTTATGTACACTACCAGTAGAATCAAATGAATTGTTAACATCTCCCATTCTATTTCCATTTTCATATTCACCTCTTTCGTTAATAGGTTGAATATTTGGTTGTGGTTCCTTCTGTGCAGCATATGCTAGTGGGGCTACTTGTTGGAATGAACTTGTTTTGGATTGCACAGAGTTAATTGATAAATTGGATTGTCTGGCGTTGGAATGACGATTAGAGTTAATTGATCCGGGATATTTATTGGAAGGTATAGAATTGATATTTTGAAGTTGATTAGAATTCATAGAATTGTGTGATGGGGGTTGATTTGAATTATTTGAAATTCTTTTATTGGAATTGACTGATACCGTAGATCTATATTTATCTATTATGCTTAAATTATTATGTGAATCATCATCATCATCAATACTATCATCTTGTTCAGTAAAATTTATGTTATTTCGAAGTGGCGAGCTGTTTCTAGCCAGTTGACGACTGTTTCTTTTTGGACTAGAATTTTGTGGATAAAAATTGGGCACGTTATTAGTATCTAGTGTTTGAATGAATTTTTTATCGAAATTAGGATCAACAGGTGAGACTGTTGGTTCAGGATATGTTTCTATTTTTTCATCGGAATAAGGATTTGGGATTGCAGTGGCGCCAACCAAACTAGGATTTTTTAAAGAAGAAACAGACGTTCTAGCTGTATTTATTGGTTCATTTAAACCTTTGTCATCATTGAATGTATTTAATGTTGATCTTTTACTTTTAATAGAATTTATATTTGAGGAGGAAGATTTTAACTGCTTTTCAACTTCATCGGTTTGAAAATTCAAATTATCAATTAAATTGACAATTTCTCTCAAGCTGTTTCGACTATTTTTACTGCTAATATCGTCATAAAATTGAGATTTAATTCGACCAGGTGAAACAGGTGGAGAGATCATTAGATCACTTGGTGCGTAATAGTTATCAATCATTGATTTTGTAGGTGATTCATTACCTGAGACGGCTAATTTTTCAGTTATAGTTAAGGTGCTTTGATTACTGCTTTCAGGAACCATACTATTAGTGTTTTTATTATTAGCTGAAAGAGTGGATTCATGTTTGGATTGTGAATTTTCGGCAGTCTTTGGAATATCATCAAAGGTAAAAGCACCTAAAGGCATACTTAATCTATAATCATTAGTTTCAATTTCTGGCAACAGGCCGATATTCTCAGCTACAATAAATCTGGATAATCTGAAGTCGTCGTTTTTATCCTTTTCAATTTTATTTTTTTTACCAAACTTGAACATGTTTTTGAATTTAGCACCGGAAAAAGATCTGGCACTTTTAGATGATGAGACACTATCAATTGTATTTGTAGTATAGTGGCTACTTGATCTCGTAACATCACCGCCTTTAGATGGGTTTAAAAGAGGTTTATCGAAATCATCAACAATGACATTTCTTGTTTTCAGGGAATTGGGAATTGTATCGTTTTTAGGATCAGACAATTTGCATTCTTGAATAGCTAACCATTTAACTTGGTTTTTAGCGTAAGTGAACTCAGCTATGATTGTGTTGCCGAATAAAGCTCTTTTTGAATCTGAAGATTCAGGAGATAGTGAAGCCATCCAAGCCCAAATGTAATAATCGTCTATTAAGATTTTTGATACAGTAGCTTTGTGCAAAGGCAAGTTTGGATTTATATCTTCATCTTCGTCGTCTGATGATAAAATACTTGAATTAAGGGGAGCGAATTGAGGATACCAGCCGTTTTTCAATAAGGGATACTCGTTATCTTTTGATAATTTTACAAGGATTTTTGAGGATTCGTTGGTTAGTTTATCTTGGATGTCTAGTTTTGGATCTCTGAATAGAGATCTCAAGATTTTGTAGTGATTAGCGTCATCATATAATTCTGGTCTATCAAAGGATAAAGTTTTGCTAGCGCTTTCGATTAGTTCAAGTGGATCAGATGATAGGACCTGAGAGTATATAGTGACGATTGGAATTGAGGTTAGATGAGAGGAAGAGGAAGAGTTTTTGGGTGGATAAGAGTTTCTTTCTATTAGAGAGAGTAGGGATTTTTCTGTTGTTTTGTTTTTTTGCTTATCATTTTGAGCCATTCCTCTGATAAAGGATAAAAGTAAATGGAAAGTGGCATCAGCTGCAGGAGACCAAACCTTTAGACCATTAGAAAAAGAAGGTTGATTTCTGTTGTAATCGTTGATTAGATTTGAGTCGTTAGGAGGAGGACCATTAAAAACCCACAAGCCAGCTAATCGTGCAACTTTTCTTCCACTTAGTTTGTTTTCTTTTGTATAAGCAGCGATTCTTACTAACAAATCTAGAAAATCGTAAACTATTGAAGCTGAATCAGGAGTTGATAAGCAAGAGGGCATTATATCTAAGAAAGCAGTCCTGGGATAACCCTGCATTCTTTCTTGTTCTTTGAACTTGAGGTATGCATCCCACTCTATTATTGATTGATTTGGTAGTCTTGACCACAAGTATTTCAAAGAGGAGATTAAAGTGAAGACATCGGTTTTTGATATCACTGACTTAATAAGGGGTTTGTTGTTTATATTTTGCAACACATTTTTTAGAAAAAAAGATAGTTTTTTGTCGTCATTTTGGGATCGAAAGGGCAAAAAAATGTAGGGAGTCTGTGAACCATGTTTTTTAATTTCAGAGGTTAGTAGATGGATCAACTCACGTACAGTTGATGTGTGAAATTCCTGAAGAGATTCTATTGAATCCAAATCGTGGATTGAGTCTATGTCCAGTAAAGATGAAGATTGGAGATTGGAGGGAGTATGATATTGTTTCTGAGTAAAAGAAGGAAATCTTGAGGGATTTCTCACTTTGTTCATTGTTTGATAAATTTGTAAGATAACTCAGCTTTTTGCTTTTTGCTTTGATCTATTGGCCTATTGATTTACTAGTATTTTCAAGATTCGAATGTATTATGGAGTAGAGAGCTTTGTTTTTTATATATATGAAAATTGGATAGGGAGGTGGATCAATGGTGGAAGCAGCTGTTGAGAAAGAATTGAAGTGGATGAGAATATGAGATTGAAACAATAAGTGAATGAAGTGGATCGTTTTCAGATGGTTGTGTATATTGGTTGCTGTATTTAATTTAATTTTTTTTTTTTTAATTTTGATTTGAAAGAAAAGGAAAATGATATATAATAAAATCAAACAGGAGCCAAGGTAACTTTTATGGTTTAGATTAGTGATCAATAATGCTTAAAATAAAAACATAAACAAAAGAAGCGATATAAGATTGGCAAAAAAGTTAACGAAATGAACCAACACAGCACAAAGCCAGAAATACAATAACAACAACGATTTTTCTGTTTCTGATACCAATTGAAGGACCTGCTCAGATAAAAAGATAGGTGCTGATTCAACAACAAAGAAAACACCAGAAAACAATGCTGCGATTCTTGGACAAAAACTTTTCAGAGACAATAAAGCAAAAGGAACAATCAAATACTTCGTCTAGTGCTCGAAACAGCGAGAAAAGCGCTGAGAAGGGCCCGGTGCTGGAGGCAGGGTGTACGTTCGCTCCAGCGTTCGCTTGTGTTTATCTTTCGTGCTCGACTTCGGGAGTGCCCCGTGTATGCACCTGTGCAGCCGGATGCATTGCATCTCGCGTGCAAGCTGAGAGGCACCGTGGTGTGCGTTGCGCGTGCTTCAGGCGTTTCCGGCGGTGTGCAGCGTGCACAGCGCGGTCCGTGCCCAGTAAAACGGGTTTTCCGGCTGCTGACAGCTAGGGCACGGTGGCAGCTTTGCGACACGAACGGGCCGCACTGAACTCAGTACTGATTCTGAAACCGATTTGTTGTCGAAATCAGGTGTTTACACTATGGTGGATCAGAAACCAAAAGCAGACAATCCCAACAGAGGAACAGCCAGTCCACGCCAGGAACTCTCCGAAGACACAATGCATAGCTTCAGCTCATTTTCCTCGTATCGTTCAAAGGATGCGGGATAAAAGAAATATACATTTCATGCAGTGGCACAGATTCCAAATAATCAGGCAGGAATTTTTTTCCACATATTATTATTATTTTTTTGCAATACCAATCATATCCAACAATAGAAATATTATTGCTTTAATTTGAGGTGTGTTAAGATCCAAATCAAAAAAAAAAGCAACCATCCCATTCCTTTTTTTTATTCTTGAATTTCAATGTTGGTGAATAAACCTGGAAATCCAGAAACTGGATACCTTCATTTCCTAATAAAGGTTTTTTACCTGATTCGAGACTGTGTTTTCTAGTAGAATTGCTAAGCACACCTATAACTTGGTTAATAAAAACTGTGTCTAGAGGTCTAGAATCTGCGATGCATTTTTTCTCCGCGTTATTTACTTTTCAATATTTGTCAATATTTGTCAATATTTCTGGGAATTTGAACAGCCGAAAATCACTGAAATATCAATTCAATTGTATGTTTGATTAAAAATATGCGGGACTCTTTTTCCCGCAGCAGTTCCTGCTGAAAATACGCATAAATCAGCGGGCCTGAACAGAGATCTACCAACCTTAAACTATCTAAAAAAAACATTGATCAATTTCACAACAAAACCAAAATGAAAAGTTTGGCTGGAAAATTCAAAAAGTCGAAAATCGAAAAAAAAGTCTGCACAAACTCAAATCACAACCATAAACATAAATTACATGGTTTTTCGTTCAGTAGCACCATCCACCACCTCTTTTCCTCCACCAATCGGCAACTGCCTCCAACTTGGTCTGCCTTCTTTTGATTCCATTCATCGCACTAACTGAGCTGATGAGCTCAATCTTGTGTCCCTTTTCTCTCATTTCCTTAATCATTCTTTTATACTTCTCATCGCTGCTATTGAACCTAAAATAATCCGTCTCTTTTTCAACCAATATCTCGTTGGGAAGTAGTTGGTGGTGCAATCTGGGGAAGGATATGCTTTCTAACAATGTCATATCGTAATGGTATATTCTTATAATAGCCTGTAAAATCGACGTTGTAATTCTACTGCCGCCACTAGCTGATAAAACTAAATCTGGCAAATTCCCATTCTTTTTGTCTTTAATTATCACTGGTGCCGATGATGATAATGGTCTTTTGAATGGTTTAATGAAATTGAATATCGAAGGCTGTAATTTGAACTCGTTTTCTTTTGTTGGTATTGAAAAATCGTCCATCTCATCATTCAATATAATTCCAGTTTTACGGTCAATAACCATAGACCCAAAATATAAATTGACTGTTGATATCATGGAAATCGCATTGTCATATTTATCAACTATCGAAAAACTGGTTGTTCCATGGGGCTCATTGATTTCATACGCAGGCTTATAATCTTTCCAGCTACTTAGTGTAAAGTTATCATTAATCTTCATTCGAGCTTTGTCCGACCAGTCTTCACTCAAAACCTCCTCAATTCTCTGTTTACCTACTTTGTCATCATCATCATTATCCCCCATCAACGATCTAGCTGATGCCAACCATTTCATTGTCTCAACCAATCTCTGTGTAGCGATTGGTTCTAAATCATATTGTTCTTCCAAATCTTCTAGAGGAAACCCGTCAAGAATATTAATCGCAGCAATCAAGGCTGCTCCACTACATGCACTGGATGAGGTTGTATATACATCATATCGTGATTTCTTAAAAGATGTCTTTAATGCTGGCTCAACTTTAACATAATAATTCTCAAAGTCTTCTTTCGTTATAATCCCTCCATGTCTTTCTATAACATTAATCAATGAATTGACTATTGGTCCCTCAGGATCATAAAAAATTAAATCACTTCCATTATTGGCAATCAACCTTAATGTATTGGCAAAATTCTTCCTTTGAATTAAATCGCCTTCTTTAATTAAATTATTCTCATTGTCTTTATTAATTAGAAAATCCCAATCATCTGGATTCTTTAATATAGCTTCACCTAATCTTAATGCAACTTTTTCTAAAACAACACTAGCATTCCATCCATTCTCAGCCAATTCAATCACAGGCAATATCAACTCCCTCCACGAAACATTTCCCGAGCCATGCTTTTCATACAACGTATACAACCCTTTCAACTCCCCTGGAATAGCTATAGCTAGCCCTCCAAACTTAGCTTTGTCTTCTTGGTAATTAAACATATCTTTATATGCTTTTCTTGGTGCCATTTCCCTTGCATTGATCGTTATAACTTCATCTTTATCGTAGTTCGACGACAAAATAAATCCTCCTCCCCCAATACCAGCACTAAACGATTCAATTAACCCAATACATAAACCAACTGTAACTGCTGCATCGGCTGCATTTCCTTCATGGTCTCTTAAGATCGATACCCCCAATTTCGAACAGACTTCAACATCGCTAGTCACTGCTCCATGTTCTCCGGTTTTCAAATGTGTTTCATCCGGCTCAAAAGTAGAACTAAACTCTCCAAATCCATCTAATATATGTCCTCTATTTTCCAAGAGTTTACTAGAAATCCTCTTAAAGTATGAAAAATCATCTAAATAAAAAAAATTTTGATGCAAAAATTTAAAACTCCAAACCAATAAAATAGCAACCACTAAGGAAATCGAAAATTTGTAATTTGTACGTCCAAAGGCTCTTCTATTGAATGCAATAGCTTCTGCTGGATTCTTTTCAGCAACAGAAGATTCTTTAGCCATTTTCTGCAGTTTTTTTATGTTTTGTTTGTCCTTAATTTTCATGCTCTCTGTCCTTTAGAGAATAACAACCACAACACAGTTCTATGGTCGAAATATCCTCATCAAAAGCCATAGTCTGATCAAAACTATGGCGAATTGTCTCATAGATAAGCTGCGCGTCGCAATTCACGACGCTGCGTCTTCTGAGCGGCTCCCACGCACTTCTTATCGAGATTTTTGCCGTTTCAAAACAAGACGCAGAAATATTAAAATATAATGCCATATAATAAAATATAATATAACTTCATATTCATTACAACAGATATACCACAACTTCAACACTCAGCAACTCCTATATTATAATGATTCCTGTACAATTCACGATAGAGCTTAGCTCAGTGTTTGGCAATAGCCAGATCCTCCTTTCAGCGCCCTCCAATACTTTCATATCTCATTTACAAAATCATATTTTCTCTCTTCTCCCTTCATCAATAAACAATCTCAACTCATATTTTGTGACTTCTTCAAACAGGTTGATATCGAGCTATAATACATTACTAGAGCTCATTCAAATTGAAAATTGTAACTCAACCAGCAAAGGTTTTTTCAGCTTGCGACTATGTCATCGATTACTTGGTGGTAAAGGTGGATTTGGGTCTACTTTAAGAACTCAAAACAAAACAAAGTCCTCAAAATCTCTAGTTAATTCAAATGATCTTTGCAGGACACTAAATGGAAAAAGAATCAAGAACATTAAAAACACTCAACAGTTGAAAACCTACATTAGTAGCTTACCAGCTTTAAAGAAAAAACTACTTGAAGAAAAGAAAAAAAAATTGCTCGCTAAAATAAATAAAAATCCAAATAAAATTTCGCTTAAAAATCATGAAGGAATCAAATTCATGAGAGAGTCTGATGAAGCGATAAATGATTTATGCACAACATTAGACCAAGTCATTGGAAGTAATTATGACTATGATGATGATGATGATGATGATGATGATGATGATGATGATGATGATGATGATGAGGATTTGTTTTCTTTATCTGATATGAGCGATTTTGAAAAGAGATTAGATGATGATGGCAGTGATTATATAAATGATATGAAAGACATAAACGAAACTGGAACAAGCCAACAAAAAAATTCAAAATTTGAAACAAATAACAATAAACCTGAATTCATGCGCTTTTTTAACGATGATTCTGAATATTCTTCTGATGAAGAAGAAAACAATTTTATTAATTCTAATGATGATTTACTGAAAGGAAAATCAAAAGAGTCAATAAGAAAACATTTGATTAATTGATTTATATAATAAATTGTTTCTGATTTGTCCAGGCACTCGTTAATTAGTTATTTTTATAAGATTATGATGTGAGCTTTCATTACTTATATATCCGTTTAAATTTACTAACTACTAAACTGAAGTCACTACTGCTAATAATAGAATAAAGAAAAAAAAATAATTTTTAGATAATGATATTGGCTATAATTACACATCTATATATTGAAATTTATGAAACTTTATGAACATTTATGAGAACGAACAAACGAAAGCTAGAAATGAACAAATTGAACATATTCTGGGTATTAATGTAAGTTCTATATGCACAATGCAACAATGAAAAAAGCTAAGATTTGACCAAATGTTGTTAAATCGTAATTCTTTTTAGCACCTGAGGCCAAACCAGTATCTGAACTTGATTTTGAATCTAAACTTGAACTTGGACTTGAACTAGAGTTTGTATCATTTGTTAAAGTAGATTTGACTTCATAATTATAACAATAATTTTCAAAACATTCTTCACAAACATCGGGCAAAGCATCATTATTTCTATCAAAGGATCGTTTCAATATAGCACACCCAACACAAGTTGGCCAGTGGTCAGTATCATTTCCGTTGGTTGAGATTTCAAATCCATTTTTAACCATTGAAAGTTTTTCCTCTCTAGTATAATAAGTCAATAAAGTTGGCTTATTAGAATCATAACTATTTCTATGGTTTGCAAGATAAACAATTAAAGGAGGAATATTGCTTGAATTGGTAAAGTTTGAGGAATCACAACCAAAGAAAATTGGACTAGTTGTTAAGTTTTCTTTTAAAAATGTTTCAGCATCTGGAACATAGGGGAAAACAGTTGCATTGGCTTGAGAACCAAATTGTCTTTGATAAGTTCTAATTAGAGAAGTACCATTTGGCCAATTATCTTCAGTATTAGCACTGTTATCAAAACCAAAAATTACATCGACATTTCTTTCGGGTTGAATAAATGGAGCAAAAGGAATATTTTGATTATCTAACCCACCATCAACTAAATAAAGAGAGTCTGATTCGGATAGTGATTTACTTGTACCATAAGAAGACCCATAGAATGGATTTGGACCATAAATAGCAATGTCATTATTTATGCCATCAGCTTCACCTAAATTACTTAAGAAATCATTGAAAACAGTTGAAATAGTTGGACCTAGATTCAAAGTGGAAAATAATTGGGTAACGTTAAAGAAATTGAATAAAGATGACGAAGTTCCAATCAAGAAACCTGTGTTATCAAAACCAGAAATACACGATTCATTATTGTTTGGATAACCATTTGTTAGGTTTGAGCCCAAGTATTTGATATCAGCAAATGATTGAAGACTTGAATCCCAAGAACCAATTTCAAAAGGATTAACTTCAAAGACTGTTGAGTTTAAATTGATAATTTTTGTGTCAGGCATTCTACCATTGGCGATAATAATTGGGAATGGCATTTCAGCGTTTTTGAAAACATCAAATTCTCTTAAAGTAGACCAAGTTAGGGAATCAGCGTAATCTGTGTAATTGCTCAAAAATATCCTTGAGAGTAATCTGCCCCAAGCATCAGTTAAAGTGATATCAAAACCGGCGTCTTTTTTGGCACTAAGATCAGAATTGACTTCATTAAAGACAGAGTATAAGGAAAGTAAAGTTGAAGTTGAATTTAAATCTAAAATGCTGAAATTTAAAATCGAATTATACAAATCCCAAAGTTCATCTTGTTCAAAAATCAAATGCTGAGTACTTGTCCAATTGTACATTGAAAGAGAAGTAACTAGCCAACTAGCACCAGAAATCCCAGCAATATAAGTTACGGCATCCAACAACCCACCCAATCCATTTTCAAAAGCATCAGTAGTTCTATTATCAAAGGCAGCTAATTGACCAGTACTTGTTAATGTAGATCTTAAACCACCACCTGAAAAGGCAAATGCGATTTTAATTGGTTCGTCAAAACCATCAAGAAGTTCTTCAGGTAACTCAGTGTTATATTTCAAGAACTTTTTCAAATTTTCAAAAGTAATATCATCTCTTTTTGATAGCCAACTTTCTTCTTCTTCACTGATTGAGCTAGAATCACGAATTAGAGAGACGTTTGAGGAGGGACATTGAACAGTTCCTGGAGCATATGAATCAGTTGGCGACCAGGCATTTGAAAAATCGAAGAGATGGAAAGTTATCGGAACAAGTGAAAGTAATTTCAACATTTCGGGCCCTATTATACCACAGTGAGATAGATAGTTTGTTTCTTGTTTCTATTTTCAAAGTGAGAATGAATTTTCTGAGTAAACAGATAGATAGATAGGAAACAACAAGCAGTATATATATGAGTTACCAATACAATAACCGGCTGAAAAAGCATCAGCAATGCAGGATATTTCCTAGTATGGAATTGGGAACGAAAAAAGCAGCAATACTCGGATTATGTGAGCACTATTCTAGGAAGCAATAAGCTGCTAAGCCCAAGATAAAACAATTCGCAAAAAAAACCTACTGGTGGGACTAGAGAAAGATCAAAATGGCGACTACAGCCATAGAATACCACACAGAAGTTCCAACATCAGAGCTATGGCTATATCTAAATATATCGCAGCACACCCAATCAGAGCACGGAACGCCCTCTTTGGCGCCCAAAAAGGCAATACAAAACATGACTAATTTTCAAGAAACGTCCAAATGGTCTCACTGGAGTTATGCGTAATGCGCATTGATCCACAGTTTTTATGCATTATGTGCATGCACTCACAGCTTCCACCACTCTGGTCTGATTTTTCTACACACAAAAAATGGAACACGAAGAAAGAGCTGGTGGAGTTGTGGGCTTGTTGGTGTTGCCAAAATGGTGCAAGTAGATGATGTTGCTGGCATGGAGGAAGCAGTTGGTTTCTCGCCAGTAAAGCTTCCGCAGTTTGATGTGTCTCTTCTTTCCAGTGGCGGTTCACGAAGAAAAAGAAAGATTAGAAAGATATCTGGAGATGAGCTTAGCTCACTAGAAAAGAAAGTGAGGCTGTTGAAAGATGATAATCTAAAGTTGATAAATCAAATTAAATCCATGAACAATCAGAACCTGGTATCAATTCTATTGAATGATTTATATCCTGACGATATTTGGAATGATATGAACCAAGTTGATACTGAAAACCCAAATGATAAACAAGAATCCAATGATATAAACGACATTTTAGACAACAGCCTTAATGATTCAGTTATCAATCTACTAAATACCAAAGTGGACGTCTTTGAGATTATTAAAGGTAATAACAAAGACAATAATCTCCAGTCAAAGACTGCCTTATTACCTGATAGAGACAGCAAATCGCAAAATCTAGTAATTGAAGATGTGTTGAAAAGTTTAAAGAAAAAATCAATAATAAATAAGTTTAATATGGAAAGCGTATATCGAATGTTTGGTGTGACTTTTTTCCCTTTGAGTGATTCAACTTTATCAAAATTGGTCGATCAAAACCAGAATAATAACCAAACATCCCAAATATCTTTGATTGAAGAGTCAATTGACTCTTCAACTCAAGATTCCAAAGCCGATGAATCACTACTAGGCATTCGGTTTGATTTCTTTAACCCCAAGAAAAATCAATTCGAGATCCCCCATTATATCATACTAAAGAAAAACCCCAAAAATGGAATATATTTTATTTATAAACACACAATACCAATTTTTATCAATCTAATTTATTTGGAGAAAAGTTATTTAAACAATTTGAGTAATTTAAGTTATAAAAACTTATTCGATTTTAGTAAAATTGTTTATAAAAAATTAAATTTCTTAAATTTAAGAAGAACACTTTTTTTAAATGACGCCATAATAATTTCAAATGTTTATTCTTTTAAAGTAATTGACAAAAATTTATCATTCACCAAGATTCTAATTCAATTTAACAATATAAAATTTCAATTGATTTTAAACTATTATAACATTATTGAAAATGTTATAATAATTCAATCCAATATTAATTCAAATCAATTATTTTTATCAAAAGATTTAAAAAGCACTATAAATGACAATAGTACTACGAGTAATAATGTGGATAATAGAAATTATCAGCTTAATCCAACAATAAAGTTAAAATGTGAAAACATTTTAAAAGGAAATATAAATAATTTTGAAGAAAAACTCGAGAAAATTATTCATTTATTATCATAATACGAAAGACAAAAAACAAATGAATCTAAATAAGATTAAATAGTGACCAAGAAATTGAGAAATAAAATTAGCAAAATATTATAACAGAGTATAAATATAGAAGAATTGGATGTGAAAAAAAAAGATTGATATTAATATTAAAACGTTTTTATTGTCTTAAATTTCTTTCATATTCATATATATCCTTCTCCAAACCTTTTTCAACATCTTCCCAAGTTGAAATCATATCCTTATAAAAAGTAATGTAATTATCACCGAGATTAATTAGATTATCTTTAATTTCGTTATTTTTGATTACATCAAAGTATTGAACTTCGTGTAATATTTCATTTTCAAAAATTTCAGTGATTTTTTTAGTTTTTGCCACTTCTTTTTCTAGTAGTTCAATTTTTGAGTTTAATTTGATTAGTTTTTCCTTTTTTTGTAATTGAGTATTGACACCTCTCAAGTCATCAAATTTTGAACTTAAAAAGCTACCAGTGGAGCCACCATTTGTGATTGTATTTTTTTCGTTAATTGCTTTGCTTAGATATTCGGTCAATGCTTCATAGTCTAGTTGTTTTTGTTCTTTTAGTTTCATTATACTTTTGATTGAATATATATAATTTTCCAAGTCCTTTAATGAAGTTATGTAGTCATTATCAATATAAGTTTTCAATTTGTTTAAGCCATACGATAGTTCTTCCAAACCCTTTGAGAATTTTTCGAAATTAGTAATACTAGGTTGAGAATTTGAGTTTTGTAAAGCTTTGTAGTAGTTAAAATTATTGGTAGAGTTATTAAAGTTGGTAGTATTGAAGTTTCTGTTATTGTTGTTATTAGAAGTGTTATTTTTGGAGATACTATTGTTTATAGGTGGTGGATTTAAAATTGAATCAAAAGTTAAATCATTGTCTATTTCTAGTTCGTTTAGTCTTAAAACTTGTTTAGAGAAATTGAGATAATTAGTGTCCAAGTCGCCAATTTTTTTAACGTATTTTTGAAACACTTTGTCGATTTTGGTGATATTTTCATTCAACTTATTGCATCTTTCATTGATTTCTAGAAATTCTTTATTTGGCTGTTGTTGAGGGGATTTAAAAGCGTTCATTAATGCGTCGGATAAGGTATCAACCATTGAGGGGGCTGACGAGATGGATTCAAATATTAAATTTTTGTCATTATCGTTAGTTGATTTTGATGAAGAGTATATGGAGTGTTTTAAATTGAGGTTTTTCTTGTAGGAGTTCCAATCAGCACTTTCTAGGAAAATAAGGTAAATTTTTGCTCTTTTTAGTACAGGATGCAAAGACAATCTTTTCAAGAATCTGTTTAAAGATGAACATCTTTTATTTGTGAAATCGTAGCCAAAACGATCACCCTTGATGTACTCAAGTCTCTGTTTATCAGGCAATGGAGGTACGATACTGGCTGGATAGTCGTTTAGGAGACATTGGTAGAGCAAGTAGAAATCAGAGAATCTTCTTCTGACCTTGATATTTTTGGATTGGAAAACAGGATTGTTTGTGTGGGTCTCGATAAGATAAGAAATAAAGGCATTTTGGCCATCGCTCTCCTTTTGAGGGCTGGACACTATGGAATTGATATAGATGGTCTCGTCGTCAACGATTTCCGAGGCCTTTGAGGCAAGAATGCTGTCCAACTGACTGACATTTATCTTTGGAGCAGATAGAGAGGCAGAGACCTGGTTCTGGGCAGATGAGCCAGGGATGCTTTGCATATTGCTGGGGCTCCAGCTGGCTGGAGGATACTGGCTGGCCATCTCTAGGTGGTAAGCAACAGAAGGCGTTGTGTGAATTGCTTCTGACTCCAAGGCAGCAGTTGCAACAAACCCTGAAGCAGAAGAAACCACAGCCATTCCTCTGTTGCTCTCTGCGGCAGTGGCAAACTGCCGACGCTCAGCGCCGCTCGCGTGCGGACACATCCAGCATCTCCGCATCTGCTTCTTCTGCTTCTTCCTCTTCCTCTTCCTCTTCCTCTTCCTCTTCTTCTCCTTGTTCCACATCCACTTCCAACACCACGTCGCTATCAGCATCAGCGTAAGAGTCACACAAACACCACACTGTGAGCTGGTGGTGTCCAGGCTGCGGAATCGCCACATCCAACTCAAATGTCTGTTCTTCCTTGTTCAAGCTCGCCTTTTTAAAGGCGTAGAACTGCTTCGTTTTCAAATCACCAATGACTATCCACCAGCTCTCCATCTTGCTGAAGGGATAGTAGGGTGCTACCACACTTGCATCCTCCACATCCTCATCTCGCGTTATTGTAACGTTGATAATCGTTGATTCATTCGCGATTATGGGGTCCTCTGAACCCAACTCGCAACTTATTTCAATGAATGGATACTTGTTGAGAAACTCAACTGCCTGATGTAGCTCATTATTATTGACCAAGCTCAATATCCTGAGTTTTTCGTCATCGTCTTCTAGCGAAACCAAATCCGAAACATTTTCAATGTCATTTTCTTTACACCTGCTAAGAATACCATCGTTTATAAATGGTATTTGTTTCAACGGACTGTCTTTGTCCCAAACAGCCTGCACAATCATTTGACTCAAATACATCCCATTCAATGCTGTAAGATACCCATCGCTCGACAATATATCGATTGCTGCATTCAATAGACTCAAAATTTTAGACAAAACAAACTTTTGATCCGACACTAAATCTGGTGGTAAATTGATTCTTGAAAAGTGCGCCTGCAATAATATAAATGCCTTGAAATGTGGCGACTCAAACGAGTTTCTTTGTTTCCCCATCGACGTAGATTTAAGTGGTAATCTATTGTAAATTCTTTCAAGAATCTCATCTTCATGGTTTCTTATAGTCAAGTTATCAAATTCAACTGATAATGTAATAATCTCCAAAAGTGTTTTCAAATTGATCTTATTATTAAGTGACAACATAAAAGTTTGCATAGTATTAAACGAAATATTATAATATGCTGCTATCATTGCTCCATTGAGTGGAACAATATGCTCTTCTTCATCTTCCTCCTCATCCTCCATATCTTTATCTTTATCTTCATTTTCTTTCTCATCTCCATCTTTATCTTCTCCACTTTCCTCGATCAAAATTAATTTCGCTTCTGATAAATCTTTTAATGTGTTCTCTACCAATTCGGATAGATATTCTGATAGCCCTAAATTAGACGTATCTTCAACACCATAATACGTTGGATTATATTGCAATCTTCTATAAAAAAATGAATATGTCAACCAATCAATGCAATTTTGCTGATTTTCAATAATCTGAATACTAATCTCATTAAGAAATGAATCATGAAGAACATTCTTCATCTGACTTTCAATTGGTATCCCGAAATTTAAAAATCGTTTATAATACTCTCTTTTCGTAGAATTGGTCAATATCACTGATCTTCCAACTCCTTCTTCATCTTTCGATTTAGCCGATCCAATCATCTCCAAAATTTCATGAATAGAATAATCAACATAATGATGCTCACTTCCATCATAGTATTGTGTACTTAATATCACAACTAAATCAGCACTCGGACTATAAAAACATGTCTCTCTTGTTGATAGTAATACGCTTATTACATTATCTTTAAACAACTTTTCAACTATCAGTCTGTCATTGTCATTCATGTTCTTGTAAAAAAATCCAATACCGTTATTTAAACATTCCTTCAATGTAATATCAGAAATTCCTTCAACTGTACCTTCTCTCAATTCCTCCTTTAAAAACGATCTTTCTTCTTTATTTGCCAATTTAATTAATTCAAATCCTATTTCAACACACTGCTTTCTTGAAGGAATAAAAACCACACATTTCCCTTCTTCAGACACATAATCTTTAATTGATTGATACGTAGGCTTTATCATTGATAAAATTAATGAAGGATTATGTTTAATATTAAATGACTTGAGATGAATCTCCAAGGGTTTAAATCTTTCTGTCGGCTTGAAATTAAAATTATTCACTTTATCAACTCCTAACCATTCCCCAAAATCTTTTCCATTTGCTATTGACGATCCTAATGCAACAATTCTTAATCTGGAATCATCCAATTGAGCAGAAATGAATCGCATTCTTGAAAGAATAATCTCATAAACAGCACCTTCGTATCCCTCATCTAGTAAATGACAATCATCTGCGATTAACAATTCAATAGAACGAATGTTTTTTCTTTGTCTCCACCTACGAGAAACTAAATCAAATTTTTCAGGTGTAGCTAAAATTAAGTGACTTTCAGCTAAAATTTTCAAATCATTTGACAATTCTCCTGAAATTTTGCCAATGGTTTTCCCACCAGCAATATCAGAAAAATCTTTTTTCCATTTCGAATATAAAATTTCAAGTTTTTCTTCACAAGGATGAATATAAACTGCTCTTCCACCACCATTGTCCCAATGTTGAAACAACGCTAACTCGGCACAAACTGTCTTTCCTGAACCCTTGGATGAACCAATAAAAATATTTTCATTTGAATTGTACAAACATTCAAATACTTGTGATTGAAATTTGTTGAAGTGTTCAAAATCAAAGTAGTCTTTAAAAGACTTAACTCCCAATTGAGATGTTGAAACCAATCGCAAATCTAATAATTCAGTAGGTGACAGAAATTTCTTGGGTAAATATAAGTTATTGAAGGATACAGCCTTTCTGCTTTCACTGTTTAACCACTTATCTGAAACTAACGTTATGAAATAATTTGGAGGTAGAACATTTTCAGGTAGTGAAACAGTAAATTCCAAATAATGCTCTTGGTTTATATATTTCTGTCTCACAATAAACACATCATCATATAAAATGTTTTCACCATCGCAATCCTCAACCAACAATAAAAATAATTGTGAAGCTCCATGGAGAGAGTAATCCCAGTTCCAGTTAGGTGTAAGCACAAGTTCAAATTTAAGCAAACTAGGTGTTATAGGAAAAATATTACATTCTATTTCGACTTTAGGAAATTTTTGAAGTAAATCAAACGCCAATTTTCCAAACTTTTCTGAACGAATAGCTTGACTGACTTCTTCGGGATTTTCTAACGTGAAATAATGAGACCATGGTAATTGAGAATTTTCAGTTTTTCTAATAATTTCATATGGACAATTTGGAAATTGTCTAAACAAAGAATTAGAAGACCATATTCTTTGCTCCACCATCTTGCATAAATTCAAAACAATTTTTGTTAAGTTTGACCAACCTTTTTTCAATGAAATTTCATATATTGCTCTTAATAATCTTCCTGCCGATTGCGTTATAAAAATCATATCTGACATTAAAGCAAACCCTTCCAATCTTAGTCTGGAAATATAAGCTTGTAAAAGTATATTAACCTTTGATAATGGAACATCAGCAGACTCTCTTATGGGTATTGGAGCCTTTTCTAACAATCGATTAATTTCTAGCTTCTCTTCTTGTCGAATCGGAATGTATTTGAACTCAGAAGACATGGAGAATATACTCAAAACTTCTATAGGAGATAAGTAAAACTTCAACTGTTGGTTATAAATGGCCATGGTTTCATTCGTAATATAGTAATGTGAAGCAATTCTGCCCAAATCTGTTGGTTGAACGAATTTTGTGTTTTGATCATATAGTATCAAGTTATTTTTGGCCAAGGTGATAAAAGATGAATGTATCAAATCCATTCTTTTATTATACAAATCATCATCATCTTTGTATTCAGGACCCACATTATATAGCTTTGGTGAGCGAGTCATTCTAACATATAAATATGTATAACCAAGCCATTTAATTCCATCGTCAAGAGATTTGACTGTCCCTGACACTACTTCAGCATTCAAATTATCCGCTAGTTTTGAAATCAATTGAGACTCAATAGGTAATTGCTGATTAAGAATCGCCAAATAATATTGAACTTCATTTTGTGATGTTATAATAATCCCCTCACCGCTTTTATCATATCTTGGTCTACCAGCTCTACCTAACATCTGAAGAATATCCTGTGCAGATATTTGTGTCCAAGCACCTTTGACAGGAGAATAAATTTCTGTTCCTTTAATTATAACAGTATGTGCAGGTAAATTAACACCCCAAGCAAGTGTCGCTGTTGAAACCAAAACTTGAATATAACCTTCAGCAAACAAGTCTTCCACAATAGATCTATCATCTCTATTTAAACCGGCATGATGGATACCAAACCCGGTAGGAATCAAATCTTTTAAATCCAAATTTTTACGATTTTGAGCCTCTTGCTTTAATATTTCTCGTGAACCAGAATCACTTTTCAACAATGAGCTTAATTTTTCCTCTTCTAATAACTTGTCTCTTATAAACTTTGCAGTCTTTGCAGTTTCTTTTCTAGAATGCACAAATATGATAACTTGATTTCTTCCCACGTTTTCTAAAATTTTTTCATAACAGGCATCATTCATTGCCTGAACTTTTTTTAATACTTTTTTTTCTGTTATTCCAATAAACTGTTGGGCGAGAGGACATGGTCTATAACTTGAATCAAAATAAAATAAGCCGTTGGATTTGACATTTAAAAGTTGAGCTACATCTTTGTAATTTGGTAAAGTAGCTGATAAACCAATCAATCTTATTTTTAAATCATCAGTTGAATCGTATAAGGATTCAGATTGTCTTAAAGTTCTAGCTATGATACTTTCCAAAACAGGACCTCTTTCGTCGTGTAAAAGATGGATTTCATCAAAAATTATCAAACGAACTAAATTAGTATAACTTAAATCTGTATTTTTTCTGGTGATGACGTCCCATTTTTCAGGAGTTGTTATGATTAGTTGGGTTTCAGTTATTTGTTGTTTAGTTAAGGAGGAATCACCAGTCAATTCGCTGACATTGATTCCCAAAGGAGATAATCTTCTTTGAAATTCTCTGACTTGTTCTTGGACCAAGGCTTTTAAAGGAGCAATGTAAACCATTTTAAAGGCGTCTTTATCTATTGAGTTATTAGCTTTGTTTCTAAAATTATCGATTGTTTTCAATATTGATAACATTGCAACATTTGTTTTACCACCACCAGTTGGAGCGCATAAGAGTAAATTCTGGTTAGTGTTGAAAGCAATTGGAAATACAGTTGATTGAATTATATTTAAGCTTGAGGTTTCCGAATCAGGAAAGGCGATTTGGGACCATTCAGGTAGGAAAGATATTGAGATTAAAGAAGATCTAGAGGTGTTGAACATTGAAACCGGAGGAGGAATATGAATTTCTTCATAAGATTTTTTTGTTTTTTTAAAAGAGCCTTGAGGTAGAGAAACTTTTGAAACCGTCATTAAATGGGAGCCTTGATCGAATTTTAAGGAATCAAGATCTACTAATCTTGGTGCTCTTTTTAGTTTATTTTTGCTCATGAAATCGTTAATCAAATCAACCATATGGGTGTCTTGAGTAATTTTGTTATTTTGAACGAATTTTTGATTTTTTGAAATGCTTTCAGAAAGTTCGTTATTTTTAATAACTTCATTGTTTGAATCAATATTATCTAAGGATTGAAACTGTTTAAATTCATCAATAAGGTCATATAGTTTTAGTGAATCCATTTTTTGAAAAATTCTTCTTCTTTCTTGAGGCAAATTTTGAATTTTTGATTCATTTATATTTAATAGTTTTAGTATAAAGACAATTTTGTAACGATTTAGGATTAGCAATTCGATAAATTTGAAGTGTTGGAAGTTAAATAATTCGACTAGTTCATTTTCTAGGGTTCTATTGTCTAAAATATCAAAGTTGTTTAATAAAGTGAGTGTCTTGGTAGTTAGATTGTCGGTAAAGGAAGATGAAGTGGATGAATCGTATAATTTTCTTATTTCTGTTTGTAGCCAATTTGAGCCGATTTTGTATAGTGGAATGGAAGTTTTAGAGATATTTTTATTGTTGATAAGATTATTGCGATTTGAGGAGAAAAAAGAATTTTTTAGGGATTTGTTTTTAAGATTCTGTTGGTTGATTTGAGATGCATTATCGAATTTTATTATTTCGTTACTTTCAATGTTTTCATTAATGTTCTCATTAATGTTTTTATTATCGTCACTTTCGTTGTCGTTGTCGTCAATCGGTGGAAAGATGTTGTCCAATTGGTCTTCATTTTCTTCATCTAAATGGCCGTTTATGAGATTAATATTATCGTCATCTTCGTCGTCTTCATTTTCATCATCGTCGAAATTGACCGCTATTACCTGCTCTTCTTCTTCTTCTTCTTCTTCTTCTTCGTTATTTTCATTATGGTTTGAAACCAATTGTTTTTCAAAATCATTGTCACTGTCCATATTTTGGTCCAGATCATCATCATCGTCGTCGTCGTCGTCACTTTCATTCTTTTTGTTTTTCTCTTTTTTATCGAATTCAAAATCGGAGATTTCGTTTGCAAGATTTAAGACGTGATTGAATTTATCGGTGGGGATGGTGATGTCGAATAGTAAAGATTGCAAGCTTTTGAGTTTTGAATGGTTGTTCGTGTTTTCATCTTTGAGGATGGATAGTAGAGAATCAGAGGCACTTCTAATAACATCATGGGAAGAGTCGTGGCCCAATTGAGAGGAGACCCAGGCCATTATTTGGTCAAACAGCATTGAGTTTTCAGTGGTTTTGGGGAAATAGTTCAAGCCTTCAATGTCATTGTCTAGAAGAGAATAGTTGTTAATATTATTGTTGGAACTTGTGAAATCAGGCACTGCTCGAGAGCTGGCAACCTCCTGCTGCTGCTTTGCAAAGCTCTTCCTGGCACTCTCGACCCCCAGCTGGTCTTCTTCGAGACCAGCTCTGTTCTTGATGGAGGAGCCCATCTGGGCCATGGAGATAGTACCTACCAACGACTTGGGCGCAGATTTGACAGCGTCCTCCTCGTCCCGGCGGGAAACAAAGCGCCTGTCGGCCCGGAGAACCTTGTTGGACATTTCGTCGTACTTGTAGGAGCTCAAGTTGTCCATTCTGCTGCTGCTGCTGCTTCTGCTGCTTCTGTTGTTTCTGCTTCCTCTTCTGTTCACAAAAAACGAGACCCAAATTTTGTCGCTGGAAAGACACGTGTGCAGCTGAGACCGCCAGTGTGGTGCTGCGGGCTAAATTTAACTTGGGCAGAGCGCCAAATTCTGGTAATTGCTCGTTGAAACCAGCTCTGATCTCTGCCAGCTCTTCTGCTGTTTCTGCTGTTTCTGCTGTTTCTGCTGTTTTTGCTTCTGTCTGTGGTGTTTTTTTGACTGCTCACAACATTCCTACCGTTCTTGCTGTCTTTCTGTCTTCAAAATGCACTTTTCCAACTGTTTTTGGTCCTCCAACAAAGACTACAAATACCAGCTAGACAATTTGTATTCCAGATTGGATCTCTCGTTGAAGGAACTCGACGAGATAATCAACTACATCAACAATGTCAAGATATACAACACAAAGAACTCTGACAACTTGAAGGCCATTATCAAGAACTCCTCTCCTGTTCTACTCAAGACCAAATCTGCCTTCTACAACGAATACAACCAAAGATTTCCCAACAACTCTGCCTTTAGCGCCAATGGCCATAGTCTGATCCAGAACACTGCAAACATCATAGATCGATCTGATTTTAATGGCTTTCCTTTAAATCACAACAACCTCAATATAATAGACTCAAATTCAAAATCCTTCATCAACAGCACCACCACTAAACCAAAAACTGATAGTAATAACAATAACAATAACAATAACAATAACAATAATAATCACTCTGACGATAATAGTAACCAACCAGAAAAAAAGAAAAACATCAGGTCCCTATACTCCAACTTTGAATTGCATTTAAACCATCTCAACGAAATTGACTATTCAAAGGATTCCTTGATTTTGCAAATCGATAATAAATTTCTCAACGACTTGGTCTTCTTCAGAAATAACTTTTTAGATTTTGAGACAAATGCCAAATCAAAATTAAATTCCTGTCTCAAAAATTATTCAAACAATTTGAAAATATCAAATTCAAATCAAATAGACTACTTTAATAAATCTAAAAATTACGAAGAACTAGAAACAATCAACAAAAATTCAAGCCCTCTAAACATTAATAACTTGGATCCAACCTCAAATAACACCTCTACAAACTCCACTTCTGCTTCTGCTTCTGCTTCTGCTTCTACTTCTCCTAATCACTCAAACTCTCCCTCCAATGATTTCTCTCTAGCAAAAACCCTAACAAACATTGATATCAATAAACTGATAAGAAACGTAACAAACAATATCAACAATAACCCCCATATCAACATCGAAAATGACACCATAAAAACCTCTTTCAAATTCCCCTTATCCATTGGCTTTTCTCACTTCAACGATTTCAATTCACTTAAATCTCTCCTAACCCATCTACACAATGACTTTTTGATTCTCAATCAAAGCAAAAGCCTTCCAAATGCAAACAAAACTCTATCTTTATTCAAAGCAAACAAAATCTCCTCTTCAATTGTCTTTAGTAATAAAGATCTATCCGATTGGCTCAAATTAAATAGAATCGACACTGAAAACACCATCAAGGAAATTGAATCGTTCGGCCAGTCTCTAATCAACTTGAAACTAATTAAAGTCTCCTATTTCAAAAATAATATCTTCTCAACTGTCGCTCTTTCGTCAAACTTCCAGATTTATGATGAACAAGCATTACTTTGGTACGAATTTACTGACTTGTCCTTAAAAATTATCAATTACACCTCCTCACTCACCCATCCCAATCAAAATACAACCATTGTTTCAAATACCAATCAACACACCACAATAGATAATCACAAAACTCTCACTGCAAATACCCCCAAAAGATCTTCTCTTTCTTTTGTCAATAATCTCACCCCAATTAACTCAAATAATAGCACCATCGATTCCTACAACAATATAACTTCCCCAAAAGACAACCAAGCTCTAAGTCCAAACACAAACAAATTTGGCTCTCTATTCACAAAACAATTTCAATCACTAACAAACCCAATCGTTAAAAAACAATTGGTTAAAGAAAACTTGATCAAATCAGAAGAAAACTTTAAAAATTCAATTGTCAATTTAGAAAGCTCCAAAAAATTCTTTGAAGCAAACTTTTTCAATATTTTAATCCAGTACGAAACTTTAGAGAAAAACAGAATCGCAAAAATCTTAGATTCCTTGAATTATTTAAGCTTTCTTCTAATGAAACAATCTGAATATGAAATGAAAAGATTTTCAATCTTAAACGATCTATTAACTGATTCAAATAACCTTGATGGTGTCACCTTTGAAATGAACGAAATCTTAAGAACCAACTCTTTAAGTTATTATACCCCCTTTATTGAATATAAATTCGAAAAAAATATCATCAGTAACTCAGCATCTGCAAATTATTCTACACTTGTTAATACTCCCTTATTCGGAAGCGACGTGTCTTTGTTAATCAAAGTTAATAATCAAAACGATTTAAAAACAAAATCTTTACCATTATTCTTAAGTAAAATATTATTACTATTACGTCTGTCCCTAAAATTTGAAGCTCTATCAAAACAAGAATCTCTCGATTTATCAAATACCTCTAGAGATTCATGGTTACAGCCTTTAAATATTTTAAAGGCTTATGAATTAAAAAGATTTATTCTAAATACTTTTTCAAATTTAGAGACTAAATTCTTAAATGAAGAAAATGGATTAAATGATCAAAATCTTAAGGACGAACAATTTACAACACCTCCCAACCAAAAATCAAAACGTCTTTCTCTTGATGTCAAATTTAATGGTTTAAGTATTGAGGCCAATCTTGTCGATGAAGTTGTCTTCAAACTATTCAACTCATATCCAACAGCTGACATCATTTGTGGTTTGAAATTGTGGTTACTAGAATTGCCAGATAGTATAATTCCGGTGTTTTCTTTTGAGTCTTTAAAAAATATTTATTATTCTTTGTATGAAAGCCTAGCTGAAGAAATTCAAAATGATAACAAATTTGAGGTTTCCTATAATGAAGAAAGATTTTCACCAATTCTTAGAATTTTGGGTTCAATACCTAGATCAAATTTATCATGTTTAATTTCTACTCTTGAGTACTTAGCTGATATCTCTAAACAAGGTATTCAAACCGCAGAAACTGAGGAGGAAAAAACAACTTATAATTTGATCCAAGCCAAATTTCAAGAAAATTTGTTAAACCCAGTCAGCACAATTCAAGGTGGAGTGCCCTTGGCTCACCTTTTATTAAGACCATCATCAATCGCAAGTTTTAACGTTGATTGCAAACCAGTTAATAAAAAATACCAATTTTTTCTAAGGTCATTTATGAAAGATTTAATGTTTGAAGAAAATTTAAAAAAATTAAACGATCTTTTAATTGAACTAGAATACAACAATATTAAAAGAGAACAAAATAAATTAAATAAAGAAAAGGAAAGTATAAAAAAAATTGTCAATCAAAACGCATTCGCAACCTTAACAAAAAATAATTTAAAAAGATTCAGTTCTTCAACAAATCTGACCTCTTCTTTACATATTATGCAAACTCAGTCATTGACAATACCAACATCATCTCCAACTGAATCAGATGCTGAACAAATAAGCAAATTTTCAAAAGTTCCTTCAATTAACGCTCCCACAATTATTGTCGATGGTCTTCCGTTAAGAAAATTTGGATTATCTGCTCATAACTCCCCAAGTACTTCTCCAGATGGATCTCCCACCAAAAAGAGTCAAAATCAGACCTTGAAGCCTTTAAAAATGAGAGGTAGGGCCAGTTCAAAATCATCGAACAGAACATTGAGATCAAGAAGCATCAGCATGATCAAAGTTAATTATAGCCAACCAGAGTAGGCATGTGTTTTTGTTTTATTTGTGATTTAAATTTTACATTTTTGAATACTTTATTTGTTCTATTAGTGGTATACTAGTTGTTGTTCAGTTCAATATTTAAGTGCTTATATAGGCTGGTCTTCAAAAAAAAGAATTTCATATTTTTCCTTTCATTTTTTCTTTCATTTTTTTAACTCAGTATTTTTTAATTTTTTTGTGATTTAATTTTTTTTGTTCATGTAATGGGATTGCTTATTTTATTTAACATTGGTTATGTTTGTGTTGACTTAATACATTTTAGTAGAGATTTTGCTTTGTTAGCCTTTATAATTTAATTAACAATTATATTTTCCTATTTCTAACAACCAAATAATTTATTATAAACAAATACATAGACCTTAAGCTAACAATCAGTAAAAATGGATGACAAAATTCAATGAATAAAATGAATAAGTAGAATGAAACGTTATTCTAGTGAACAAAAACCTGCAGATTTAATATTGATATTGATACAACCCCTTGATGCATTTGAAATAAAATCTAATATGAGTCAAAGTAACCCTTTGTTACAATAGTTTGGAGAATTATTTGTAACTTTTGTATGAAATTTTAATTAATTTTTAGAATTAATTTTGTTGGATTTATTTGTATTTCTTTATTTCCTTAAAAACCTAAACATATCTATCATGCCTATTGGAACTAGAACCGAATTTTATTCCCAAAGTTCTAGACACCTCAATACAAAAATCTCTTAATTTAGCTATAAGGACCTTTAGTAAACCTACACTCTTTTTTCTGAAAACCTGAGTTGGAGCATCATCATAGTTATCCAAGAAAATCTTATTATTCAATCCAGAGCTTGAGCCGGAAGTATGATGGGAACCTGATATTACTGGATCATTTGTGCTAGTAATTGGTAGTATATTTTCACCAGCAGATAGGGAAACAAATAAGGAGAAAGGAATGAGCCATACACACAATGCAAAAAAACTCGATATTTCACTGAATGATGGAATATGTGGCGGCTTGTAGTCAGCTCTCATCCTCTCTTCAATTGAAGGAATGTTCTTGTTCACGTTGTTGAAATATCTGAACCATAAATAGTGGTTTAATAGAGTTAGGCCCAACGAAAGAAGAAATTCATAATCGTCCAAATTTAAATATGGGAACTTCTTCAAATCTCTTAGATACAATATGTTCAAGCCAATTCCAAATAAAATAAGCCATAGTGGAAAGCCATCCACCACAAACAACAATATTAATATTATAATTACTGAATAGGTGATTTTTTGCAAGATTCTCTTTGTTGGTTCCGAATGCTCCTCCACAAGCTCACTGAGATAGTACAACCCGGAGGCAATGGCTAATGTTAGAAATATAAAGCCAAAGGAGATCCCAAAGTAAGACAATATATCGAGAATCATTTAAACAGCAGCTTTTTCTGGTGCAGACATCAAAGATACAACAGCTTCTGCTGGAAAGAACAGCTTCTGAAGAAAGAACATGTTGTTCACTCAAAATCAGATCAGCCGAGTTCCGGTAGTATGCACGTGCATAATCACTTACGAGGACAGGGTCTAGATTCTTTGAAGCAAAAAGCCGATTTGTGGGGAAACATAAGATATATTACAAAGTCATTAAATAGTCGTAGGCTATTTGTATCCCATTTGTTTCTTGTAGCTGTGAGTCTCTTGGGTCGAGGCATTGTCCTTTGCAAGCCATCTTCCTGACGAAGATCGACCCTTGAATCTCGAGGCCCTTGAGCCCTGGAAGATCTCGTCCATTCTTAGAGGCTGGATTGGCCCAAACAACTTCTCAGGGTCCATCTGCTGCTGCCTGAGCAACAACTGTTTCAATTCGGGAGAGTTGGCCCAGTTTTTTAACACATTTCCATTGTGGTCATCTTCTGATTCGGAATTGATGTCAGGCAAAACAGTAGGACTGAAAGGTTTCTCCCGCTGGTTTTGGATAAGGCTTATAAAGCGAGGCGTAACCGGAGTCTTTTTCAGTGAAGGAATTTTGGCAAACGGATTGCTTTTTTGCAAGTTTGATTGAACTTTTGATTTTTGGGTAGCATTCAAAGATACTGTTTGAGGATCTTGATTCAAATCTGACAGTGCATGAGAAGAAGGCTGAAATGGCAGCAACATTATTTTAGAAACTCTTTTGTCACTTTGTTTTCCAAACAAAATATTTGAGTGAAAGGTGTCGTTTGTTTTTTGTTTTTTGTTCACCTCTAGCACATCATTTAGAGCTTTAGAAACCGATTCATTTGGAAAATCCCTTTTTCTAGCCATCAGTTCTTTATTAAAAGTTTGACGAGCTTGTTTTATTTCCAATTTATTTTCGTGATTTGTGTTTTCAAAAATAGTAGGATTTAATGAACTTCTTTCAAATTTTTTTAATAAAAACGACGGCTGTCTTTCTTGATTTTTATTTGAAAGCAGTGAAAGCTTTGGTTTTATGTTATTCATTTCAATAAAACTTTTCTTTTTAAGTGGAGACAGACTCTTAAGCTTTGAGCTTCTTGTAGTCTTAGCCAGTAAAGGACTCTCGGTGAAAGACAAATAATTACTATAATTATTCAAAGCTTTTGCTGTGCTAGACTTAGTAGGCACAAGTAATCGAGAAATCAAATCAGCTTTATTTGAATTTGATTCGATCTTGGAATGCCCAACCAGGTTTTTGTCCAAACTAGATTTCCTATTACTATCTATTAACGTAGGTTTTACTATCTTTTCATTCTCCTGCATCATTGCCTGTCGATTAGAACTGGTAATATTGCTATGGTCAATGTCGGCTAGAATTTTAGTATTGTGACTGCTTGACAGAAGATTTTTAAACAAAAATCTGTTGCTGCTTTTATGATCTATTTTTCTTTCACTTGTGGTATTGTTTGATCTAGTTAATTTTTCTTTCTTTAATTTTTCTAATCTCAATTTTTCCAATTTTAATTTTTCCTTTTCAAGTTTTAGTTTTTGTTGTTTTAATTCTTCTATTTTTTGCTGCTTTATCTCTTCTGTTTTTTGCTGCTCAATCATTCTTTTTTTAATATCTTCAAATAGTTTCTTTTCGCCCATCAATTTTCTAACCTCCTCTTTTTGAATTTTTTCCTTTTCCACTTCAAGCTTTTCGATTCTTTCTTTAGCTAGTTTCTTAATTCTCTCCAACTCTTCTTTTTTCTGAAGAACATAATTAGCTTCATTTTTTTGGTTTTTATTTTTCTCATCTCGTTTTTCTAAAAAGTCGGTTTTATTATTTTTTTCCAATTCTAGATTAGAATCGATGTTTAAAATGGTTTTTATAGTTTCTTGTTTCCTTTGAAGTTCTTGAATATATTCAAAGTTTTTGTTTTGTATGATATCCATTTCATCTTTTTTGTTGTTTTCTAATTGAAGAGCAGCACGATCTAAGAGGGGTACCAATTTTTCATTTGTCAACCTTTTTTCACTTTCAATAATTGGCTCATCTTTTTTATTATTAATTTCAGAAAATTTTGGCATTTTATTTTTGAGATTTAATAGATTAGGATTAGTAAACAATTCATTTTTAGGTGAAGTACGTAAAATTTTATGATTTTCAAACTTTTGAAAATTATCTTCAAGTTTATGGTTCAGTTTTGATATTTGAGAATTATTGGAAAAACAAATCTTTTCTTTTGCTTTTTCAGTTTCTTCAAACGTATTTTTATTGTGAGTTTTTTCCAAATCAATTGGGTGATTTTTATTTGTTTCTTGTTTTAGAATTAATACTATCTCTTCATTGACATTTCCTAAAAATTCATTTTGTTTTGGCTGAATTGAGTTTCTATTTGGCTCTATGTCAGAATTTTTAGGAGAAGGTAAATTTTTTTCTACCTTTTTATTAGTAGAAACCAAGGAAGCTTGTTGACCATTTACTCTTTTATTTCCAGGGTTGATATTGGTAGATTTATTTGAAGAGTGATCGGCTAGAATGCTTTTCTCACGCAACTGTGACCTTGAAAAACTTGGTATATTTTTATGTTCTGATTTTGAGATATCGTTTTGATTGTCTTGTAAAGGCATGGTTTCGCGGTGTTTAATATTATCCATTTGAATATCATTTATCCTTTCGGTGATTGAATTGCGTTTTTTCTGGTTTTGTAGTTCAATTCTTGGCATACTTTTTTGATTTTCGAATCTTTTCGAAATATCAATTAAACTTATTTTTGAAGATTGATTCAAGAGATTATGATTTGATGAAATATCACCTGCACTTTTTGATAATTTGAAATCGGGTTTATCTCTGAATACTTGAAAAGAAGATGGTATATTTGAATCTAATGTAGTTATATTTGTAAAAGTTTTATTAACATGAAATTTTTTATTTCTTTTGCGAGAGGGACTACTTAATCTTTTTAATGGTAAACGAGTAGGTAAGGGAGCGAATTTATAAGGTATTTTCCTCACGTTTTCGTTTTCTCTCTGGTTTTCGAGTTCAATAACATGCTCTCTTTGGAAATCAATTTCGCTATCTATTTTATCAATTTTGTTGTCAATTTTGTTGTTATTTTCAATTTCAATCTCAATTTTTTTCTGCTTTTCAATTTGATTTCGTATTGAATTTTGATTTTTTTCTACAATTTTAGTTTGATTTTCGAAGTAATTTTCTTTATTCAATGAATTTTCAATTCTATTATCAATTTTATTATCAATTTTATTATTAATTTCATTATTATTGTTATCGATTTTTTGAATAAAATTTTTTGCATTTTCAATGATATGATTATGGTTAGTGTTATCTAATTTTTTATCTGATTTGTTATCTGATTGATTATTTATTCCATGATTTATTTCATGATTTATTTTGTCAGTTATTTTGTCAGTTATTTCTTCATTTATTTTGTCATTTATTTCATTACTTGTTTGATTATTTATGTTAATTTTCGATGGAGATGAATGAATAACTCTTTTGGAAGATACCATACTAAAAGATTGAGAGATATCTGAAATACTTATATTTAAAGGAGAGCTTATGCTTGAATGTTGTGAGTGATTGGAATGATTTATTATTGACTGGTTTGAATTATTTTTAAATTTAACAGATTTAATTTTATTATCAGTCCTATTTTCATTTTTATTTTGGATTTGATCTTCAGTGTTGTTATTTTTTGAAATATTTCGAGTATTCTGAATATTATGAGTATGAAAATTTTGGCTATAAAATGGAGATGAAAATTGGTTAATTATGTTTCTAGTTGTATTAATTATTGTCTGATCATCAAGATCTAGAGTGAGATCGAAATCAATGTCAACATCCGAATTTTTTATATCATGGAATTCTTGATGAGTTTGGTTTAAATTTTGAGTTTTATTACGAGTCTGATAATGGTTGAAATTTTGGTAATTGATTTGAAGTTGGTCTTGATCTTCGTCATCAGAAATGTCTATTACACTGGTATAGTTATCGATTGAAAAGCTACTGCTCGGATTAATTGAAATCGATAAATCATTATCTGAGATATTTTGTGATTTTGGTATCTGTAATTGATTTCTGAAGTGTGATTTTGGTTAGTAAAAGTACTAGTTTCTTGGGTAAAAAAAGAAAAAAAAAAGAGAGAAACTCCAGGAAATTAAAAAGGCAACATACTCATCGTATTCTTTATTGGATAAAATCTCAAGCATCTGGTTGTTTAACCAGTTTATATTCGAGTTAACAGAATTCAGGAAAGTCTCAGCCAAGCTCTGAGCGTCAGAGTTCATCTGGCTCAATTGAGAGGCAATCCATTTGGAAGAACCAGGAATTAGAGTGCTGTTGTTCTTGTTCTTTGTGAGGTTCAAGACCCAAAACTCGTTCATTCTGTGTGGTTAATTTGGGTAAACAAAAGTCAGTCAACAATCAGGAAATCTGCACAGGTCCAAGTCCATTTAAAAATAACACCCAAAAAAAAAAGTAAAGCAATACAAAACCACAACCAACAAAACCCACACAGGAGAATAATACACAGGAGAATAGTACACAGGAGAATAATACAGGAAGAAACAAAACATGAAGGTATTATATCAATTACAAAACACTCAAGCCCTAGGGCTACAGATCACGTTGTATTCACGTGTGTCAACAAAGTCACATGATATTACAGTTCACGTGATTTATTCCACACGTGCGTCCTGTGCTTCCTCTCCTTCCTGTGCTTCTTCTTCGTGTACTTTGCAGCCCTCCCTCGCCACCAGCGTCAATGAGCAGCGACGGCTTCACCCACCTAATTGCCTTCAACAGCAGCACCGGCTTCGAAAGCACCTCAGGCTCCACGACGCCAGTCAGAAAGCTCAGTCTGGACGAGCTGAGCTCCACCAAACGACGCAAGATGGAGAAGACCACAGCTTCCTGGACTGACGAGGAGGAGTTGTACTTGGTTGAGCTCTTTATCAAGCATCTCAACGACTCTCGTACCCCAGACAGTGAAAGACCCTCCATTTATGGCTCCAGATTTGCCATTGAGACCTATACCACCATCGCCCACAACATCAACAAAAGATTCTCCAAAAACTACACAAAAAAAAACATTCAGTACAAAAAGGAAAACATCTTGAGAAACCTAAACACATACACAATGCTAATAAGGAGGGCCAGGAACGACAAGTGGGACCCAGAGAGAAAAATGTTCAAGTTCGATCAAGATGAATGGGACAGATTAGAGGATAAGGTAGGCTCCAATTTATCCTTTTATAAAAACAGAAAGAAAAACTTTTCGAGCTATTTCAGATTATTTCAGTTCAACGAAGCAATTCATGAATCATCCAGAAATTCTTCCACTATAAACTCAATCTCTAATTTACAATTGGATTTATTCCAAAATTTGAACTCTAACTCAAAATCAATTTCAAATAATACCATCGCAAAGAATTCTGCTTCAAACACTGATAACATCATGGATAAGATAGAAAATATACAGAAACTTGAAAACGAAAGTAGAAATGAAAGTGAAAGTGAAAGTGAAAGTGAAAGTGAAAATGATGATAAAGAAAATCGAATCGATAAAACTAAACAAAGCCTAAATATTGTCAATACTAAAATAAATGAATTGAAAAATAAGAAAACAGAACTTGATATAGAAACTCAAATCGATAACGATAATCCAAATGAGAACCACACTAACCCTAACGACAAAGATACTGACTTGCAGAATAAAAATAAAAAAAAGAGTAAAACAATTACTTCCTCTCATGAAAACTGTTTCAATCCTTATAACAACATTCATTTCCACCCACATAATCAATCTCAATTAAATCCGCACTTATTTCAAAATACTCCAACTCTCTATCAAAACTACAATTTCAATTCTGGTCTTTCCAATTCCCATAATATACTGAATCCCAATGACGATCAATTACTATTACCATCCAATTATTCTTTACTAAAAAATAATTTTAAAATATCCAAACAAAGAAAAAATGATTCTCCAAAAACTGAGAATCCTGTTGAGAATTATTTTGCTTCCATATTCTATGATGAAAAAAAAATTAACCAAATCACAACCAACCTAGATCTGATAATTGAATTGGGTAAAACAAAAGAAGAAAAATATGATATAATTATGGAAAAAATCAATGATCTTTTGAAAAAAAATGTAATAACATCAAAGTTTTTTTACTTTTTAATCAATAGAGATTACGATTTTTTATATAACTACGTTTTTCTACGAAAAAAATTGAGTAATCTGGTTTTAGGTCATTATCTAGAACAAAAGTGCAAAGAAGTTTATGACTATAAAGAATAATTACATTCAAAAAAAAAAATGAAAAAAAAACACTAAAAAATTGATGTGATCAATTTTTTTTCCCTGTCTTATTCATATCATATCATATAAATTATCTTGGTTTTCTATTTCATTCTGTTCAGCTATGTTTCATTATTTTTTTCATTCTATTTCATTCTACCTTCGGTTTTTGCTTAATGGCTTGTTTTCACATCATTTGGATCAATTTTAAAAATTTTATCGGGATTCATGATTCTTAAAGGATCCAAAGCTAACTTTATCTTTCTCATTGTATTTATAGTATCCTGACCTAATTCATCAATCAAAAAGTCTCTTTTACTTAACCCAATTCCATGCTCACCCGATACGGTTCCTTCATTGTCTATTGCTCTTTTTATCATTCTATTTAAAACTTGTTTTGCGATTTGCTCCTTCTCTGGTGGGAAAATAATCAACGCATGATAATTTCCATCACCAACATGACCGACTATAGTGGTATTTAATCCTGAATTCTCGATATCAATAGCAGTCTCTTCAATAACATTTGGTAATTTTGAGACAGGCACAGCAACATCGGTAGTCCAGTATTTCATATCGGGATCCATTGATTTTGCCCAATCTATTGAAGACCAAAGATTTGTCTTTCTAGCAGACCATAATTCTGTCTTTTCTCGCTCATTAGTGGCGATTTCGAAATTGAATCCATTGTTTTGCGATGAAATCTTTTCAAATATATCAATTGTATCGTTTAAAATATTCTTAGTTGGACCGCCGATTTTACAAATTAGTAAATTATTTTCTGACCATTTTCTATCTGTATAACTAAACTGATTAATGACTTTCATTTGTCTTGAATCCATTAATTCAATTGCATTTAATTGAATCCCATTTTTAAAAAGATCCGATACGGTTTTCGAAGCATCCTTAATTGAATCAAAATAAGAAAGTGCAATAATTTCATGTTTAGGAATGATGTTTAGTTTCAATGTAACCTCAGTACAAATACCCAAAGTACCTTCACTACCAATAAACAAATTTGTCAAATTGTAGCCTGCCGAAGATTTCCTTGGTCGATTTTTAGTTTTAATTAAAGTGCCATCAGGAAGAACTATTTTCATTGATAAAACGTTATCCTTCATTGTACCATATCTAAAAGCATTTGTTCCTGAACATGAAGTCGCAACCATTCCACCAATCTGAGCACCAGGGCCAGGATCAGGTCCAAAAAAAAGGTTATAGGGTTGCAAAAAAGCATTTAAATCCTGCCACGTTACGCCAGGTTGAACCACAATATCAAGATCATCTTGGTTAAGTCTAATGATTTTAGCCATCTTTGAAGTGTCAAGACATATACCATTTCTTGTTGGAACATACTGACCTTCTAATGAGGTGCCACCAGCATAAGGAACAATTGGTAAACGATATTCATTGCAAACTCGGACAACTTTTGATATTTGTTCAGTCGAAGTTGGATAAACGATTAGATTTGAGTATTCATTCTTTAAAGGTTTAAAAGAATTTCCAAGTGAATCTCGATGAGATTGAATTTCATTTTCCGAATTGGTTACATTCTCAATACCAACTATGTCAGCGATTTTTTGAAGAGCTTCAGGCAATTTGTGATTTGAGCAGTAAACAGGAGAATTTAAGTCAAATAAATTTAGTGTTGACTTGCAGTTTAAGTTATTATAGTTATCACCACTAGCCATATTATTATTATTATTATTATTGTTGCATTTGTAATAATTGAAATATACTGCAGAAAGTGTTATTCCAGTCGAAAAGGAAAAGAATGGAATAGCAAATGTTCGATTTGAATTTAGAAATACTCGAAAAATTCGATTCATTTTGGCAATATTATCAAATAGTATAATTGAATATTATTAAAAGATAGAAAATGAAATGAAAAAAAAAATAAGTAAGAAGAAATTAACATTTAAGGTTTCGACGTTTATCACCAACAGTATTTTGCTTATCAACTATAGGATGGGAGAATTGGGAAGATAAGAGCAGATCATCAGAGTAGCAAACTGAGTATTATGTTTACATCTCGAGCATAGTGTTTACCATTACAATGAGATGAGTAGTACTAGTTAGCGTTGGTTAAATGATTTTCATTTCTATACCCACACTAAGTCATCCTTCATAATGGATCCCTTTTTTGCTATCATTTGGATCACCTCCACTCGGTCTTGTAATGCTTGAGGTAGTTTGATTAACAGATTGAAAATCGCCAAATTGGAGCTCAATAAATAAAAAATTTATAACAAACATGATCTTTGATAGATCATGATACAAGAAAATGAGAAAGGCAGAACATCAAGATATAAGAAGAGTTAGTTTCTTATCGAAAGGCATTAACTGGTGATTATTAGGAAATAAAAGACATACTGGAGCTGGACATGTAAAGTATTATTCTCTGTGGAAAGCATAACTATCAATTTAAGGGGTAATCTCGTAACCCAATCAGAATCCAAAACTGACATATTTACTGGCACTTCATTCATCCTATTTCCTCTCTCTTCAATCAATGTGTTTGGTCCTGCTTGGTATTCGTTGAAGATTTCTCCTGTCTCGCACAATAAAACCACACTACAATATGATATATACTCCAAAAATGACATATCGGATTTCAAGAAAAACGAATTTATCGAATTTATTAAACAATATGAACTACGCAAGTTCAACCACTGCTTGAAGATGGCACATTCAAGCGATGCTCGAGATGAGTCCATTGTGTTTCAACAAACTAAAAATCACTTTGAGTTGGAAAATAAAAACGGAAGTCCTATTAATCCGGCGTTTGTGGGTGGTAAAGCTCCATCAAAAACATCTCAGGAATTGGATGAATTATGCAAACAGGTTGAGTGTCAATCAGCTAAAAAATTGAAATTTGATTGGTAATTTGATTGCATTTCGCTTCTGCTTCTCACTAATATTTCATTCTAATATTTCATTCTAATATTTCATTCTAATATTTCATTCTAATATTTCATTCTAATATTTCATTCTAATATTTCATTCTTCTATTTTTTATCTTCCTTGAATTTTTTTTATTATTTCTTTGAACTTGTTATAATCATAATTAATGTCTATATTCTGCCCAACTCGCTATTTAATGCTATCAGTTTCCGCTAAGCTCAAATCATTTATCTAACACTAATATTTATTATCACTATTTATCAAAATGGAGTATTCAAACAACTGTTTAATTGGCATCAATCCGGACCTACTGTAAAATTGCACATCATATACATTATATACATCATATACATCATATACATCATATACATCATATACATCATATACATCATATACATCATATACATCATATACATCATATAATTCAAATTCTATTGGTATGTGCTCTGATTAATTTGCTATCTTCAAAGAAAGTAAATCTTAACTTGGGAAATTCTTTTCTATACTTATTAATAAGGTCAAAGTGGTTCCATGACCTTCTTTCCAATCAAATTTCGCTTGTGTTAGGCCATTGTTGAATATATTCACAATTCATTTCTGGCAACGTCAAAGGTAAAACCAAATGAGTCAAAGTGCTCCATTGAGATAACCCTTTGAGTTTTCTTTATCTTGTTATAGCTTAAATTTACGTCTAAGCAACTACTCAATTGTTCAGTGATGTGTAATGTTTTAATACAATTACAAGATAAGTTCAACGACTTTAAATTACTTGGATATTTCCCATTGTCTGCAATCATCATGTCAGTGATTTGGTTACAACACAAATCAATCAATACTATTTAAATCAAGTAAATTTTCAATGTTTTCAATTTTCAGGATATTGTTCCGGAATAGATTGAGATCAACTAAATTTATCATCTGGTCCAAAGTCTCAATTTCTTCAATTTTATTATCTGATAAATCCAGCACTTTTATATTATTTGTTTTATCTAAGTTCTCAATTTTTGCAATTTTGTTTCCTGCTAAGTCGACTCTCACTAAACTGGGAAATTGTCTCACTAAACTGGGAAATTGAGTAGGAAATTTCAAAGTTTCCAAATTTCCAAAGTTGTTATTCCTTATATTAAGCGTTTTTAAGTATTTTTTGTGTAATGCTCCACAGTTTCTTTTCGATAAATATATTCCATTCAACATTCAATTCTAGTGTTGTTAGTTTAAATGTATGAAAAAATGAATGTGAAAAAAAAGATTTAGAATTGATTATATGATGTATAGAATTATCATCATTCAGCTGTCTTTGAAGCTGATATTCTGCATCCCAATTATTGCAAAGAATTAAGTTGCCAAAATCATTTTGAATTGCTTTCAATGTGTTTTTGTGAAAAGGTAGTAACTGTTTTAATAATGATAAGCATTTGAAAAATCCATCTGGCCCTTTTTGTGGAATACTTTGAAGTACTCTAGCAAACGAAATCCATTTGACCACAATAGACATTTTCTCTACAAAACAAAACATGGTAGTTATATATTTATCTAATGTTATTAGAGTTTGATCTGGCAAAATTAGTCTAAAGTATATGTTTCTGGAGAATTGTTTGATATACTTTGTTAAAACGGTAATTGTTTGAAGATTAATCAATAATACAGGTTTTCCTGAAACAATATGAATTTTTTTTCTTTCATTGAACCATATTTTAATGGAACCTGAGTAGACTTCTATGTTTTCAAATAGTGCTTTCAATGGAGCGATTTTAACCATTGCATTCTTAGCTGAACACAACAAGATTATTTGCTTGATATAGAGTTTTGTTGTAATTGAGCTAACGATGTGGGGTGGGAGTGTGTCCAGTAGAATTGTTTTGCTGTTATAGTCCATTTTTGATATGTAGTGTGTAACATAAGCAATATCAAGAATNCTAACGATGTGGGGTGGGAGTGTGTCCAGTAGAATTGTTTTGCTGTTATAGTCCATTTTTGATATGTAGTGTGTAACATAAGCAATATCAAGAATCAGAATTTGAACAAAACTAGAGAAAAATATTAATATACAATCATATGTATAAAACTATGTTTCTGAATAAGTGACGGCAATTATTAAAATTCTGTGCATTTACATGCATGAAAACAACTTTGTGTATTCTATTACTTTCTTGCTCTTTTGAACAGAGAAATCCCTCTCTTACTGGTCGTCGGCCTGATAATGGTTCTGATCAACTTGTCGTCCTCGATTATTAGATACATAGTTGTGTTTGGCAACATTTTGGCTCTTTTCCTTCTTTACCGACGTCAGACAGACATCGATGTTTTTATCGTTATCGCGGAAACTTCCAAAACGGCAATTTTAGATCATAAACAACGATGGTGAGCGTTTGTTTTTGTTTCAGCGGATGGAAAAATTAGCTGATACTTGGAATCTTAACGCCAGAAAGAAGATGGACAGGGAAGAGAATGCTCGCCAGAATAAGAAAAGTGGCGAAAGAGATGAAGAGAGTGTCAGTGAAGACGACCAGACTACGCGATTTAAATTGCTAGAGAGAGCAGCGATAATTGCATTGAAAAAATCAATGGACGTTCTTACGTTAGAGAAGCTATCTACCTGCTATCCAACATTGGCCAGTAATGAAGAAGGGCTCAAGGCTCTCAAGAACGCTGAGTTGCAGGTGAAGGAGTTTTGGTTCAAAAATAGCCAAAATGAATTTAATAACATATTCCAAGAAAAAAGTGTTAAAACCAAGCTTGACGAACTAGATCAGATCATTCGCGAAAGTCTCCAAAATTTCAACAATAAGAGTGAAAATGGGAAATTGGTGATTGAGGACTTGAAGCCAGATGATGTTCTTTTGAACAATCTATACCAGAACAAGGTTCACTACTACAACGAGCTCATCTCCAAGTACATGGAAATCAAAGAAAAAAACAAGGAGACTGCTCGTCAAATTGTAACAATAAGCCAAATATCCACCCAAACAGTTGGTGAATTAGACTCAAAATTCGAGGAGTTGCAGCGTATCAACCAGGAGATGGGATACGCTGGCGACGAGGAGATGCTGGCGCTTGGGCCCTACGACGGGTTGTTTGCGCGCCTCTGTCAAAGCGAGCTCTAGCATTGTTTGTGCTGCTTGTGCTGCTTGTGCTGCTTGTGCTGTTTTTGCCTCCTTGCTAAAAAAACCCCGTTTCATCCTGCCTCCGGAGTGCGGCGTGCGGAGCGGTGTTGTAAATTTCCCAATGGAGATAAAGCAAAGATTTTTTCTGTGGATTTATCAATAGAAAAGAACTCAATTAATAATTCTCTCTCATCCTTCTCATCACCTTTCCAATCTCTGTGATCGCTGTATTTGCTGTATCTTTTTACTATCACAGTGTTCTTATATCGTCCTAACTACTTTAATCCGTTTAATTCCTTTAATTATCTTAATTGTATTCTCTGCGTTTCTTATAGCTGCCATGTTCACTAGATCGCTTAAGTCAACTCAACTCAATCTAATTTGCAAATCCTCTTTAAGGCTTACCCCAGCTTCTCTTTCTGTTTTATCTGTTGTTCCTTTCTTCTCGAGATACATATCAACTAAAAGTTCTTTCAATTTCAACCAAAAAAATAACAACATCTCGAATATAATACCCAATATATCTTCCACAACCAGTACTAAAATTCAAAGAGAAAATGACTTGAACATTGGTTCAATTAATATCGATGAAAAAAAAATCTTAAATAATCCAAGCAAACTCTTAGGTGTTGCTCCAAATAAAAACCTTGATTTAGACCCTGCCCTTGAAGCAAGACCAATCTATTTGGATATGCAAGCTACCACTCCCACCGATCCAAGGGTCCTTGATGTCATGTTGAATTTCTTCACTGGTTTATATGGAAACCCTCACTCAAGAACCCATGCTTATGGCTGGGAAACTGATATCGAGGTTGAAAAAGCAAGAAAACATATCGCTGATGTTATAAACGCTGATCCAAAGGAAATCATCTTCACTTCTGGTGCAACTGAATCTAATAACATGTGTATCAAAGGGGTTCCAAGATTCTATAAATCAACTAAAAAACATATCATAACCGCCCAAACTGAACATAAATGCATCCTTAACTCTGCTCGTCATCTTCAAGATGAAGGCTTTGAAGTCACTTATTTACCTGTTAAACCAGATGGGTTAGTTGATTTAGAGTTATTAGAAAAATCAATTAGAAAAGATACTTGTTTAGTATCAATCATGTCCGTCAATAATGAAATCGGTGTCGTTCAACCAATTGAAGAAATTGGTAGAATTTGCAAAAAACACAAAGTCTATTTTCACTCAGATTGTGCTCAGGCATATGGCAAAATCCCATTAGATGTCAATAAAATGAACATTGATTTAATGAGTATCTCCTCCCATAAAATTTATGGTCCAAAAGGTATGGGTGCAGTCTACGTTAGAAGAAGACCAAGAGTTAGATTAGATCCAATTATAACCGGCGGTGGCCAAGAAAGAGGTTTAAGATCTGGTACTCTAGCTCCTCCTTTAATTGCTGGCTTTGGTGAAGCTGCTAGATTAATGATGGAGGAATACGATTATGACTCCAGTCACATCTCAAAGTTATCGAATAAATTGAAAAACGCTCTATTATCAATAGAGCACACTACCTTAAACGGTTCTCCTGAACATCATTATCCGGGCTGTGTCAACATATCTTTTGCCTACATTGAAGGTGAATCTTTATTAATGGCTTTAAAGGATATCGCTTTATCTTCTGGTTCTGCTTGCACTTCAGCTTCTCTAGAACCCTCCTATGTCTTGCATGCCTTAGGTAAAGATGACGCTTTAGCTCATTCCTCTATCAGATTCGGTTTAGGTAGATTTACAACTGAAGATGAAGTTGATTACGTTATTGATGCAATTACTCATAGAGTTGATTTCTTAAGAGAATTAAGTCCATTATGGGAAATGGTTAAAGAAGGAATTGATTTAGATACTATCGAATGGTCTGGTCATTAAACAACAACAACAACAACAACAACAACAACAACAACAACAACAACAACCAAAAAAATCAAAAAAATAACTTAAATTAAATGATTTCAAATGAATTTAAATGCAACGTAATGAAATGAATTTAATAAATTATTTAAATATATAATTGTTTATATATAATTCTATATTCTATTCTGCTCTATCTTAACTTATCTTATATTTTGCAGCTTTATTTTTGTATAAATTAACATCTACATCTCTCATTGTCCATAAGAACCCCAATTACTCATTAACTACAGATCTGAGACTCAAAATCACCAAAATCACCAAAATAATATTCATTTCTTCTTTTTGTGTTTGGTCAAATTCGAGCACGTGCCTCTCTGCAGTTTTTTAAAAGGAAATTCAAAAAATTATCAATAATCAATCAACAGAAAGCTATCACTGGTTATCTTGCTCAAATAACACAATAATTAATAAATATTTAAATAACGCCAATTTTCAAGATGCTACTGGTTAGAAATAAAACCTTCAAGTCTGTTTCGGCTTTGTCTACTTTAATCTACAACCAACAACCATTTTTATCTGCGATCTCCATAAATAAATCTAATAATGGCTCATCACAATTTATTCGTGGAAAGAGAACGAAATCTCAAGCTTCTTCTTCTACTTTAAGAGCAGTTACTCAAATGTCTGTCTTAAGTGCTAACCGTAAACAGCCAAAAGTTTTGAAATTGTCCAAAGAAGATATTGTCAGACATATTACTGTTGATTCTGCATGGAAGTTATATCAACAGAAAAAAAAAGAATTGTTAAGAAAAAACTTGAAAGATAGATATGATTCAATTCTCGATGCTGCAAATGATTTAAAGTCTCTTTATCCTAAATTATATGAATCCTCAATAACAAATGTAAATAAAACAAAATCTAAATCACCAAATAGATTTCCTATTGAATTAAGAGTTCCAACGGATTTTCCCCCAAACCAAATTTGGAATTACGAATACTCTGACGAAGTACCAGAAGAAAAATCTAAATAGATAACCAATGAAATAGTTTGTATATAATGACTTCCTCTTAAATAAATTCAATTAAATTCAATTACATTCAATCAAATTCGAACTAATTTAATCCAAACCCAGTTCTGTTTCGCTTTTGTTTCCCATCTCGGAAATGATTTTACATTGAAAATACACGTGCCTACATGTCATTCGAGGGTTGTATTCTTTTTGATTTGTCCGGAATTCCTTTCTTTTTTTTCTGAGTCATTATAAAGGAAAGTAAATCGGTTCGATATTCTTGCAACTATTTCCTTTAACCACCAATTTCACCATCAGAATAGAAACTTTTGTCAAAAAAATGTCTTCCCAACAGTATCGTTCTACTCGTTCCACCCAACCTGAAACTTTTTCTTTTGAAGAAACTGTCATTACTGGATTGGCTTCCGATGGTGGTTTATTTCTTCCTTCTGTTATTCCCCAAGTTTCATTGGAAACATTAAAAGAATGGTCAAACTTATCATTTCAAGATCTAGCTCATGAAATAATGAAATTGTACATTTCAAACGATGAAATCCCTGAATCTGATTTGAAAGATTTAATTCAAGCTTCTTATTCAACTTTTAGATCAACTGAAATTACTCCATTAGTTCCATTAATTGAGTCTAAAAATTTATATTTATTAGAATTATTTCACGGTCCAACATTTGCCTTCAAAGATGTTGCTTTACAATTTGTTGGTAATTTATTTGAATATTTCTTAAAAAGAAAAAATTCCAAATTAGATGAAAATTCGAAGGAAAGACACAAGATTACTGTGGTAGGTGCAACTAGTGGTGATACTGGTTCTGCTGCTATTTATGGGTTAAGAGGTAAAAAAGATGTATCGGTCTTTATTTTATACCCAACCAATAGAATTTCATCAATTCAAGAACTCCAAATGACCTCTGTTTTAGATGCGAATGTCCATTGTCTTTCAGTTCTGGGAACCTTTGACGATTGTCAAGATATCGTCAAAACATTATTTCGTGATAAAGAATTCAATGATAAATATCATATTGGAGCCATTAATTCTATAAATTGGGCTAGAATTTTAGCACAAATTACGTATTATTTTTATTCATTTTTCAAGTTGAATAAAAACTTGGACATAAATAAAAAAATCAAATACGTTGTGCCAAGTGGTAATTTTGGAGATGTTCTTGCAGGATATTTTGCTAAAAAAATGGGATTACCAATTGAAAAGTTGGTGATTGCAACTAATGAAAATGATATTTTAGACAGGTTTATGAAAACCGGTAAATACCAAAAGGAATCTGTTGGTGTTAAATCGACATTATCACCAGCCATGGATATTTTAATTTCAAGTAATTTTGAAAGATTATTATGGTATTTAATCAAAGATAATTTGACTAATAACAATGATTTGGAAGCTGGAAAGGTTTTAAATGATTGGATGGTTAGTTTAAAGGAAAATAATTTAATTGAAGCACCAAGTGAGGTTTTAAAAGCAGCATTGAAAGATTTTGATTCGGAAAGAGTTTCAAATGAAGAAACATTAGAAACAATAAAGGAGATTTATCAGGTTGCAGAAAAATATATTTTGGATCCTCATACATCAGTTGGTGTTACTTCATCATTAAGACATATTCAAAAGGATGAACAGAATAATGAGCAAAAGTATTACATTTCATTATCAACAGCACATCCAGCTAAATTTGCTGATGCAGTAAATGAGGCATTGGAGGAAAATAAAGGATATAATTTTGATAATGATGTGTTACCTGAAGAATTGAAGAGTTTGGGTAAAGAGGGAAGAAGAGTGACATTTGTTGATGATAACAGTGTTTCTGAAGTTAAGAAAGTAATTATTGAGAAATTGGCTGAAGAAAACAAAATTTAAGTTGATTTAGTTTGATAAATTGAGAGTACGTTATATAGATTATAAAATTCATTATTTACATTATAAAATTTGACATTAGGCTTGTTTTTTTTAGTATTAATTTTATTTTATTATTATTATTATTATTATTGTTATTGTTATTGTTATTGTTATTGTTATTGTTATTGTTATTGTTATTGAGTCAATGATGAAAGCGTGGATTAAGATTAGGTTAAAGGTTGAACAAAAAAGAATATAAAAGAGAAGAGAGGTGTATAAAATTTATAAAATCTGTAAGAATTATTTACAAGAGAAAATGAGAAACAAAAATCTAAAATAGAATATTTAAGTTTTAGATCTAATTATTCCATTTTTTTTTTTGTTATTGAGATTTCTTTTCGGGATTATTTTCAGATTTATTTTCAGATTTATTAGTGATGTTTTCTTGAGCTTTTAATTGCACTTTTAATTGCGCTTGCTTTAAGTTTTCTTCATCGGTAGCATCAAGAATAGACCATAGTAAATGTAAACCAAAATAAGTCAGAAAGGCCATTAAACAGCATCTAACAAAAGTTTCGCCAAAGAATTTATAGAACCTTAGGTGAGGGCTAACTTTATCGTATTCATCCTTGTGATTGAGATTATTTTGATTGATTTGAGATGTGTTTGGATTAGATTTCAAGTTGTCACTAGCAATAGTTGAAGAATTTGTGTTATTGTTATTGTTATTGTTATTGTTATTGTTATTTTCAGATGAGTTATTAAATTGTTGTTCCATTTGAGATAGAGATGGGTCTTGGTTAATAAACCGATTAACGTCTAAATTTTTCAAATCATTTAGGGGCTCCTCTTGGGTTGTGTTCAAGTTTTGGATAGTTTTATCATTTTTGGTTGCAGAGTTCTTGTTAGTGGCTGAAGAAGAGTAAAATCTTGTAAATCTTAAGAGCTGAGCATCGATGTTATTGTTGAAAAAGATGAAACCGCTATTTTTGTTGTATTTGTTGTTGATAAAAAAGGGGGTTTTATTAATATTTTTAGCTGGAACTATTTTGTAGGTGAGAGATCTATTTATGACTAGTTTATTGAATTTGGTAGCGCTAGCGATGTTTTTGTTGAAAAAAGTGTAGGTTTTGTTTACTTTATTGTTGAAGAAGAACAACTTGTCGTTTGATATGAGCAAGTTCTTTGAGGTTACTGGGCTGAATCTGCTCATTATGATGGAGAAGGGGAATAGCAGCTGGAGTGGTTGGTGATTAAGAGTTGTTTGATTATGAAAATCAACAAAGAGCAAAATAAGCAGTTTCGAGGTGGTTAAAAGAATGTGCGGAAGAGAACGAGTGCTGGCGCTTAATCAGTTTAAGCAGCTCGTTCACGACGATGGATATAATCAGCTGCAGAAAATGCAACAAAAGAGGTGTTCAATGGGTGTTTATTGTTACGGATTCGCTATGTAAAGTGCCTAGGGCTGGAGTCGCTAGTTCCTGACGTTGATTTCGTTTTCGTTATACTCAGCAGAGGCAGTCAATCCCCTTTGAACCTCAGGAAGCTTCTCAATGGCCTGGAGCCACTGGTAAACAGCAGGAAAGTCCTTTGCAATATCAATGTCGAGTCTGGTGCCAACTCTGACCCAGCCAAAGGAGACAATGTCAGCAATGGAGAGGTGGTCTGAAACCAAGTAGCCAGTGTTGTTCTTCTTCAAGGCAATCTCCAAGACGCCATACAACCTCTTGGTCTCGTCGACATATCGTTGGATGCCATAGGGAATCTTTTCTTTGGCGTAGAAGGAGAAGTGGTGGGCCTGACCTTGCATGGGGCCTATGCCTCCCATCTGGAAGAAGAGCCACTGGAGAGTCTCGTAGTACTCCTTGGTGCCATGTTTGAACGAGTACTGGTGCTTCTGGTCGTACTTCTCGCTGAGATAGAGCAAGATAGAGGCGCTTTCCATCAAGGTTGTTCTCTCGCCCTGAGCGTTGACGTCGCTGAGCACTGGAATTCTGCCATTGGGATTCAATTCGATGAACCAGTCCTGTTTCTGCTCCTGCTCAGCAGAGGCAATGTTTATCTTGCGCACATAGTACTTCAACTTCAAGAGCTCAAGGAGAATAGAGACCTTGACGCCATTGGGAGTGTCGAGAGTGTAGAGCTTGATGTAGGGGGCCTCGAGCTTGGGGTATTTGGGGTCGCCTTCGTTGACTAAAATACCAGACATTTTTGAGGAGAAACGAGTGGAACTGAGTGTGGAACTGATTGTGGAGCTAAATGTGCTTCTGAAGGTGCTTCTGAATATGCTGTGCAACAGGGAGAATCTCGATAGGGTGTTCATTTTAGAGAAGAATATCTGGAAAAGCAAACCACTCCCTTATATACGATTACACAGTTATTGCGACACATTACTAATGTATACTGATTCGCAATTGAGTTTATTACTAATGAGCCATTAGTAATCCTTTGGTTATTGCTACGCTTTGAGCCTTGCTATTGGACAGCCCATTGGATGAATGAATGAATATATTACTGAGTAAAGGAATGGATAAGTAAATAGATGTAATCATAAAGAGTGAATGCACAGCTGAACCAGCCAAATGAAAATTACCAATTAAAAAATGCAACAATGCTTAAAATATGAATAAGTGAAAAAAATATGGAAAATCAGAAATTAAAATCAAAATTAAAATCAAGATTAAAATCAAAATTAAAATCAAGATTAAAATCAAAAATGAAGAAAAACAATTACCAGGAAATAGAATAAAACAAAGTAAATTATCAATTAATCAAAAATAAAAAATTAAAAATAAAAAATTAAAAATAGAAAATTAAAAATTAAAATAAAAAATCAAAAAATCAAAAAAAATCACATCATACACAAATAAAACACAAAACTTATCTAGATAGTCGCTTCATGATATCTTCCATTTGAATTACTGCATATTTTCTTAATTGCACCCAAATGGTTAATGTTGATCCTATATTCTAAATTGTCATTTATAATTATTCTAACATGTTTCTTATTTTTAGACTTCTTTTCATAAATCACCCACAAGACTAACTTCTCAAGTAAAATAGCCTCCCCGATTATTTTGAATTTTATTTGGTTGCTATTGAATTTGCAAGCGATTAAATAATCATTGAAAAATAATAGACAAACATGATCTTTACCTATAAGTTTGCTTGATGTTTCGGCACTCATCAAATAAAATCTCTTCATTTTTCGGTTTTTACTATTATTAATAGTTAGTTTATCTCTTATTGATTCACTCATAATTTTCGTTTCTGTAAACCCTCGAAAATTATCAAATCTCACAATAAACCCTCTTAATAAATTTCGTGTTTTAACATAGTTTTCATAAATTGGATGCTTTTCAGAATAAAAATTCTTCAATCTTAAAATCTTATTATATGTGGTTTTTAAAATATAATCGTATCCCAATATTTTCTCAAATATTTCTCTGCTAATCCCATCTCTTCTATTCTTATTTCTTGAAAAAACATTGGAAGACCATACTTCAAAACTTCTCAACATATTAGTGTACCCGTCATCATACCTAGAGAAACTTCTTCCTATTTTGATAAAAACTTCAATTCTAGCGTAATCTTCAGCAAATAAACTCCATACGGCTGGGGCCTCTTTGGCCCAATTTTCAAAAATAATAAAAATTCCATGAGAAATAAATATACCTTGGGATTTAATTAATTCCAAAATTGGTACCAATATTTTCTCAATATGACATCTCAAAAGTGTTCGAAAATTCGAAAAGAAATTTTCATAAAAATATTCAATAGAAAACGGTGCAACAATAAATGGGTTTTGGCTTTTAAATTCTTCGCCCATATCAATAAATAGATATAAATTTTCAATAAATTCAGCTTGAGTGTAGAATAAATTAAAAATATTAATCTGTCGTGTCACATCATACTCCTTAATTGATCTGATTTGATTATCTGTTAAATTCCAATAATTCGCCCACCCGCTTTGAATTTCGCGACAAATATCAATTATTCTTCGTTTTTCTCCATTAAATATCAAATGTTCATCATCAATCAACTTAACATTTCTGCTCAGACGTAACGTGTTTGTACCTGATCGAGAATTAACACTTTCATTAAGTGTCGTTTTACTTCGAATCGTTTTACCATTAATTGAAATGTTAGTTTGAACGTTAACACTATTTTTACTTCTAGATGATTTATTGGTAGAATTTCTTGAAAGTTCTGAATTTTTATTTGTTGATTTTCTTGAAAGTTCTGCATTGCGAGCTGTCGATTTTTTAGGGAATTTGGTTTTGGATTCAGGTACAGAATTTTTATTTCCTGAAACAGCAGAATTATTTGAAATTTTACGTTGATTAACTTTCGGTTGACCATCAAATTTTTGAGCGTATTGAGCCGGTGGTGGAGTTGAAATTTGTTCTCTATTTACTGCAACCGGTGTAACAAACGAACTTCTTGAGGGGACGATGGATGGATTCCCAGAAGAATTGACAGGGAGACTAACAGGTGCAGGTGCAGGTGCAGGTGCTGAATCATTGAAAGGGACAGAAGATGAAGCAGGAGAAAGAGCGATAACTGGTGACTTGTATTCTTTAAAAGGAAAAGATGGATTAGGTGGAGTTGAAAAACTGTTTGAAGGGTTAGATGAATAATTATTTTGCGATGATATATATCTTGGATTAGAGTTGGAAGGATTATTTTGATTTGATGGTGCTGTTGATTTAGATGAAGATTTTCTTGTGTGGTAAGGTTGAGAAGAATACTGAGTATATTGAGGTGAATACTGAGTATGTTGAGATGGATAATGAGATGTTTTTTGTGGTAAAGGTGGAGGAGACCGTTGTGGTTGTGGATATGACTGCAATGATTTTTGAGAAAATTGATTATTTGGAATAAAAGCAGGATTAAAAGACGAAGAGAAAGACTGTTCCCGGGGATCTGAGCTTTTTTGAACTTGAAATGAACTAGGCAATGGAGATGAATAATTTAAATTTGGTGAATGTTGAGCATTATTAGATTTAGGAGTTAGGGTTGATAAATAATTTGGAGAGGAAGCTCTGTTTTTGGAAAAGTTTTGAAGTGGTGAATTTGATAAGTTATAATTATTTGGAGAAGGAACTCTGGGTTTGATAGGGATTTGAGCTGGTGAATTTGAAGAGTTGTAGTTATTTGCAGAGGGAACAATATTATTTATGGAAGTTTGAAGTGGTGAATTCGACGAATTATAATTATTTGGAGAGGAATCTCTGTTTTTGATGGAATTTTGAGCTGGTGAATTTGATGGATTATAGTCATTTGGAGAGGGGTTAATTTTAAAATCTAAATTGTTATTATTAATTTTTTTATTAACAAAAGGATCTGGAAGAGGAGTTGAGTTTAAATTTTCTGGTGGTTTAACCATTACAAATTGACTATCAACAGTTGAAGTTGTGTTGAAGTTTTGAAGGTTTGTATTTTCCTCATTGTTGTCATTATTAATTGATTTCTTTTCAATATGATTTGGAGAGGAGGATAATTGAGGATTGAGATTTTCGTCTGAGGTTTTGGAAAAAGTACTTTCAACCATTTTGATTGAAGAAACAGGGATAGGAATTGAGCGACGAAATACTTCATTAAAACCCTGAATGTGCATTGGTTGCAATTCGATTTTTTTTGTGTTTAAAATACAATCTCTCAAGTAGCAATTATTAACAAAATAATCATTGTTATCAAACAAGATTTTTAAGATTAATTGATATAAAGTGATGTCAGTAACAGCGGCGTTTTTGTGATCGTTTAAACTAAAAGTATTATTTTTACGATCAAGGAAAAAGGATGTGTAAAGAATTTTTGCTAGATTGTAGGAATTGATTCGAGTTTGTCTAAATATTTGTTGGTAGTTATCAATATCGGAAAATTTTGAAAAAAATCTGTTTAAATGAAGAACGAGATGGAAATTTTCGATTGGTAAATATTTCAAAAAGACGTCGATTAAATAGTTTAAAAAAGTTGTAATTTTAGTTTTGATTATTAAATTTGTATGTTGATAAGCTGGGCTAATAGAGTATAAAAAGAGGTTATTTAATTTTAACGAATTGAATTGCATCAAGTCATTGTAGTAATCTTTTTTTAATTCATCAATTAATAGGGTGTAAACTTTTGGAGTGATAATGGAATCAGGCAAAGAGCTTAGATATAGTTTTAAGACATCAGAGACATCATAAGAAGATATGCCCTTTGATTGAAAAGAGACTACATCATTAACATTGGTGCTGTGATTGGTGCTGGTCAGGTTATTTGGAGAATTTTTAGTATCATCAAGATTGTCGATATTGTTATGGGTGTTTTTGTTGTTGAAATCATTTGAATTGATGATATTATTGATATCAAAATTGTTGTTATTATTTTTGTTTAAAGGCGAAACAGATTCAAAGCCATCATTGACTTGGGGTTTATGTTTCTTGACTGTAAAGACTTTTTTGAGATTTTTTGATTTATCTTTTAGATTGAAATTTAAGGAATTATTTCTTTTGATTGAGTTCTTTCTTTGAATTGAATGTTTTCTTTTGATTGAATTTTTTCTTTGAAGAGTAGCTCTTCTTTTTAATTTTTGGTTATGTTTACGTCTTGCTCTTGTTTTGATGATTGAATTTTGAAGGTATAGTTTAATCAAGAGAATTAAACGCTGTAATTTGTTTTTATCATTTAAATTCAAGTCTGATTTTGAGATTAGGGATAAAGTGGATGAGTTTTTATCATCCAAGATACTCGAGGAGTAATTTTGAGTCGAAGTGACAGTATTACTAATTGATGTTTGCCTGTTTGTTTGCGAGATTCCAGGGAATGTATTTTGATTGAGCAATGAGTCATTATTAAGTTGGTTATTTGGATCTTGGGGTTGTAAATTTGGTGGATTTTGTAGAAATTGATTTTGATTTTGGCTGATTTTATTTGACTTGAAGCTGTCATTTTTATGCTCTCTTTCAATCAATAGATCGCTTAGAAATTTGATTCCAATATCTTCTTTAGGTCTACTATCGAAGGTATTTTTAAGATAAGTAATATTGTGGTTGTTACCATTTTTTCTGAATATGGCCATTGTAGTTAAAAAATCATTATCGATTAAAAACTCTGTAGTATTAATGACGATATAGGGGATGGTTATGATAATTGCGTTGGTGTCATTGCTATTAGTTAGTGATGGGATTGGAATTGGGGGATCGATAACTGATTTTGAAACCGAAAGAATGGCTTGAGATAAGGGAACGCCAAAGAGGCCAATGTCAGGTTGAGATTCATTTACTTCAGTGATCCTTTCCAAGTTGTTTCTTTGATTTAGTCTGGAAGCAGATGATGGGCCAACCATGGCTGTGATTGATTTCTGTCAATTAGCAAAGGTTGGTGGGTGGTGGGTGGTGGGTGATGGGTAGAGAATAGTAAAAGGTGGAAAAAAAGGGATGTGAGAGAAGATGAGAGATAAATAAAGGTTTTTGGTTTTGGCAGCACAACAGGCAAATGTCGAGATAGTGTTGTGTAAATAGGGCCAGGGTGAAGCCAGCGAGAAAGAGGTGTTTTGGTGGGCTCAATCAAAGGGTGGTGTAGAAACAGAGCGAGGACAATACAAAGTGATTATATTTGCAGCCCAAACAGGAGCCGGCGGTTTGCACCGTCTATTTGTTTGTGGAGGAGTCAGTGTGGAACACAGAAGGGAGTAGACGAGAGCTGGGACATGGCAGATGCTGGCAGAGCAGTTCAATTTGCCAGCAAGAGCCAAAGTGAGAAACAAGAGGTGGGAAAACAGTAAACAGTAAACAAAAGACTGGGAATAGGGCAGTGAATAACAAGTACTATATAGACACTATAGAAGCTCGGCAGACACCAAGCACAAAACAGAAAACTAAACAGGTTAAACAGATTAAGAAGATAAATAAAAATAGAAAAGTATTTATAGAAAAAACAGGATTTAGATGCCATAGATTATTGTATTGTTGGTGGGATGGGCTCTTGAGCAGAGGGATGAGCAGGGGGGTTAAGATTCTGTTCAGGAGTTTGCTCAGGAGTGTGGTCAGAATTCTGAACAGAATTCTGGGCCAAATATGGAGCATCATTCTGAGGAGGATAGCCAATATGAGTCAGATCAGGGACTGGGTTGGAAGGAGCAAAATTGGGAGCGTTAACGTTGATTGGGTTTTGGATATGGTGTTGGGTTTGAGTTGGATATTGAATTGAGTTTTGGGTTGAGTTTTGAGTAAAAGTCTGAGAAATGTTTGGGCTTTGAGTCAAAGTTTGAGAATTGTTTTGAATAAAATGTTGAGAGTTATTTTGGCAGGGATAATTTATATAAATTTGATTTTGGTGTTGATTTTGATTTTGGTTGCTTATCAAATCATTTAAGCTTGAGGAATAATTTGAATGTTGGATGGGAGATTGAATCGAAGTTTGGGTTTGAATTGGAGAGAGATTTGGAAATTGATTTTGATTTGGAGTGTGAATGGGCGAATGATTTTGAAAGGTGTTTAAATGTTGATTGTCAACTGTGAGTTGATTTTGAGCTGGGATTAAAATTGGAATTGGGATAGGAGTTGGAGTTGGAGTAGGAAATTGATTTTGATTTTGATTAATGTTTTGTTTTTCAAATTGAAATTGATCATGGTTATTGAATTGGTTTGATGAAGTTTCTAAATTGATTTGGCCCATAAGTTGAGGTAAATTAGGGTTGTTTTGGTTGTTTTGGTTGTTTTGGTTATTATTTGAATCAGGATGTTCGGGATAATCTGGGGGAATACGAGATGGATGTATACGATAATTTTGGATATTATTATTTGGGATATTATTATTGGAAAGAACGTATTCAATAAAAATAAATAGCTTTTTAGATTGAAGATTTATATCAGATTTATAAATCTTATAAATCAGATTGAAAAAATAGGATTTGTTATCAATGAGTAGTTTTAGAATTAATTTTTGGTAATTGAACTCGTCCATGTTGGATGCATCAATGAGATCCTTTAATGAAACCTTTTTCTTTTCTTGTGGGATGGAGATGTTAGGATTATCGACGAGAGACTGGGATGGTTGGGATGGTTGAGACTGTTTTTTAAAGTTGGATAGATCAAAGGTGTTGAAAGAGTGTTTATTAGTGAAAAAACAGGGCTGGAAGATGATAGATATGTTGTAAGAGTTCATCCTGGAGGATTGGTATATATCGTTTTGGTTGATTCTAGAGTCACCATTGAAGCCAGAGAATAGATCGATCATGAGGATTAGCAAATGGAAGTTTAGTTTGGGCAATTCTTTCAAAAAAATGGAGGATATCGTGTCCAAGAGATTTTGAATGTCGGTTGAATAAGCTGAAGATTGGTCATTTAAGTTGTTTAGTGATAGCGAAACGTTTGAGTTCTTTTTCAAAAATTCGGTTAGGTGAATAAGATTGTCATTTTCAGTGATGGATTGGATCAAAACTGAGGTGATTTCGTTGGTGATGATGGGGCAAGGTAATTTGTTCAAGTATCTGTTGAAGAGATTTGCGACATCGTAGGGGTTGATCTGGATGATATCTTTTTCAGAATTGAGAATTGAGTATTGTTGGAAATTTGAAGCTGAGTTGTTGGGAGAGATATTCGAGTTTGAAGATTTTGTTTTGTTTAAATCGTTGTTGTTGGAACCAAACAATTTGTAGAAGAAAAGTAGGATTTTCGATTTGAAGTCGTTTTTGTTTTTCAAGGCTTCGATGTTGACAGACTTGTTTGAGTTCTGAGCAGCAGTGTTGGATCTGATGATGGCGTTGTGTTGGATGAGGTCCTTTTGCAACTTGATTTGGTGGTCATTGATACTGTTGATTGAGACGCTTTTGAGAATGGATGGGTCGATGTGGTTGAGATCGATGTTCTGTTTGAGCAAGTCCTGGTAGAAGGTGTTGAAGTATTTCTGGAGGATGGTTATGGAACGGGAGTTGCCGCTCTTTCTGAATATGGCAGGTTTTAGGAAGAAGTTGTTGAGAATCAAGTACTCTATAATGCTGATGACGATGATGGGAAGATTGAGAACGATCCTGATGGCCTGGGTGTGGTTGGCCTTGAGAAACTTCAACAGGTAGTCAGCGCGAGGAACCTTGTCGAGCGCAAGGCCAAACAATGATGGGTCTGGGGAACTCATGGGGCAGGGAGAAGAACAGGCAGCACGAGAGGCACAGGGAAAATCAGAGACAGCAGAGACAGCAGAGACAGCAGTATATATACAGCCCCTGTGCGAGCACCCTGAGCAGCTCCAGCACCTCCATCCACAAGCTCTCCACCAATTTGTCCACTAAGAGCCCTATCCAGAGCCCTGCTTCGCCCCATTTGCTGTCTACCGCACATATGTCTGCGTCTCAGCGCGTCCACACATGCGCGCGTGTGTCACCCACACTGCTGGACGCTCGGCGGCGGGAGTCCTCGGGCGGAGCCAAGCAGGGTCTGCTGCGTGTGCTGCTGGAGCATAATGCCACTCTTCAGCTCCCGCTGCCTCTGCTTCCTCTGCTTCCTCTCCAGCCCTGTCTGCCATGTCTGACTTCCACAGCTTTCCCGCGCCCTCTGCTGCTGCTGCTGCTGCCAACGCGCCCTCTGCTGCCTCCTCTCCGCCAGACTTCTCTCTCCTGAGAAGAAAGCCCTTGCCCAAGACTCCTCTGCCTCCTCCAGTGCCCAAGAATAGCTTCCATCCCTACTTCAGAAACCAGCTCTCCAGCTCACAGTTCTCCCTAGACACCACTGTCGCCACTAACCCCACCATAAAACCCTCGCCCTCCAACAGCACCAACATCAGCACCAACATCAGCACCAACATCACCTTCAATGCCAAATCTCCTTTGACTAATCCTCCTCCAAGATTATCTCATTCCAATTCTCATCTAAGGAGGAAGAAACCCATCTACAATGACGATGTTGTAACCCCAAATCCCTCTAGAATTAATACCAGCATCACAACTACAACTACTAATAACAATAACAATAACAATAACAACATCAACAACAATAATAATAATAATAATAATAATCCAGAACCACCGAGAAGCTCTGCTCTTTTACCTTACCATCCAGTCCCTTTGATCTCAAATACAAAGCATTTCTCTAACAATTCCTACAACAAAACCATTAACAAACCCAATCCCAAGGTCTCAAGCTCAAATATCTCTTTTATTACACAAAACAATAACTACAACCTCAAAAATGACGCCTCTATTAACATTAATACAACTAAAAACAATACAAATAATATCAATAATATCCCTAATGAAAACTTACTTTCTCCAAACGATATTTCAAATAATATTCAAAACAACCTTTCAACATCTTCTCAATCTTCTATTTCTTCATACTCCGCCTACTCAACATTCACCAACTACCATAACAGCATTACAAATAATATCATCCCTGACGATACCAACAATAACGATTCAAATTCAAATTCAAATTCAAATTCATTACCTATTCCTTCTTCAAATACTGACTCTCTCTCCACTTTAAGTCCAGATTACAAACCAATCAGTAAATACAAAACTAAAATCAAATACGAATTCTCTGCGTACGATCTCTCAAACACTCTCTCAAGATCCTCTTCCCACTCCGTATTAGTCTATGAAAATTCCTGCTCAAAATTATTCGGAACTTCTCTTGACAAAATCTCCTCAATTTGTCCTCCTGTGATCTTTCAATCTCCTTTTCCTCTATCTCCAAACGATCCCAACATCATCACAAACCAAATCACAACAAATGTCCAACAAATTGATCAACCTCTCTCTACTGACAATTCTCCTGAAAAATTGGATATCCAACACCAAATTGAATTGGAAATGAATAGATTATCCGCTTCAAATATAGACTCTTCAACTGATACTACCATCACTACCACTCTTACTACTTCTAAAAACGACAATAATCTCAACTCAATTCCTGTCTTTCAAGTTTACATCCCTGCCATCATCAAAGACTGCGCTGATTTCCTCATTCAAAACGACTTTACAAACACCGTTGCTATTTTTAGATCAAATGGCCACTTGAAAAATATTGCCTACTTGCAAGAAATCTTTGACACTGAAGCTCCCAACAGATACATTTCAATCTCAAAACTCAACGATTTCCTTAACGACAACATCAACTTTAACAATTCAAAGGTAAGTTTTTGCCACGACTACATCTCAAACTACGATGTCGCAAACTTACTAAAAAGATATCTCAACCACCTTCCTGACTCAATTATCCCAAAGGATATATCCTCCTCCTTAATCTCACAATTAAAATCAATCCCTTACTACAACGACATTAAATACTTTCTCCAATTCCAATCAAACAACTCTCTATTGTTTAGTATCGAAAGATTTAACACCGTCTTATCCCCCTTTTTAAGGTTAAAATTCTCAAATGTATTGGATTTCATCATTGAATTCTTTTTGAAAAATTTACCTCTTTATAACCTCCATTTAACCATCTTTTTAATCGACTTTTTTTCCCACTTTTCTAATCCTGCAAATTATCAATCTGTGTTCAATGAAACCAAAATCAATTCATACGCCCTATCAATTATTTTTCATCCTTGCTTTTTCCTAAATGAAAACTTAAATCTACTAAGACAACTACCTCCTCTAAACAGTATTACTGCTAATACTAGTGGCGAAAAGACACTTATTCAATCATTATCAAACATCAATCTTGATCAGTTCCGTGACTCCAATAAACAAAATGATTCCATCTTGGAAAAATTTGTCATAAAGCTCTTAATTGACAATAGTTCTTATTTTTTTCAAAACTTATACACCAGAAACTCTCAACTAAATTTAAACAAAATTCAGGTCATCAACATTTCATTTTCCGAATTTGAAACAAAAATAACAAACAATTTAAAACCTTTCAATAAATCTCAAAATAACTCTTTATTGAATTCAAACTCTTTAAATAACTTATCAACCTCAGTTTCTCAATTTCCTAGGGATAATGATAATGATAACGAAAAAGACGGCTTAAAAAATTCAAAAGTATCAAGAAACAGCAAAAGATTCTCAATGCTTGCAAAATCAATTGGTAATGTTATATCAAAATCAGCAAACGAAATTCACAATAAATTAAGTGACTCCTCCGTTTCTCCTACAGATACAAAAAAATCCTTTGAAGTTTTCATTAAAAACTCAGAATCTGGTGAATTGGTTGAACGAAAATCACGGTCAAACACTAAGGAAAGTGCAAGTTTCAAAAACACAAGCTCAGAGCTAACTTTGGATTTGGCTAAAAATAATGAAGAAATTAACCTTAATAGACTAAAATGTAAAAACGAATTGTATACTATTCCAAATATAAATGATAAATCACCATCTAAAATTTATGAAATGATGGCAACTGGTTGGGAAAAATTTTTCAATGTTTCGCCAGAATACTTGGATACAATTGATACTAATACAAGGTTAAAAGAAAAGAGAATATTTGAGTTGATCAAGCTTCAAACATTATATCTTCTAAGTATTGGGAGATTTCTAAAAGTTGGTGTATTGTTTCATGAATTGACCAAAGATCCCAACTGTAAGCCAATTTGTTATCCAATCAATAATAAAGAATTTCACGAAAGATGTTTTAGAGTATTTAGTAGTTTTTATGATCTCCAACGTGATAAATTGACATTTCCTTTATTAGATATAATTAATAATTTCCGTAAGAAACCGAGTAATACGGGTCATAGAATATTACTAGGAGAAGAATATTTGGATATTTTTGAAAGATGGGTTTTGAATTGCGAAAGTACTTGGATAAAGCTAATTGAAACATTTTCATATACGGAAATTTATTTAATGATTGGGAACTTTTTTACGAAACATAAGAATATTTATAAGGATATTTTGATAGAATTCAATAAATTTATTGATAAAGTGACCAGAGTTGATAGGGTGATTTCAATGGATATATTTTATAAGATTCTCAATAAGTTTTCGTATATTTTGACACAGAATGTTTATTCATTTTATCGGTTACAGACATTTTATAATAACTATAATAATTGTGAGGAAGAAGAAAAAACCAAGGAAAAATATTTAAGGATTAAGAAATTATTAATTAAGTTTGAGAATACGATTGAGATTGCTAGAACTAATTATAGAAACCGGAGGATATTTGAGTATATTAAGTTTGAGGACGAGGTATTTGATAAAAAGGAAGAAGTATTTGAGTTTGAAAATAGAAAATCCAGTTTAGATCCGAATTATCAACATAATCAAAATCACAGTCAAAATTTAATTAATAATAGTAATGAGAATGAGAATGAGAATGAGAATGAAAACGAAAACGAAAACGAAAACGAAAACGAGAATAAAAATGAGAATGAGAACGAGAATTTAAATAATAATTGTAATCAAAATTCAGATGATACTAAAACTTCAAATTCAAATTCAAATAATAATGATAAAGATAACGATAATGACAGTGAGAAAACAAATTTAAATGAAAAGAAAGGAAAAAATATTTTGGGATTTTTTGATCAAATCAAGTTAAGAGAATTACAATTTATTGGAATGATTTCAGTTGAAAAGAATTACAAAAATAATAGATTGATTGTCTTTTTATTTAATAAGATTGTATTTATAACTCAATTTGATGAAGAGAATTTCAAGTTTAAAGTGATAGAAGAGCCTATTTTGATTGAAAACTTGGTACTTCAAGAGAAGATTCAGAGCAATCTTAATGCGTATAATAATTGTTTTAATAATGAGAGCTATAATGATTTAGTTTGGATTGGTACAATTAAGGATCTTGATAAAAAGAGGCACGGAGAAGCAAATAAAAATACAGGGGATTTATATTATATGAAAAGAGAAGATTATGATACAATTGAAAGGATATTAACCTCTGACGTATGATTGTAATCAATATTTTGCATTTGCATTTGCATTTTTATTAAATTTTTTATTTTTATTTTTATTTTTATTTACTTTATAATTGTGAATTTTTCATGGTTTTTTTTATTCAGATTTTTTTAACTATTTTAGTAGCATTGTTTGATTTATATATAAGTGTATATATATAATAATAATTAATAAATACAAGCCGGTGGAAGTTTTTTTATTATATATTAAAAAGGGATTTAAATTAAATTTTTCGAGTAGTGGTAGATTGAAATGAGTGGTTATATAATAATAAAACAGATGAATGTATTTGACCACGCATGTGCACGCGAATGTATGCGTAGAAGCGCTTGAAAGGGATGTGTACATACATAAAAAGTGAAAATTTAAAGGAACTTAAATTTGTAATGAATAGATTTTTTCGTTGAATGATAAGGAGATATAAATGAGAGAAATCATTGAAGGGTGTTTGAAAGGGTTTTTTCTTTTTGATTTTGATTTTGATTTTGATTTTGATTTAATATTTCAAAGATATTAATTGAGTGTATTAGGATGGATATGAACGTAACAAAAAAAAAATGGGTTAGATTGAGTTAAGTTGAGTTAAGTTAAGTTAAGCTGAGAAAGAGTGGTTTGATAGGTTAAGCAAAGTAGAATTTAGATTATGTGGTTCTAAAATTAACATACAAGTGGTTGAATTATAAGTAAGATTGATAGAAAGTAATAGAACAATAATAATGTATGGGTTCTGAAGAGCAAAGAGAGAACAAAGAATAGAAGGAAAAAAAATATTGAGATGGAGATCGTGTGACCAATCAAAAAGAGTAAGAGAAGAGTGGATATATGAACTTTAAACGAGAAGCGGAACCGGAGAAGGGAGTCCGGACAAATGAGAGATGGCTTATAAATTCAGAGAGAAATGATTCTGTTGGGAGAGCTAGAAGAAAAGTGAAACAAAATGAAATAGGAAATGGAATAAGAAGGAATAGGAAAGAATAAGAAGGAATAAGAAGGAATATGGTGAGGTAAAATAAGGCAAAATAATAGAAAGATGTGATCATTTGTTTGAGACGAATAAAGGGATCAAAGAGTCATGGTGGTGATGCTGGTGATGATGCTGGTGATTCTGTGGTGATACCGTGAGACTGGAGTGAAATCAGGAGCATGACAGTATGGTGGATCGCGTATTTCAGTGGGAGCGTGGCGGATGGCAATCGCGGGCCGGTGCGGGAGGACGCCGTGAGCTACGCACGGACCAGCTGCGTGGCGCCAGGCTGGTGGAGGAAGCACAGGCAGCAATTTCCCCAGCAAAAAGAAAGGCTGCGGACGGCGGTCATGTGATGGGCCTCGAGGAGAGCTGCAACTGGGCTGGTTGTGGTTGTTGCTTGGGCTCCAGATATACATTGCTGGAGAGCTGTGAGTGAGGAAGCGAGCGAGACAGACATGAACAACCCAGCGTACTATGAACTCTACAGAAGAACCACCATCGGCATCGCTCTTACCGATGCGCTAGACAATCTCATCTTGGACCAGAGAATCCAACCTCAGTTAGCTATAGCAGTCTTGTCGATATTCGACAAGGTCATTTCCGACCAGCTCAAGGAAACCATCAAGAGCAAGTTGAATTTCAAGGGCCACTTAAGCATCTACAACTTCTGCGACGATGTGTGGACTTTTCAGATCAAGGATTTGGACATCAAGTTGGACAACAACGAGACATTGAGCGTTGACAAATTGCGAATCGTCGCTTGCAGCTCCAAGAGAGCTGGGGAGTGAGTCTGGGAATGCTGGGTCTCGCTACATACGTTATATACGGCATAAATACCTTCTCTCAGCGCAGTCTTCTCTCGGTGCAGCACACTCTTAGGCCTTGTCTGGGTGGCGGCCAGGCCCCTTGCCGACTCTTGGACACTGACGGTGCGGTGGGTATCGTGACCCCAGGACACGGCCACAGAGCGCTGTTCGGAAGGGCGCTTTTCGGGAGGGCGACTCAGGCCGCCTTTCTTTTGGTCTTTTCTTTTTGTCTTTTCTTTTCTTTTTCTCAGGAGTCTGAGCTGCTTTCCACCTCAAACTATTTTCAAGTGTATCTATAAAAATTAACTTATCGTTATTTATCTTACTTCTACTTCCTCTCCAACGTCGTTGTTTTCCTTTTATACTCTGATTTGCTTCTTTTTCCACTCAAGGAACAAATATCTTCATTGCCTTTTTTTTTCGCTTCTTGCTTCTGGTTCCCATCCTGCAAATAGCACTGCTATTTCCATCATCTGATTATTACGAGTTTTTCCTCCAATATATCTCCAACTATTTAAACATTTCAACCACTAATCTCGATCTTGCAACCTATCCAATAATCCAACTCACCTTCACCTCAAAATAAAAAACATAGCAAAAACTAATAAACAAAATCAACTCAAAAGCTACTTATCTGATTCTACTGCTTTTTCAAATCATAATCATCTGTTTATAAATAGATAACAAATACTCCATAGCAAATTCAAATTCAAATTCAAATTCAAATTCAAAAGATTAGCAAGCACTTTCTGGTTCAAATCTCACTTTGTCCATCCACTATTTGTTCTTGTTTTTTTATCTCATTCCGGTTATTACTCTTCCTTATATATTATACTATACCTTATTATACTATCCTATAGTATACATCCTATATCCTATATCCTATATCCTATATCCCATATCCTATAAACTATTCTTATTCTTATTCTTATTCTGTTTCTATTTCTGTTTCTTATTCTTCCTACATTTTCACTAATTTTCTCAATCCCTCCTACTAATTGTTTCTTTTTTTTTTTTTCGTTTTTTGGTTTTTCGTCAAAAAAAATCGTTCATCCTTCAACCTATTCACCATACAACTACAGGCTGCTTTTTTCTTACTCTAATAAATCAACAACACTCCATTTATATCTACTATCATCTCAAATAACACTGCCACATTCATCCATCGTCTCACTACATCCTCTTCTTTTTCTTTCAGATAAATGAAATGAATTCCCAACTAAACAATACTCCTACAAACGATAACCAAGAACAAGTTTATTCAACTGAAGACCAATACAGGCTGGTTTTTTTCGATTCTGCCAAAAGAGTCTGTTCATCTTCCTCAAATGATAATCTACAAAACAACAAAAGAGTAAGGCTAGATACCTCCCTACAGAACCTCCCCCAGGTCTCTGTCGTCTCGTCATCCTCCTCCTCCTCATCTTCCAACAATAATACCTCTAACACCACTGGTCCCTTGAAGTTGCAACTGCCCTCTGCCTCATCTTCTTCAAACACACCAAATTCCTCTTCCTCGCCTTCCTCTTCTTCATCGGCTCTCACATCCACTGCCACGCCATCCTCCCTATCCTCAAAGAACTCTGCTTCCCGTTTGCCCCCCTCTTCTTCTGACTCGACTTCTCCTGGCCCCTTGTCCTCAACCTCCTTGAACCCTTCCTCACTTCTCTCCAACAACAATCCTTCTCTATCCCACGAATCTCTTTCCTCTTCTCCATCTCCACCCTCCTCCCAAAACATCCCTCACTCGATTATCCTTAATCACAACGACTGCAATCCTCTATCTCACTCACATTCTCGCTCTCGTTCTCGTTCTCGTTCTCCTAATTCAAATTCCGTCTCCATAGATTCTTTAATGAATCACCACCACTACAACTCCTCATCAAACTCCTTTACAATAATCCACAACCACTCTCATAACATCATCAACGATGAAAACTTAAACCTCAATATCAATACCCAATCCATCGCAATCAACGATGAAAACGACTCTCAACTGAAATTTAGGTCCGGAAAAGTATTACGCCCTCTCTCTCTCAATGCCTACAACTTGCCTCTTCAACCACAAGCATGTCCTTGTCCTTCTCCTTCTTCATCCTCACCTTCTGCTGCACTCCCACCCCCCTCTTCTTCCTCATCTTCACCAGCATCTTCTTCTTCTTCCTCTTCCTCCTCCTCCTCCTCTTCAGAATCTGCCTCCTATAATTCATCTTATTCATCTCAAGCTGCCAATGCTGCTCAGAATTTCATATCCCTTCCCCCCTTGAAATTATCCCCCAAATCTACTCCCATCCTTCCTTCTTCTGTTGTTCACAAGAGACCGGCTCATCTTACTCTATCCAACTCCTCTAAAACCTCCATCAATCACAAGTACTATCCAAAATATAACCATCAAAAGAGAAATTCCCTAAACAAAAAACCTTTCCAAATATCAAAATTAATATCAAAAAACTCAAACGTTGATTACACCTGTTTAATTCCAACCAGCAACACTATCAAAAACAATACCAGCAACAACGACTTGAATATTATCAACAATAACTACAACTCAAGCTCAAGCTTAAATTCAAACTTAAACTTAAACTCAAATTCAACCTCTGCCATCAATAATGACTCCATCTCTTCCTCAAAACCCACCTCTAATGACAACACTCACAAAACAGCTATCACGTCTAATAATTTCAATTCTTTTAACGCCTTCAATACTTACAATTCCAAGAAATACAACAACCCAGTAATCGATAACCTCATCACCCTATCAAACGCTTCTATCACCAGCCCTTCCATCAACAAAAACTTGAACAAAAATACTTCTAATGATAACGACAAAATCAATAAAAACAACAACACTAATAACCAAATTGATATCACCGCTGGAATAATGATCCCCAAAAATAACTCCAACATGTCCAACAAAATTACCTTGGGCGGTAATCTCAAAAACCAAAATAATACCATCAACATTATCAATACAAATATCAGCAATTTCAACAACATTAAATCTTTCAATTTCAATAACATTAATCGTTTGCCTAATTTCTACTCAAGAAAAAGATCAAAATCCCTACCTGATACAAGAGCTTTAAAATCCTACTTGAATCCAAATCATGATATCAATATATCAATAAATTTCACCCAAAATTTCAATCAAAGCTACAATCAAAATTTCAACCAAACCACAACAACCTTTACTAACAATAACAACAACAATAACAACAACAATAATAATAATAATAATAACAACAGCAACAACAGCATTATCATTAATAACAATAGCTCCAACAATCCAATCAACACCAACGCCAATAACAATACCATTCACAGTCTTACCAGCAGTGATAACACCAACACAAATCCAGCCCTCAAAAATTCAGGCCTGACTCTGAACATGATTAACATCACTTTAGCCAATTCAAAGAAAAACCAAAATAATAATAAACTAATTCCTACTGTTTTAAATAATAACAACATGAACAACAACAAACAAGTAAATATAAACCCCATTTCCATCAATAATGATTACCCACCAGTTAATACCCAATCATTAAAGGAAATAGACTTGCAAGAAATTCTCAAAAATCCTCAACTCAGACATGATATACTCTTTGATCCTCAGTTACAATTCAGACCAAATTTGGATGGTGACAGAGGTCGCAGAAAGAAACTAATGGTTGATAAATATTGGTTGGAAATTCAAGGCGAATTTTGCAGTCTAATTAATGATCCAAAGTCTTTTAAACTAGTCAAATTACCAAAATTATTTACAACTTTAAAGGATATTCTAATAAGCCTTTTGCCAGAAAAGGATCGCAACTTGGTAAACCAGGTTTTAGATAAAGAATTACTAATCCAGCAACTAAGAAATAATTGTCTTGATTTTATTTCTTTATCAAATTGGTTGGCGAACGTTTTTAAAAATCACTGTGCTCCAATGAGAGATACATGGGTTGATGAAATGACATTAAAGTTTTTAGAAGCTGAAACCGATCATTCTATCCCAAAATTGGTTGATGGTTTAAGAATGGTGTTTGCAATCTTAGAAGCTATGAAATTGGATATTGCCAATCATCAAATTAGAACTTTGAGACCTGTTTTGGTTGAAACAAGTTTGGAATTTGAAAAGGATTATTATAATCAATTGATTTCTGTGAATAAAATTGATATAAAAGATTCCTTAGAATGGTTCAAGTCGAGCTACAAGAAATATGCATCATCGCCTGAAATTACTTCAATTAGCAAAGTCGAAAACTTAAAATCTAAAGGTCTTGTTGTCACAGGCAGTCAAACTCTTGACAGTGAAGATTCTGATGATGATGATGATGATGATGATATAGAACATCCTAAATATATCAAAGTTGGTATTGACCTAAAAAGAGTCTGTATCAGTGCAATTTTGAATTTACTAAGCTGTCGTAATATGACTAGCGAATTTCCATTGACGCTAAGCTTTGATAATTCAAGGTTAGCTTTACTAAGAGCCGAAATTCGTCAATTAGTTTGCTTGCAAATTTGTTTGTACATTTTCCGTCAGTTGGTCTTGACACATTCCGATAAAAAATACAGAGGTAAATTATTAACAACTGAATCTCTCAAGTCCATTAAAAATGAAATATTGGCTATTATAACAGATGACAATGGATACGTGAAATGGACAAGAAATATTCCTTCAATTTCGTTGTACTTGGCCAAGAAAGTGATATCAAACCCTGAAGAAAATTCTTCCAAGAAGTCTAATATAATTGCAACTCCTCCAGAGAGTCTAACTAACTTAGTTCATTCATGGTTATTAAAACAAACACAACCAAAAAGCAAAGTTTATGGATTAATGGAGAGCAAAATTATTTCAGAACTAAATACATTAGTATTTGAAAGATTTACAGTTAAAAATGCCATTCCTGGTGAATTAGTTCCGGTGACAATGACAGGTAATAACATGTCAATTAATTCATCTCAAACATCAGTTTCTAATACAGCAAGTGGATTCAGAAGTTCTGCCTGTTTAACAAACACAAACACAAAAACTAATACTAATAGTAATAATACTAATAGCAATGATAATGATAATGATAACGACAATGGAGGAAATGATAAAGAAAAAAGCGGCAATGGCAAAAATGGAAAGAAAAATAATTGCAACAAATTAGATGGGGCTAGGAATGTCAGTGGAGAGAATAATTTGAGCAATCATAGCTTTGGAGAAGAATTAATGTCTTTATCAAGTAGATTATACACATTAAGTGTGTTTCATTGGAATGTTTTTGGATCATATTACGCAGATTGCATTAGAAAGGATTATCTTGAAAGCATTAATAATTTAAACCTCAACTAAATTAAATTCAACTTTATGAAAAAGGGTTTTATTTCAGATTTTTAAATTTCTTTAAAGATTTTTTTATTGTTTCTATTCTTTTATTATTATTTTTTTTATTACAATTCATTTTTCATCATTCTTTTAACATTCTTTCATTATTTTGTTTTTTCTTTCTTTTTTTTTCGTTTATTTTTCTCATTTTTTTAAAATCTTTATTTTTTTTAATTCTCTCTTTCTATTAATTTTGTTTTGATTTAAATTCATTTGGATTTTATTGAAAATGAAAGCCTTCCGGTTATAATTAAAAGGAATCAGATTATACTAGTTCATCATACCTTATAACATAATTTTTTTGTTTTTATTATATTTTTAAGCATGGTCAAATTATTTTTGCTGTGGAGGAAATTTATCATTATGTAATAAATTGATTAATTCTGTTTTAACTTCCGAAGTTGTTTCTTATTTTTGTTGTACTCTTGTTTTGTATTAGGATTTTTTTACCACTATTGAATTATTTCTTTTTTTTGTTTTTCATTCTAATTGCTCTCTACTTGTCAATAATCCAATAACGTTGCTCTCATAAAAAAAATACTTTTAATAACATATATACTTATAAAATTTTTTTACCAAAATCACTTTAATTCAACAGACTTTAATTACTTTAAGCTGCACACTGTAGAATGTACCATATTCCCTATGATAACTTGCATCACATTATGCGCAAAACGTGCAAGTTATGCTGCGCGCTCAAATAATGTAGCACATGTAATATTACGTAATTAAAAATATATTATTACATAATGTGGATAATGTACATTACATAATCCGTACAACGGTAAATACCGCTACGTGCACAAGGAAAAGCACGTGCTTCCTTGCTGTTTTGCTTTTTGCCTGGATTTGTTTTGTTGGCTGCAAATGAATTGGAAGCTTGAAAATAATCAGAGCGAAAGGGTAGCAAAGATATTCCACCATTAACATCATCTTCATCTGATAGTTATATATCGCGTCAATTAGCAAAAGACTAGTTCTAGCCATATTTTATTCCACTATTATTTTTAAAGAACATTCAATACTAAATAACAATGACTGATTTATGGTACGTCTTGACTGCGACTCATCGTTATTACAAAGATGATCGTTGACCTTGGTTATCGCTGCAATTTTGGAGCTTCTTTTCTTATTTATCATAATTATCAATTTACTAACCTGTTTTTTATTATTTATAGTCCGGTTTATGCTGTAAGTTTTAATCTTAAAAAATTTGGTTAAATCTGATTGCTTTTAGGTGTTTCCACTGTTTTTTTATTTTTATTTTTATTTATTTTTATTTATTTTTTTCTAACATTTTTATTTATTTTTATTTAGCCATTTTTTGGTTCAATTGGCTGTGCCTGTGCCATTGTCTTCACATGCTTTGGTGCTGCTTATGGTACTGCTAAATCTGGTGTAGGTATCTGTGCCACCTCTGTTTTAAGACCAGATTTAATTGTTAAAAATATTGTTCCTGTTATTATGGCAGGTATTATTGCCATTTATGGTTTGGTTGTTTCGGTTTTAGTTTCCTATTCTCTAAAACAACAACAAGCATTATACACAGGTTTTGTACAATTAGGTGCAGGCTTATCTGTTGGTTTATCTGGTTTAGCTGCCGGTTTTGCAATTGGTATTGTCGGTGATGCAGGTGTAAGAGGTACTGCTCAACAACCAAGATTATTTGTTGGTATGATGTTGATTCTTATTTTTGCTGAAGTTTTAGGTCTTTATGGTTTAATTGTTGCCTTATTATTAAACTCGAGAGCTACTCAAGATGTAACTTGTTAATTAATTTGATTATTTAATTATTAATGATTATAATTGTTTTAATTATTTAAAAAGAAATGAATAAAATAAATATAAAAAAATATTAAAAAAATTAAAAATTGAAAAAGGTTTTAGATTAATTTAGAATTTTTCTCAACTTTTCTAGCATAATGATTTGAATAATATCAAATTCAAAATTCTAATTTTAACTAATTAAAATTAATTATTATTAAAATATAATTAAATTTATTATTAAATGTCAAAATTACCATCAAAATTATCAAAAATTTACTCTGTGCATTTTCTCAAAATTATTTATATTATTCATAATTATAATTTTAAAATTTCTCCCTTTTATTCTCAAATTCCTTTACTTCTTAATCCCTACTCAACTCAACCATCAATCCTCTTTATATTAGATATTATTATAATTTATTCTTACAATTATTCTATTCTAAAACATTCAATTGATTTGTAAACCAATCGTACCAACTCAATAAAAGAAGGTCATGTATATTCATTATTCCATTAAAACTATTTATTCAACGTATCTAAAATATATCTTTTTGTAAAAAAATTCTACTAATTTCTTCACTTATACACAATCTCGAAAAGTAAATTAGTTCTTTCAAATTCTTTGGTATTTCAATTTTCAACTCTGCTAATTCATTTTGCCAATTTTTTTCTCCCACTTTATTATTTGCGATACAATTTTTATACAAATTTTCGGCTTTTTTTAATATCTTGCCATTCTTTTCACTAATAATTTTATTGTTTTTATTTTCCAATTTATTATCATAGAAATTATCTATCAAATTAATAATTAAAACTAATTCCTTTAGTTTGAACAATGAACTATTCAAATTATTCAAAATTGAAGACTTCAAAAATGGCAATAAATTACCTAATAACAATGGAAACACATCTTCTGGTAAATAAGAAAACTTGAACAATAGCAACAAATTTTTTAATGATCTTTTTAAATCTCCCCTTTTTTTTAATTTGAAAAACCTAAATAATATACTATAAGGGGAAATACATTGCCTTAGCACAGGATTTAGATTTTTTTTTTCTTTGATTATTTGTGAATGAATATCCTTTTTTTCAATTGTATCGTCGTCATCTCCAACAATATAATTAATAATTTCGTTGTTGATTTGATCACTTTCAATTAAACTTTGGGTAAAAATATTCCAGCAATAGAATTTTAGCAATTTCAAACTTCCTGATTTTGCCAAATAATTTAAACCAACAAATATGTTACCGTTATTCAAAAAATTAATTGAATGTATTTTATATAATTGATTGGATAACGCGGATAATTTTAAATCGGCACATATTGATAACAACCATTCTAAATCATTAAAAGTATCACAATAATAATTTGGCAAGAATTCTGTTAATACATTTTTCAAATTTGGCTTATTCAAATAAATTAAAAGACCAACACCGACAGGGATCAATTCTCTGATTGATAAACAATCCATCGCATGATTGTATACTAAATATTCAGAAATAGTATTAGTTTCATCGCCATCTTCTTCCTCTTCCATCAAACTATCATGAATTTTTTCGATTTCAATGTCTTGCTGACTAATACTGCTTGTGTAATTTTTGCTGTCTTCAAACAGTAAAGTTTTTTTATTATTCAAGAAATCAAGTTTAGTGTAGTCGTGAAGTAAACCTTTAGCCTCACATAAAGTTGCAACATATGGTGTTGTGTCTTTATCTAATAGTTCCAAGGAGCTCAACACTGCAAGAAAATTTCCCTGGATTAGAGAATAACAAGCAGATTCCCACACGTTAGATAAATTTGGCAAATGATAGTACTGTTGTTTATTATTTGTGATAAGAGTTAAATATTCATTGAACAAAGATATATTTGGCAAATTAAACAACATTAGCCCATTCAAGGCTTCAAACCAATTTAAAGAATTTTTTAAAATAAGATTTTTGTTTCCAGACAAAATTGTAAAAGTAGTTTTGAAATTTTCTAAAATTTTTAAATCATCATTATTATATTCATCATTGTTGTTACTATTGAAAAGATTGATTTTATAGTTTTTAATAGTTGTTGTTAATTCTTTAACAATGTTAATTGAATTCAATTTAAATTCCCTGAATAAATGCATATCAGCATTAATATTTTGATAAAAGTTGACCAAACCAATTAAGTTTTGGAAAAGTAAATAAATATTGATATTATTTGTTTCAAATTTATCCAATTCCAGATTTTCTAAAAGATTTAAGACTTGTTTGAACAATCCTCTAATCAATAGCTGATTTAAAAAATTAAAAAATTGGGGGCGATAAACAGGATGGATAGAATCAGATGGAGAGAAAATTTGTTTAATTGTTTCTAAAGCTGGGTTATCTGGATCAGCTTTGTTAATCCAAATCGATAAATTTGTAGTTAAATTGGAATCATTTGAAAAATAAACAGATTTAAGACAGTTTAAAATATTCAAATAATCTTTTAAATCAAATATTTTGGTAGTGTTTTTAGTTTTTAAATCAATTTTTTTTTCAATTAATATTTCCAACTCTTGGATGATAAAATCCAATGAATCATATAACACTTTATTTGAAATCTTTTTATTTGAAGCGTTGATACAACCCATAGATTGAAAAAAGTTATTATTACTGTAATATTTAAAATTTCCTAAAGTTTCATAATTTTTGAAGAGTTGTGAGATATAGTCAACATAACAATCAATTGAATCAAAATTATCATTAAAAATCGGGGAAATGTTTTGAACTGGATATAAGCTTATATCGGATTCATAAGCTTTCGAGGAGATGTTTAAATCTGAAGAGGAAACAAACATTAAACCATTTGCACCGATAGGATTAAATTTAAATTTTAGGCATCTTTTAGCTTGAATGAAGACATCTAGACCATTTTTTGGAATAGGAGGATGACTTAATCTTGTTAAAACAACACTGGTTTCAGAATCAACTTCAACTGAATCGCCTGCATTATTGGAATTAAAAGTAGCAGAACCATCGTTCACAATTGTATGGTCATCATCAGATCCACTATCTTGATCAACTTCAATTTTATCAGGTTCAAAATTCAAAGAAACAATTTTTTGATTTTTTGGTGTTTGAAGATCATAGTTGAAAGGCTGAAAACTGTAAGCATTGTTGGTTGCAAAGTTATTGTCATTATCGTTGTTGTTGTTGTTTGTAATATTACTGGTGCTGTTGTTTATTGCAGCACCCAATTTAATGCTCGAACCATCCATTGGTTAAAACAAATTGTCAACCAAAAAAACACTCTTCTTCAGTTTCAGAACTAAAGCTGTTTATATTTTGTTTTGTTAAAACAAATTTCAATCTTTGCACGAGATCCGGTTTATATCATGTGACTAACAAGTCAATTGCGGCTTGTATTTTATTTTGCGATAAATATATGTTGCGCAACTTATTCGGCAGATAAATTGTTTTATTTATGCTATGTAAAAGAATATTGAATTTTATAGAAATAAAATTATGGGCTATTGGGGTTGTTATTTTTTCATAATTTGGATTTAGAACCGTTAAGTTTGATACTTTTTTCAAGCAATTCGATTGTTTTACCAGACATGCCATAGGAACTTTGATAACCTGAACCACCAGCACCATAGTTGTGAATAATTTTTGAATTTTGTTTATCGATTTCGATTCTTGGGCCACCTTTTCTATAAGGTCTGAAACCAACATTGACTTTAACAATATCGAGATAGTTTTTATTGTGATTGATGGAGGGATCAATCAATTCTGGGCAGTATTTTACAGCTCTTTCAGAGATTCTTTGAATCAAAGCAGTATCAACTTCTTGAACTGTGCTGTGCTTTTGGAAACATCCACCGAGGATAGTGCCACCTTCTTTTCTGGGAATAATGTATAGCATTTCATCATCATAACCTTCGAAATTGGAGACAGTTAATTGTTTTTTGGGGGTATTGGTAACTAGTAAAGTTTGACCTCTAACTGGATAAACTAAAGGATCATTAACACCATTTAATTTACCAGCTAACAAACCTGTGCAATTGATAACATAGTCCGATTTTTCACCTGAATGATGTAAAGAGAAAGCATCATTAATGTGGTCAAGTTTATATCTTTTGTAGGTCACACCGAGCTCAACACATTTGTTTAATAAGTAGTATAAGTAAATAGTTGTTGTTGCAGTTAAACCTGAAAATTTGAAACCGAATTTACAATCGTCTGGCAATTTTGATCTGTCATTGATCATTTCAAAACCTTCAACAAAATCTACAAACCATGGAAATTCATAATTATCAGCATCCTCAAATTTAATATATTCATAGGAATCAATGATATGGATACCTGATTTTGGATCTTTGGCCAATTTTCTCAATTCGAAATAGCCTGGTTTATCTAACTCTTGTTCAAAGATTTCGTCCTTTGATGCTAAAGAATACCATTCAGCGCCGGCATATGGAGAAGTATATTCAGGATCAATATCACCTGGAAGGTTTTTAGCAATAATTGAGACGTCGTATCCCTTTTGAGCTAGCAAATATGAGGTGGTCAAACCTGCAACACCAGCACCGATAACCACAATCTTAGTCATTTTAATAGAAGTGAATTTGATAGATTTGTATTTGGATAAGATAATTGATTAGTTTTAGTATATATATATTTATTGATCTATTTACGTTATTTACAAAAGATATTAGAGGGGACAATACTGGGGAAGAAGCATGTTTAAATACAAAACCAGGAGAGCAAGGAAGCAAGGGAGGTGCTTTCCAATCGATTTCTTTATCAATGTCTCTAATAAAAAAAAGTATAGACTGATTTGAACCAACAATAAGAGGAAATCAAATCGACTTTCTTATCGAAGGCCTTATTGGCTTGAAGCATTTTGATGAGATGCCCCTTTTAGAATCGGGACGTTGCGTGTGGAATCTACTTAGGTGGGCTATAGATAGTGAGAATCGCTATATAGAAGCCGGAAAAACCCTGTATTTTTCGCAACAAGCTGTTTAGCATCGCCGATATATTCTCAATTGATCCAGTTTATCATTTTTTGAAATTGTTTTTGATTTGCTGGAACAAATACTTCCCAGTGTCCTTCGAGTATTGTTTAGCGAAAGATTTGGCCTGGTCTTTATTTACGTGGGTGGAAACGTAATCAGCAGCCTGGTCTTGGATGTTCAATTTTTCCATGAAATCAAACACCTTGGATTTGGTGTTTCCTGCGTACAATTTAGCATTTTCAGGCGAGCCTAGTCTTCGATATGGAGTTGGTTTATCGTAATAGTAATGAGCCAATCTTGGTTTAGCATTGGGAATCGACTGACCAGAACCAGTTTGGCTTGCTTGAATAGTCTCATCGTCGCTACTGATATGGACATGGTCTTGATAGCCATGCTGGGAATCGAAAAGCGTTTGGTTTTCAGGCAATTGGGGAGGTTGGTAGTACTGCGATTAGCGATTGGTTATCAAGAACTGTGTTAATAAAAAAGAACTGGAGACGTGCAGGCAAAGATAAGGAAAAAACGATCCATACATAAACTCTGTCGTGGTACATCTCCACGCCTCTGGTGAGAGTGCTTCTGGACTTCTCCTTGAACTTGCTGGTGAGGTACGAGATATCCATTAGAATGGGGAATAGGGACGATAGTGTTTCTGCTTCCAGGTTTATGCTTGGTAAAGGTGCTGACGAAAATGCTCAGCAAAAGAGGGGCTTCCTGCGGTCTTTTATATGTTTTACTCTGTCTCTGTTCTCAGCCTCAGGATGAAACAGCAGTTTCAGCGTCTACTCGTCGCCAGTAGACTGGGGCTCGTTTGTGTGGGAGGGCGTTGGGAAGCAGAGGCAGATGAAACAGATAAAATAGATGAAGACGAAACAGAAACAGGTGGGTCTGGTGAAACAGTCGTGTATTAAGGGAGGGGGGTTATTTAGTTCAAAACTTCCTTTTCATGTGGTTCATGAGAAACTGGCTGGCTTTCTTGCCGTAGTTCTTGGTGTTCTGTTCGTTCATGTGTTTGGAAAAAAAGTCGCTTTTTGGCGATGCTGGAGCTTCTTCGCCCTGCATTCTATACAAACTGGCAGTATTGGGGGAGTTGAGTCGTCTGTAGGGAGTTGGGTGCTCCAGATATGTGTAGGTTTTGGTTTCTGTCTCAAGATATCCATGTTGAGCCTGAAATACTCTCTTGTTTCGTGGTTCCAATGGAGGAGAATAGTCCTAGAGAAACATTTACTGATGTATTAGTTGTTTTGTTTCTTATTTAGTTGAACTAAACTGTTGAATGGCGAAATACATACAGAGTTTGGAGAAAGACTTTCTTGGGCAAGTTTTTCTTTGATTTTGCTGCTCAATTGATTGAAATTCATTTTCGCTTTGAATTGGATCAGAATATGGAAATATAATTAAGAAGAGTAAAAAGGATGCAAAGAATAAAACAAATGCAGCGAATACAACAAATACAATTAATACAACTAAGGAATTGAAGGAAAGAACAACTAGTACAGATAAAATACAGAAATAAAATGTTGAATCATTTTATATCTCTTGAGCTCAGTAAAAGCAATCATAAACCCTCAGATTCCATCTCATCCATCCTTATCCATCCTTTAATTCAGGCCATCGAAAAGATCTAGACCGGGGAGCAAAAAAGAGATTGTTGTTCACGTGTATTTTTATTTATAGTTTGATGCGACACATTTATTTATATTCATTTTGGCGATTATTGGGAAGTTGTAATTGAAAATTGAAAAGATTGCAAAGCATCAGAAGAAAAGAGATTAGTTGGATTGGAGATGAGTGGTACTGCAGATACTAGTGTCAGTGTTAGTGCCATAGATATAAACAGTCGCAGTACTAATGACAGTAATACTAAAGAGTCTGAAAGATCTTTCGTTGAAATCGAAAATAACGAAAATAACGAAAATGATAAAAGTGATAAAAGTGATAAAAGTGATAATGAAGAAAAGGAAGGAGATTTTACAATTATATCGTATGATCCCAAACATAAAAACAAAAAGAAGGATAAAAAAAATGATGATGATGATGAAGAAATTGAAATAGAGGATAAAAATCACGAACACAATGATAATAACGATCAAATTAAAAGTAAAAATAAAAGTAAAAGCAAAATTAAGAGTAAAGGTAAAATTAAAAGCATAGTGGAAGAAGAGCCAAAGACTGAAAAAGCCAATACCGATAAAGATAGTAATAATAATAATAATAATAATAATAAGAAAGAAAATGATGATAATAATAATGGTGATAATGATAATGGTGAAGATGATGATGAAGAAGAATTGGGAACTACAGTATTGCCGTTGGCGAGAATCAAGAAAATACTTAAATTTCATCCTTCACATATATCATGTAATGAGGCAACTGTTTTTGCTACAGCTATTGCAACAGAATTATTTGTTCAATATCTAACGGAGCAGGCATTAATAAATGCTCGAATAGAAAAAAGGAAAAAATTGACGTATAAGGATTTTTCGCAAGCTGCATCAGTGAATTCTAATTTGAATTTTTTAACCAATGTTGTACCCAAGACTCAAAGTGTTCGAAAATTAGTTCGGAATGATGCTATAAGGTATTCTAAAGCGACTAAAAACATGAAACAACTTGTGGGTAATAATGGTAAAACTAGTTATAGCAATGGGAATGAGGAATTGGTTGATGAAAATGGGAAGATTAAGATTAGTTATGATTTTAATAATAATAGTTATCTCAATAACAAAAATAAAAACCGGAGCAAAAACACTGATAAAAATCAACTGAAATTGCCATTTGGTAAGATAACGGATAAAGCTGAGGAAAAGTTTATTAGTGAATTAGTTATCGAATCAGAAGTTGAGAGATCGGATGACAATGAAACTATTCAAAGAGAATATGAAGAGATAATTAACGATCAAAGAAGTGGGAAACATGTTGATTCCGATGTAAAAACCTCGTGTCAAAACGTTGAACATAGTAAACATAATTTCAATAAGACTGTGAATAATTTTAATAGTGGTGTTGATAATAAGAATGTAAATGGGAATGGAAATGAAAATGGAAATGGCATTCGTGGTAATACTGATAATGGTAGTGATAAAAATGCAAATTTGAATTTTAATTTGAGTCAAGATAAAAATAAGATTAGTAACAGTTTGAACAGAGATAAAATAAATGAAAAGCCAAGTTTAGATGATATTAATGAAAACAATAGAAACAATCAGTCAAACGAGGAGTTTCACCATATTAAATTGAATAATATTGATTTGAAGAATGGGCAATTTAAATTTAAAGTTCATTTGAAAGACATGATTAACCAAGAAGATGAGAAAAATTCGGAAAATATTAATAATGATAGTAATAGTAATATTATTATTAATGATAAAAGGAGAAAGTTAAACAAAATCAAAATTCGAAATCAAAATTATAATAAAAACCATAATAAAAAAAGCAATGCTATAAAAAGTATATTAAACAGTGAAAGCGATAGTGATAGTAATGGCGATAGTGCTATTGATATTGATCATAATAATGATAATAATAATAATAATAATGATAATAATAATAATAATGATAATGATAATAATAATGATAATGATAATAATAATGATAATGACAATAGAGAAATTATAGATAACGAGGATATTGAAATGAGTTGAGTTTATATAAATTAATAAGGAACTTTTATTACATATTTACATAAGAATTAGATAAAATCTGCTGAAATTATATATAAATAGAAAATTGATAATACATCAATTGAGCTTCAGTTGAAAATTAAATTATTAAGGATGTTCCAGCCATTCTGGGAGCTCTGGATCATTTGGATTTATCTCTTTTCCATAAAATATATAGTCAGACAATTTTTTATAATATAAGTTTGAATCTAAAGAGTTTTTAAAGCCTTTATAAGAGTTTGAAGAAACTTTAGTGAAGTTGTATTTTGGGACCAAAGGTTTCAAATCGTGGTTGTAATTCTCGGAAGATGGAGGAACATAGGTTCGCACCTTGGACCAAGTTATATAATAGTTACCACCAGGAGTGTGTTTACCAATACCGGAGGATCTTGTACCTTTGTAGAAGGTCTTATTGCCCTGTTTTGTGGTCAAGGCATGTCTTTTCGAACCAGACTTACGCTGGCCGTAGAACAACTGGTTTGAACGCTCTTTGACCCAGGGTCTGAGGAGCTGAGCAGTGGCAGAGGAGTGGAAGTATGCTGGAGCTGAGACCTTCATGGCAAGTGGTGAATCTGCTGCGTGTGGTGAATCTGCTGCGTGTGCTGGAGCTGAAGACCACGCTAAAAAGAAGCAAGTGCCAGAGCACGTGATCGCACGTGCTGGAGCGGGAAAGGCCGATGCGACGGGCTCCCACCGCTGAGGAGCTTTACGCGCGCGGGAGCGGCAAGGGGCGACCCAGGCCAATGGCGCAGCTGCGAAAGGTAAGCAGCTGCACCGGGCACGCTGCTGACCTCCAGGCCGAACTTTATCCCAAACCGTCTGATTTATTATATCGCACCAGTTTATCTGCTTCCAACACAGTCTTCTTCACCAGCTCCACTATCCCTTCTCCAATTGCCTCTAGTGCCCATGTTCCCACCATGAATTCCAGCACCCACAGCCACCAGACCAACCAGAACACCCAGACCCCCGCTGCGTCTAATCCCAGCTTGAGCAGCTTGGACATAGCTAATTTGATTTCTAATCCCAGTTCCGCCAACGTTCGTGTTAACCCTCACAATCCCAGCCCAGCCAACAATGGCATCTCCAGCGCAAACAACAATACTGCCAAAATCAGCACATATCACAATAGGTCTCCCTCCTACAGCAGCCAATTGTACCCTCTAAATCCCTATTCTGCCCAGCAAAATGATCAATTATCTTCTCCCAACATCCAGTCCCAGATGCAGCTGCACTCGTTGAACCAGCTAAACAACCCCAACCCCAACTCCAATCCTAATCCTTTATCAGTTCAATCAAACTTGCCCAACAACAACAACACCCACAACAACACCTCCAACCATGCAAACATCCACAACTCCATTAACAACTCCATTAACAACTCCCTTGCAAACACCATTACTATCCCCAATAACAACATCAATAACACCAATTCCAACAATAATAATCCTCAAAATATAAATTACCAGTCAAACAACTCTCAGATTACTCAGTTAAATAACATCAATAGTTTAAATTCCCTTAGCAATTTTAATAATCTCTCGGCTGTTAATAATCTTGCTACTCTCAACACCTACAACAGCCTCAACAATCTCCATAACATCGCTAATTCTAACAACCTTAGCAGCATAAACACTATAAACAATATCAAAAAAAATGCAAAAAACAAAAGGATGGCCTGTGTTGAATGTAGACAGCAAAAATCAAAATGCGATGCTCAAGAAAGAGCTCCTTTACCTTGCACAAGATGTACGAGAAGAAATCTCATCTGCTCTTTACAATCGAACTACAAAAGAACCTACAAGAGAGCAAGATTAGCTCAGATGGAAAAGCAATTTAACGACTTGAAATTAACTCTACAAAAAGCTGGGATAACTGACTTACTATTAAACAATAACAATAACAACAATAACAACAACGCTGAAAATCAGAATCAAAATGAAAACGACGAAAAGAATACATCGCTAAATTCAGAATTGCTAGAAAAAATAACCTCTCTTATCCTCAATTCAACTAACCTAATAAATAAAAACAACTCAAACCTATCCAACATATCAACCGCTTCTAGTTCATCCAACCCTACATTTTCTTCAAATATCGATTCCATGCATAAAATCGAAACTCCCTTTCAACTTAAACTAGAACAAGACCAAGACCAAGACCAAGAGATGGACAATAACCAAAACATTGATATTATAAAAGACAACAACAATACCGAAAATATTAATCAAAATCTTAATGAAGATATAAACGAAAACAATGATATTGTTCCTATAGACATAGAACATCCATCCTCTCTAACCGCCCACAATTTAAAAACTCTCGATTCATCTCAAAACCAAAACCAAAATCAAAATCAAAATCAAAATGAAATCAAACTTGAATCTCCAGAACTACCTCTAACTAAAATCAAAAACATAACCTCCTCCTCACTAAATTTATTCTCTGTTAATAGTAAAAATAACCTATCACAAATACTAAACCCAGAATTGGACGAATCTTCTGTTCCTGCTAAATGCGATATAATATTAACTGGTGAAATACTAAAATGCGAACCTAAATCCTTGGGTGAAATTGAATTGTCTTCGCTTCAAATATCCGAATTCTATCAAGAATACACCTCCAATTATTATCCAATCTTACCCATCATAGACATTATAAAAGGCCCCGAAAAGCTTTATAGACTATGTCCAGTATTATTCTGGGTGATAATGTCTGTGGCAATGAGAAGAATTTCTTCCGATTCAAGAAAACTATTACTAAAATTAACTCCTCATATTAAATCAATTTTAGCTGACCTAACTATAAGCCCAATAACAAGATATTCTCCCTCAGAATTAGATGAGCCTGTGTTGAATGCCTCCTCAGTTTATTCAGTTCAGGCCTTTCTAATTTACACTTTTTGGTCGTCTTTAACTTCTTCTCTAAGCGCTGATTCTTCTTGGAATACAATAGGTATAGCAATTTTTCAAGCAATAAGAATAGGTTTACATTCTCCAGGCCACACTATAGATTTTTCAAATGCTTCCGCTGATTCAAAACAATTGGATTTAATAACTGAACAAATTAAAACCTGGACTTCTTGCAATGTTGTATCTCAAACCATTGCAACTACGTTTGGTTATCCGGCTTTTGTTCAATTTGACTCAAGAGTACTCAATAATAAAAAATTATTGAGCACCAACGATTTTCCTCAAGAATTAAACCAAATGCTAGAAATCTCTTATTTTGAAAACCAAATCGCAAAGACTTTAAACTCAAATTTTTTAGATCCTTTAGGTCTAGTTAGCAATAATGAAAAATTGTCCCTAATTCAAATACTCTTGAAACAATTGAATAATATAGAGATTAGATTATGTTCAAATGATCACAAATTAGATGATATTAGAAAATTTTCATTACTAGCAGCAAAAGTTCACTTATTGACTTATTATTTCCTTGATTCGACTAACTCAAATAGTTTAGATGACCTATTAAATGATATCGATCCAAGTTCAAATATCGACTTGACCAATTTAAATAGCCCATATTCTTCATTATATTCACTTCAACTCAAAAAGGGTTTAATAAAACTTTATAACTCAACAATATTATTAATTAATCACACAAAAAACTCACAAAATAACAATCGAAAATTCATCAAATATTTACCAAATATTTATCTAATAGAAATATGGCAAGCTGCAATCATTCTTTGTAAAATTGTTCATTCTCCAATATCCAAATACATTGACACCATGCTTGGCAGATCAATGTATGATATTGTAATTTATTTAACACTAAAGTCGTCAATTGTTAAATATGATATAGCGTATAGGTTTGCAGGTATAATGAAAAGTTTATGGAAGCTTTTTGAGACATTATATGAAAAGGGAACATTGAAGACAGATGTGGCTATCAAGACAAGAATGGCTGCGAGCATTTTCTTTGATTGCCTTTGGACATTGCGAGAAAAAGTCGGTATGATTAAATATTCTCAAAAGAATAATGTAATGCCAACTAAGCATACTAATGAAGACTCCGATGTTGAGGGTCTTGCAGAACATATAAACAAGGAGGAAACCAATTTTTTTTCTAATGAAGAAGCTGACGATTCATCATCTTCATACGACGATGATTCTTCTTCGCTAGATGAAAAGATAAAACTATCAACGACGTCACTGAAATTTAAAGAAAGTAACCAGATTGGAACACCGAATTCTCTAGACTCCAATGCACACTCAAAGAAATCCACTAAATCAAGATCAATAGCAGATCCATCGTGTCCAGAAACATCAGCTAGGAAAATCATCAATAAGATACCGCTAGATCCAGATCCTATAAAGGCTTCCGTTATATCATCAGATCATTCGTCGCCAATCAGTGCTTTGTTGAACCATAACGTGAGTTATAACAAGAGTAGAAGAAGTTCATTTTTGCATTCTTCGACGATCAATTCACCTCCAATTAGTGCCATTAGAGAGAGTATCAGGGAATCGATCAAGGAAAATGTTGAAGGTGATAACAATAAAGAGGTTCAAATGAAAGATAATTTTAAAAAAGGGAGATTTAAAGGAGTGGGAAAAGAAGAAGGAAAGGAAATAGAGAAAGACGGTTTAAATTTACTTTTTTCAAAAAAAAAGAGTGAATTAGAAACGCATACCAGTAAGAGTATAAAAAAAAGAGATGTAAAATTGGAAGAGAGCGCAAAGGAATCTTTAAAGAATAAAGGTAAAGAGTCAGAGAAACCAGAGAAACCAGGAAAATCCGAGGTTAAAGAGAAACAAAAAGACAAAGATAAAGACACACAGAAAGACAAAGGAAAAGAGAAAGAGATAATAAAAAACAAAGAAAAGGAAAAAGAAAAAGAAAAGGAAAAGGTAAAAGAAAATTTCAAGGAAAATAATGAAAAAAATAACTCTAATGGCATACCAGCTGTAGTACCCAAGAAAAGAGGAAGGAAAAAACTCGAGGACAAAGATAAGAAAAATTCAGGAAAGAAGCCAAAAAGAACTTATCGAAAAAGAACAAATTCCAAATCACAAACCTTTCAGTCGTTACAAGGTGGAAAGACATCCAGTAAAAATTCTAATTTTCAGATTCCATTTCATCTCCAATTCAATCCTCCAACACAACCGATAGATAATTTTAACCAAAATCCCAATTTACTGAGCATAAACAATTCTAACAGTATTAATAATGGCAACAACAGCAACAATAATAATAACCATAATGTCAATGGAGTAGTGCTAAATAATACACCAGATTTTATCAACAATCAAAGCAGTGTTCCTTTGAGCTTTAATGGGAACAATAACAATGTGAATGTTAATGACAACTTAGGAGAATTATTGTATCTCAATGAGTCGCCTCTTGCCAATAAAGTCCCATTAGATGGATGGGAAAACTTAGATAACATGTGGAATGGAGACATCAACTCATTTGTCAATGATGTTAGTTCAGTAATGGAAAACTTTGGGTTTCATACAGAAGATCATTTCTCTGGAAATTCAAACATAAACAACAATAGCAATAACAATAGCATGAACATGAACATGAACATGAGCGAAACAAACACAAACACAAACACTAACAACAATAACAATAACAATCACAATCACAATAACAATAACTTAAATGGCATGGGCAATATGAACAATAGAAACAGCTCGTTATTTGCCCCACAAAACCATGGAATCACTCAGAATCAAGTGCAACAAAACAGACAACAAATGTTCCAGTATCTGAATTCGTTAGTGTCGCAAAATCAAAGGACTTCAATTGCTCAAAACAACAATTCCACGAACAGCGACAACATGAACAGCATGAACAGCATGAACAGCATGAACAACAACACTCTAAATGGCACGAACAATGCAAACCCAAACCAGCCCAACTTCAATTACAACAACGACAGAGGACCCAGAACTAATTAGTCCCTTTTCGCTTCTTCTGCTCAATGTTTCAATTAACCATTTCACTAATCATTTTTCTTTTTTTACTTTCATACATTTCTTTTTTTCACTTGTTCGTTATTTCTCGTCATATATTCATTATTTTTCACCTACCATTTATTCTTTTTTTGCCCTTCTCTGCCAAACAGGCTCTTTATACGTGTATGTACCCCCAGAAGCAGCACAAGCAGCACAAGCAGCAAAAGCAGCAAAAGCACCTTCGTGACACATCGCATCCGATTACGTAAGCGTCGATCTCCTTTTTTCGCCTTTTTTTTCATTAGAAAAATTTTAATGAGCTTTGATTGAAATATCACCAACTGCTCTACGCCAGTAAGAATTACTCTATAAGAAGAGACCTAACGTGAACTGCATTCAACAAGAGGTGGAGACTACAAGAGACCTGTCCCTACGCTTTTAATTGAGAACAATTTTGTGCCATACGCAGCTACTTTCCTCAGCAAGTTAAGTCCACTGAAGCCAACTATTGAACCCATAAAGTTCAAGTATTTCAACAAGCTCTGATCCAGATAAGAGCTTTCCTATATCACTTATTCAAAAGTATTGAACCAAGAGAGACCTATACCAGTTATCCTTATACAACATGGCTGAAGATTTACAAAATGCAACTCCGAATATTATCATCAATGGCGACCAGCCAGAAATAACATCTCAATATTATGACGAATCTGACGAAGAAAATTTAGACAAAAAGGAAGAATCCAAAGTGGCAGATGAAAACCTTTCCAAATCATCTGGCAAGTCTGTGAGCTTCGCAGCTATGGACGACCTTGAAGATTTGGAAGTAAAAAGAAAACGCGACTTTGAAGAAGGAGGCGGCTTGCCCGAACAACCTGATAACATTGATTTTTCAACATTGACTGCTTCTTCCGATGTGATTATTAACAGACAGGCCACCATCAATATTGGTACAATTGGCCATGTTGCCCACGGAAAGAGTACTGTTGTCAAGGCAATTTCTTCAAAGAATACTGTTCGTTTTAAAAACGAATTGGAGAGAAATATTACCATTAAATTGGGTTATGCTAATGCCAAAATTTATAAATGTGACAACCCAGATTGTCCTCCTCCAGGCTGTTATAAATCTTTCAGTTCAAACAAAGAAGTTTCCCCCAAATGTGAAGCTCCAAATTGTAAAGGTCGTTATAAATTGGTTCGTCATGTTTCCTTTGTCGATTGTCCAGGTCATGATATTTTAATGAGTACTATGTTGTCCGGTGCTGCTGTTATGGACGCAGCTTTATTGCTTATCGCAGGTAATGAACCTTGTCCTCAACCTCAAACTTCTGAACATTTAGCTGCCATTGAAATCATGAAATTAAAGCACATCATAGTGTTGCAAAACAAAGTTGATTTAATGTCCAAAAAATCTGCTTTTGAGCACCAATTATCAATTCTAAAATTCATTAGAGGTACAATTGCCGATGGTGCTCCAGTTGTTCCAATTTCTGCTCAATTAAAATACAATATTGATGCTGTCAATGAATTCATCTGTAAAACTATTCCTGTTCCTGTGAGAGATTTCATGACTCCTCCCCGTCTTATAGTTATTCGTTCTTTTGATGTCAACAAACCAGGTACTGAAATTGACGATTTAAAAGGTGGTGTTGCCGGTGGTTCCATTTTAAGTGGTGTCTTCAAAATAGGCGATGAAATTGAAGTAAGACCAGGTTTGGTTACCAGAGATGCTGATACCGGTTTAATTAGATGTCGTAGAGTATTTTCAAACATAGTATCGTTGAATACAGAAGAAAATAGTCTAAAATTTGCTGTTCCTGGTGGTTTAATTGGGGTTGGTACGAGAATCGATCCTGCTTTATGTAGAGCTGATCGTTTGATTGGTCAAGTTGTTGGTGCCAAAGGTCACTTACCTGATGTGTTTATTGAAATTGAAGTGAATTATTTTCTTTTAAGAAGATTGCTAGGTGTCAAAACTGAAACTACAAGGAAAATCAAAGTCAAAAAATTAGAAAATAAAGAAATTATTATGGTAAATGTCGGTTCAAATACAATTGGTGCCACTGTCGTTGCTGTAAAGGCTGATATGGCAAGATTGCGTTTAACAAAACCTGCTTGTACTGAAATTAACGAAAAGATCGCACTTTCAAGAAAGATTGATAAACATTGGAGATTGATCGGTTGGGCTAAAATTAAAAGAGGAACAGTTCTTCAACCAATTTAAATATTATAGTCGTTTTAGTTTTTCTGATCTGTTGTTTATATACTTGGGAATCAGTATGTATGTCAATAATAAATTAAAACTATTAGAATTACTCTTCTTATTATAATAATTAATTTATATTTGTGGATGTCTATTGAATTATGTATAGGCTATTTCTAAAAACTAAGTCCATTTTAGCTGTACAGAAAATTAAAATTAAAATTAAATAACAAGGAGCTTTAAAAATAAAACAAAAAAAACAAAAACAAAAATAAAAACACAAAAAAACAAGTCATTAATAACTAATGATTAAAAATACAACAGTGAAGAAAAATTATCAAATATCCTTAGGGTCGTTAAAAATATTCGATTTGAAGAATTTGGGCAAAGAATCAATTTGCATCAAAGTATACATATGTGAAGATACTTTATTAAGTAAAGGATATATCTGGTTCAATAAAGACAAACTATCTTTTACAGTGGCCTCGGTGGGTGTTAATGGTATTTCTCTTTCGATTAATGTTGATTCCTTGTCATAACCTTGACCATTAAGTGAACAAAAGTTGTCTTCTGATCCAGAATCTAAACTTGAATCAGAATCAGAGAGAAATGAGTGAGTCTTTTCACTATTTAAATTTATCTTTGCAATATCAATGCTTAGGTTCAGATTTGCTCTCTTTTTCAAACTAGAAGACTTTATTTGTTCTTGAGCAAGCTTTGAACTAGAATGGAATTTTGATTTTATCACAGTTGCAACATCTCGCTGGCTGGAACTTAGATTACGATTGTTGTTAGAAAGATCTAATCCAGATGAACCAAATTCAGAAAGAATCTCTGAATGGGTCTTTTGATTGATGGGAGAAGTTGGATGCATCATAACTTTATTGATTTCTTGCTTTAACAGATGATTTATATTTAGCTCATATGGAGCCCCAATTGTCAAATATGTGCCATATATATTGTATGCAGATGTCATACAGTCGTTTGATATGCTGATAATCAACCGATTTCTATTGCTTTCTGACAACCTTGATTTTTTGGGGCAATTATTATCTTTTCCCATGGATGATAGCATAGTCGACATGTCCTTAATTAGTGTTTTTTTTATTTCTTCCTTTTGTTTGAGATACTTTTTTAATTTCATCATTTCAGAGTTGAACTTCATTATCTCATTATAAGAGTCGAAATTTTCAACACAAAGTTCTTTTTCCAAGTGTTTTCTGAAAAGATATCTCAATCCTGGATCCTTTAGTACTTTTTTCAAGGAAAGATTCTGATTAAGTTCCATGATGTTAGAATTTATAGATGGTTCATTAGATTCATTTGAGCCATTTGATCCGTTACTGTTTGAAACTAATAAAGAAGGTTTTCTAGATAATTCAGATAATCTCTCTTGAAGCGATATAATTCTTTTTATTTTGGTTTCATTACTAAGCTTTTTGTTTAGCAAGCGATCCCACTTGATTGTTTCCCAGCCTTCCTCAGTTAATGTATAAAAAGCAGTCTTTGAAAGTTGAAATCCAGTTTGGGGAGCAGTTGAAGGATAGTGTAGCACAGGTTTTATTAGATTGAACTTGACAAATAAGCTCATGATATCAGCAGCCTGATCTTTTGAAGTTATATCTGTGCAGTCCATTAGCCATTGCCAGGCAGCTTTGCCAATAAACGAATATTGGACTGTTATATCTTTAACATCTGGAGTTGATTCATTTGATGAGTAACGATAATTATAATATAATCTAACGCCCTTGCTGGAAACATAGTATTGAACATGAGAGTCAGATTCTGGATTGGTAAAAAATTTATGAGCAAATGGAGAGATCTTCGAAGATTTGGTTGAAGCACTATGATTAGAGTATTTTTTATTTTCAGTTTTGCTTGGTTTAAGAAATCCACTATCTCTTTTGGGACTGCTTTCAAAAGAATTCAGCTTAGTTATTTCACCAAAATCTAGCAATGTTGAATTGTTGTTATTGAATTTTATTGGGTCATGAACATTGCTTGTAAAATCTAAAAAACTATTAAAATCTTGATTTTTTTGGCTATTAGATAATTCATCAACTATATCAATTGGAATAGGATCACTATCATTTTGAGGACTCCATATGTTGGGAGAAGGCCCCATAAGTTTCAAAAATAATAAATGAATTAGGTAATCTGAATATACTATTCTATCATCAAACTGATTTCTATCAAATATTGTTAAGTTCATTGAGTTAAAATTTGACTTGATTATAAGAGGCAAGCTGTCATTCTTAATGCCATGTTGTTTGCAGAAAGCATAGAGAATAGCCACGCCTTTGGGTGTTGGCTGCATAACAACATTTTCCTTTGGTTTAGAACGAGTTCTATCAGATGGAGTATGAAGAAGTTTAGCGATGAAGAATATTTGAACTAAAGATGAAGCCAAATCTGGTTTTATTTGATAAGAGATTGATGTGCTCGTACTGGGAGATAGATTGACATCTAAGCACAAATTTCCCATTCTGTTAATGGCATCGTTTATATAAAAGGAATAAGGATGCTGTTTTCCAAAAGACCTTAAACTAAATATATGTGATAAGCTCAAACCATTTTTATTTTTATTATGTGAGGGCTTCTCACTTAAATCTAAATTAAGAAGAAGTATTGAATAGATATTTTTGAGGTCTTGCGTGAATATTCTGCCAGTCTTGGTTCTATGGATTTTCCTAGAAACTGTCTCATGGAGGGTTTTTTGTTTTAATTTTGGATTAGAATTCTTTGCTGAATTTGTAGAAACTGTTTGAATCATTGTTAATAAAGACTTTTAATACAAAAAAATATGAAGTAGTGAAATAGTGAAAATAAAAATTAGTTGTTCAGTTCATTTATATATATTACATTTTTGAAAATAATAAAGCTAAAAGCAAAAAGGAATAAGATTTATTAATCAGAATCATATTACTTTTTTTGTTTTAGGAAATAAATAAAGGTGATAAATTGTGTAAGGTTCTGAAAATTTTAAAACGTTAGTGATTCATTAGTTGTGATGATTTTTTTTGCAGACGAAAAGAAACAGGGAAGAGATAATTTGGGATATCGCTAATCACCAAACACAAAATATAGAAGTTTTCAAAGCAAAACCAGTCAGCTTCCAAGTAATTTCAGCCAAACAAAAACATTTAGAAATACTTTTTGCTAGAGGTGATATCAATCACCTAATCATAAATAGTTATGTTCCATGTTATAGACAAAAATTACAGTTTGGTTTTGAACTTAAAAGGTCTTTAGAAATGTTAGCCATATAGGATTTGGGGTTTGCAGCATCATGCGTTTGAGAAGCACGCACTAATCGGTTTGAAGAATTAAGAACAAGTTGAGAAGCAGAAGCCAGAGAAATATTCCAAATAGAACGAAAACATAGAAGTGGAAATGGAAATGGAACTCAGTTACTAACACAAAAAAAAAGTATGTTGTTGACTTTTCACAGTAGCTTTGGGGTTTTTCCGGGCAATCTTCAAAATGCTTGATGCAAATATATCTTGCTATCTTTAGCTTACCCAACTATAAACATGTTGAAACAGAATAAAACTTTAAGCACTTTCACCTCCTCTTGTGTGGTTATTGGCTTGTTGGCACTTCGGTCCCTTTTACTTCATCTCTGTGCCCTTCGGCTGCTTCTGTTTCTCTGGTGTTTGTTTAATTCATCGATACACAACAAAACGTCTGTTATTTGGCTTTCTATTTTTTTGATTTCTAAATTTCTATTTTCGACATTTTTGTCAACTTCGAGCTGATCTTCTTTTCTATTGCCCTCATTAAACTCATCCAAGAAAACGTTTAGGTTTTCAAGCAATGTGTCATTTTCCATTTGAGTGAGAGTGATTTCACTATCAGTCTCCTTTATTGATGTTTCGGCACTGCTCAATTGTACTTTGAGGTAATCATTTTCTGTTTTAATAGATTTTATTTTGGAAATTTTGGAAGCGTTTAGTTCAGTCAAAGTTAAAATCTTTAGTTGGTTTTCTTTCCACTTTTTCAAAGAGTTTGAGTTTTCCTTATCCATACTATTTTCTTCTTTTTTATCAAATTCGTTTAAAATGTGGCTGAATTCTTCATCTAACTTTTTAATTTTTTCTTTTTTTTCTTTGGATAAGTTTAATTTTTTTTTATGGTTATTAATATTCAATTTCTTTCTTAAACTTAAGTGATTAAAATCATTGATAAATTTAGAATATTCACTTTTAGCAAGATTTAGATCATCCTGTCTTGCGTTTTTAAAATTTGAAACTTCTAAATCAAAATAATTTAAAATGAAATTATTGTAATATGAATAATTTAAATTTAATGATTGTAGTAACTTATGAGTTAAATTTGTTGAAAAGTTTTTAAAATTGTTAACTGAGTTGATTCCAGTTAACAATGATAAATCTTGTTTCAAAGGATTTGATAAATAATTTTTATTCAATCTTTTAAAATTATAGAAAAAATAGTAGTTTTTATTGAAATAGAATTTTTCATGCTTTCTTAGATTTTCGTCGATTAGCAAGTCGTCTAGATCCGAATAATCGTCATCTAAAGTATAATGAACTTCTGTTAGTAGAGATTTTTCAACATCCAAGGAATTAAATTTGGGAATTGAACTCATCTTAGGTAAGGGCCAGTATAGGTAATTATTTTTAGAATTTGGGTTTGAATGATTTAGTAGCCAATCTGATAGATAGGTCAAGTTATGAGAATATATTGGTTTTAAATCTGGAGATAAAATTCCCACTTTGCCTCTTAACACAACAACAGCACTGGTGACTGCCATTAAATAATCTGTGTTTCTAATTGTGTATTGATTTCTAAAGTACAAAGCAATATGCTCTATTGTGTTAATTGGAACCAACCTTATTATTGAAACAGATGATTGTGTATAGTTGTTATTGATATTTAGAGATCTTAGAGTTTTAACAAATGGTAAATTAATATCAAAAGTAATATCAAAGGATATAATTAGATCTATTTTTTTATCTTTGAAAAAAGTGATTAGTTGAGTTTTTGAGATGTTTTGATTTTGATCTTCAGAAGAAGCAAATAGGTAAACGTTACAAAGATTTTTTGGAACAAAATTCAAGTTGTTATTAAAACTTCTGCTACTGTTTTCATTGAAATTACTATTATTATAGTGATTTAAATTGTTTCCGTTAATGTTATTCATTTCGTTATAAATATTAGTATTGTTGTTATTGTTATTTGGTATTTTTTTAAAAATTGAATTTTTCAATTTCGAAGGATCCTTCAAGTAGTTTCCTGTGAATCTTTTAATATTAACTTTTAAACCTAATAGTAGAGCTTCAATTAAATCCACAGTTTCGCCAGACCTTGCTACTATAATTAAATTTCTTTCAAAATCATGAGATCTATTGGACTTTTTAGACTGCGTGGTAGAATAACTAGAAATATTTTCAGAATTTTTATTGAAATAATTGAAGGAATTCAAGTTATTCTTTCTAGTTTTCCAGTTGTAGTAATAGTTTCGTTTTTGGTCAGCAATTCCATTGAATATTTCAATCAAATTTCTTAAGATTCTGAATTTCCCACTAGTTTCGCTTAGTTTTTTGGGAATATCTTTTGACGTTAACGATTTTGGCATGTAGTTTTTAATTAGCAAATAAGGATGATTCGAAACTAGTTGAGAGTTCAAGTAGAGCTCCTGCAACGAGTCGATCAATAGCTGGTCGTTGTCATCAGTCTCAAAGTACTTCAATATGTCAGAATAGTGCAAAGAGACAATTTGGTCAGTTAGTTCCTTTTGAAAGTCTGCCATTGGAGTTGGCAACCAATACTCATTCTCATGGTGAAAAACCCCATCAGGAAGATTGTTCATGGTGTAGCTATTGATCGCATTGTTGGCGCTGTTGAGGCTGTTGGGATCGTGGAAATTGTGGTTCACGTCATTCTGGGAGACTAAATTGTATATAGGATTTATTATTGGGGGTTCTGGGGTTGTGTCTAATATCTTGGTCAAATCCATTTTATCAATAAACTGCCTATAAGACGACTTATATTACAGAGAAGAAAAGGAAGGCATTTTCCATCGCTGATTAAGTTTAACAAAACCTTCCAAAGCACGTGATCATAGACAGAGACGTCGGTTCGATTCCTAAAGAAAGTAATTTCAAAGTATGTAAGCAATATATAATATCACGTGTGATTACGTAGTCAAATGCTTGAGACCGGGTTTGTGGATTCTGCTTTGAAAAAAAAAATTGAAATTTTTTGGGTTGAAATTTAACTCTTCAAAACCCAGAAAGAAATCAAAGAGATCTCTGTTTTGATCTATTCAGCTTTGCCATTTCTCTGATATCTTATTATGTCTTCCAACACCCTAGTTGCAGCAGAAAAAGTCTACATTGATCAGGATGCAACCTTTGATTCATTCAATTTAGACCCACGACTTCTCCAAGCCATAAACCACTTGGGATTTGAAAACCCAACTTTGGTTCAATCAAAAGTCATTTCAATGGCACTTAATGAGAAAAAGGATGTCATTGCAAAGGCAACAACTGGTTCTGGGAAAACTGCTGCCTATGTGATACCCATTATTCAATCCATATTGGAACAGCAATCACAGCTTACTGATGCAAAGTCCAACAGCAGTAATCATCAAGTCAAAGCTATAATTCTAGTTCCCACAAAAGAATTATCCAATCAAGTTTATGATTTATTGAATAAAATTCTAATATTTTGCTCAAATCAAATCAAGTTTTTGAATTTATCTGATTCAAGTTTAGTCAATGACACATTACTCTCCAACTTGTTATTGGATCAGCCCGAAATTATCATTTCAACTCCAACTAGATTATTGAATTTAATAGTGAGGAGAAACTCGAACGATCGAAATAACAAAAAGAACAATGGTGCTGGTAACGAAAAAAATGTGGATAATAATAGTTTAACTGACCTTATATTTAAAAATCTCTCTTTTTTAGCAATTGACGAAGTAGATTTAATGTTTTCTTATGGTTATAAAGACGATTTAAATAATTTGGAAGAGCTAATCCGTTCAAATCGATTTTCAAATTCAAATTCAGTTCAATCCTTTTTAATGACTGCAACACTTAATGATGATTTAGAATTGATAAAATCCTGGTTTACAAATAACCCAGTCACTTTGAAGCTAAACGATTCCAATGTCTTAAATTCCAATAAGCTATTCCAATATTATATCAAATCAAATGAATTTAACAAATTTTTAATAATTTATATAATATTAAAATTGAATCTAGTTAAAGGTAAAATTCTTATATTTGTCAATAATATTGATAGATCTTATAGATTGAAATTATTTTTGGAACAGTTTTCTATCAGCTCTTCAATTTTAAACAGTGAATTACCTATAAATTCAAGATTGAGTATAATTAACCAATTCAATAAAAACATCATTCATTTGTTAATTGCTACTGATGAATCAAACTATATTCAAAATTCCACCAAAAATAATACTCAAAATGATAACGAAAATAATAAACAAGATGACAATACCTCTGAAAAAGAACCCTCATCTAATAAACAAAATAAACAAAATAAAAAAATTAAAAAAACAGACAGCGAGTATAGTGTTTCAAGAGGTGTAGACTTCCATAACGTTGCCTGTGTTTTAAATTTTGATCTACCAACAACATCAACTGCATATATACATCGTATTGGAAGAACTGCTAGAGGAGATAAATCTGGTATGGCATTGTCGTTTGTTGTAGACAGCAAAGAGCATGGCAAACACAAGCAATCTTCACTAGCCTCAGCTAAATATGATGAAAAAGTTTTAGAAAGAATCATTGCCAAACAAAAAAAGTACGGTTTGGAAGTTAATCCTTATAATTTCAATATGGAACATTTAGAAAATTTCAGATATAGATGTGAAGATGCCTTTAGAGCTGTGACAAACGTTGCTATTAGAGAGGCAAGAGTTAAAGAAATCAAATTGGAAATTCTAAATAATGCAAAGTTAAAAAGACATTTCAATGAAAATCCAAACGATTTGGATATTTTGAAACACGATAAAGAATTGCATCCTTCAAGAGTGCAACCTCATTTAAAAAGAGTTCCAAACTATTTATTGCCTGCTAATCTCCGAAAAGATGAGAAATTGAGCTTAAAATCTTTTGTTCCTCATAAACATAATAAGAAGAAGCTTAAATTCAAAAACTCAAAAGTTGTGAAAAACAGTAAAAAACTTTTCAACAAGAATAAAAAAGTAGATCCTTTGAAATCTTTGAAATTTTGAGATGAAATTATATATATATATATATATATATATTAATAAACAATTGAAAAAAAATTAATTTTATTTTTTAAAAACATAGGCGTATATATATACATAAGTAAAAGAGATCCACAAAGACTTGGTAGGTTGCAGCATTATAGCTATATATACAATTCAATAGATAACACTAGTAACACTAGTAGTTGTTGACTATTGCATCTAAGAATACTATTCCACTAAATTTTTTATCTTGGATTCTTCTAATTGCAGAGATACCAACTTTTTGTGTTGAAATACTTGGTCTTACTAATAAATCGACAACTGGAATTTTGTTTCCAATATTAGCTAATGTTGAGAAAACGCTTCGAACACTTTTTTTATCAGTTTCATCATACATAAATCCGGGTCTCATAATGATAGACCTGAATATGTTCTCATAATCCAGCTTCAACTGTTGTTCAGCTTCTCTTTTAGTTTGCAAGTAACCTTTGGAAAGACCAGGAAATCCCTGGTCTGCAGAGATATAAACGAAGGATGGAGACTCAACCTTAGTTTCTGGCAAAGCATTGGATTCCAGCAATTGTTCAGCGTATGCCTTTGCCAATATCAAAGCAGATTGTTTGTTCATCTTTTCATAGGTGAGAGACTCATTTGCCTTCTTCAAGGGATTTGCACCTAATGGGTTGAATTTTTTAAGAAAGCTGAATGGACTATCAGATAAAGAGTCCTTGTAGTTTGAATTCTCAAACAAAATACCGATAGAATGAACCACTGATGTTTTGTTCTTCAAGTGTTTCTTGTAGGAATCTGGATCGAAAACATTTGCCTTTTGCCAGTCGACTTTGCTGATCCATTGAGAGTCTTCTTCAACGACAGGTTTTGGAGGAACCCCAGAGGACGAGAGAGAAGTGACACTAAAGCCAGCATTGATGCCTGCCTGGCAGATTCTTTTACCTACAAAGCCATTACCACCAAATACAACAATCGAGGGGGCAATTTTAGAAGCAATCAGAGACATGTTAGGAGTTGGTGAAGGACTTTCAGCTGTTTTGCATTGAATAAGCTGATGTGTTGAAGAATTGAGAGGAAAAAATAAGTACCAAGAGGAAAAAAATAAAATGCTTCAATCTTCAAATATAAAAGAAAACTCTCTAATTTTGTTTCTGGCCCTATTTTTTTTGTAGAATTTTATTGGAAGACTGCGAAAAGGAATATAAGTGTATATATTAGCATGATTCAGGGAACAATAGCGAGTACAGTACCTGTTGATGAGTTGAGCAAGTTAAGCTTAGACAAAAATGACCATACACACCAAAAAAAGAGCAATTCGAATGAACAAAAGGAATACTCCATTTTTGTTAGTGATATTATCAAAAACTTGGACAAAAACAAAGCAGTAAGAGTCTCAGACCCCATAGAGATAGCCACATATTCGCGATCCCATTGCTATGAGTATTCTGTTAATGATAAGTCTGAGTTGGGTTTTGTAAGCAATGCAACGATAAACAGCTTCAGACCCACCAGCGCCACCAACAACAATTTGCTAAATGGGTATAACTTTGGTATTCTTGAGGAGAAATTCAGTGTAAAGAACTGGTCGTTGGAAGGGCTAGTCAAGTCAATTGACTACTGCAACGACAATGTGGAAGAATACAGAACCAGCAAACTCACTGGGAACATTGTTGGTTTTCGGAACTCTCTCTTCAAATTGTTCATGTTGCCATACAAGAACAGAGAGTCCCTTGACTATATCTTGCAATGGCATGAGGGCAATTTGTACGTCATCAACAATGAGGATCAGGACATTGAGAGAAAGTACTATCCAGAGAATCATTTGAAGTTCATCTACTCAGGATTCAAATTTGAAAATTTTCTAATCAACATGTCAAATCGAGAAAATAGAGAAATGGACAATTCCCAATTTTGCACTGTTGTCAAAAGAAAATTCAACGACATATCAGTTATTATAAGAGCTGAAGTTGATTGTGCAATTAAAAGAAATCCATCCAGCAACCAGTATGAGTATGTTGAGTTGAAGACACACAAATACAAGAGACATTATGATTTTGATAGCAACTACAATGCAAAATTGTTTTTGGTTTGGTCGCAATGTTTTCTAGCTAATATCAATCAGATTATTTTTGGTTTAAGAAACAATTCCAACTTCAATTTAATTGCATTGAAAAAATACCATAGAAATGAAGTTTTATATTACTTGAAACAAAACACTCCATATGGTAGTTTTGATGAGATTTGTACCAAGTTTTATTATTTCATTTTGAATTTTATATTAACTAAAATTGGCAAAGATGATAAACTATGGTCGTTGAAATTTGACTCTTACGTAGGAAAACTTACATTAAAACAAATAGATTCTAAAATTGGCTTGAAAAATCCCAATTTAATTAGTTAAATAAATAAATAAATAAATAAATAAAAGTAAAGGCTATATAGTTTATCTTTCAGAATCATTTTTTTCTTTGTTTTCTTTCCATTGTTTTATCCAACTGGAAATATCACTTTTATCAACAATATATACTCTTAAGCATTTATCAAATAAAGGAATTTTAGGTTCCTGTTGTTGCAAAACTTGAGAGATTTCAACATTTTTGCCCAACTTAATCAAACCACCTTTATCAGTTTCTAAAAATATTTGCTTTCTCTTGATGTTGTTAAAATAACGTTCATTATCATCGTTATAGAGCAATTTTAATAAATCTGAAGCATTGGATAACTCTCCAAAGGCTTGAACAAAATCAAACTTATTTTCAATAGGATGAATCACTATCACAGGAAAAATTAACTGAGATTGAATGTCTTTAAAATCTTCAAGGTAATACTCGAGATTCAAATTCGAGTTTTTGAAATATTCATCAAAGGAGGCCTTGTTGTTTATGTACGAATCTGAACTACTTAACAACTTGATATTTCTAATTTGAGTGGCCTTTAACAAAAATTTTTCCTTGAGCTCTTTTAATTTTCTGTTTTTCTCAATTTGATTAAAATACTCTTGTCTTTGTTTAATTTTTTCATTCAAGCCTTTTATTGATAATTCATTTGTTTTAGTCTTCAACAAAGTATCTGATCTCATCAAGTCCTCAGCAAATTGAACAGATTCTTTAGCCTCTTGAAACTTGTCTAATGCGAGATAAGCTAGCCCAATTCGATAATAAGCCTTTATGTTTTTGATATCGATTTTTAGTACTTCTTTGGAATCATTGATGGATCTTCTGTAGTTTTTTAAATTGAAATTAGCTATTGAACGATTTAAATATAAAACTTTTAGAATATCTAAATCCACAATATTTGATTCAGTTTTATTTTCGGGATTGGTCAATACAGCAATGCCCTTGGAGTAGTATATGACAGCATTTTTGTAGTCTTTAGATTTAAAACAATCATTTCCCTGGTTCTTGAAATTTGTTGCTATTTCTTCTGGTTCTCCATCGTACACTAGTGCTTTCAAGGCTTCTAATTGCATGTTATCTTCACTATTTTCTTCATTCAAACTAGTCATGAAAAAGGGCAATTTATTCAATTCTTTTACTATTTCATCTGTTGATTTGTTGGTAAAGTCGTTCAATTGAGGAGGTAAAAAAGACCCACCTTCCTTGGGAACGTATCTCTTCTTGTCCCAGTTAGACATGATTACAGTTATATTTTGGTTGTGTTTTATAAGTTTGATTACACTTTAAAATATATTTTAATCGTTTTGATTCAAACTTTTTCAGTAAAAATTGAAGCAGATGCATATTGATGCAAGATCCACCGAAAAGGGAAATGGATCAAAAAGAATTAATTACGATTTAATACCTAAGAACATAAAAACAAGCTATAACTAATTAAAAGTAAAAGTAAAAAAAAAAAAATAAATTAAATTGAGTTAAATTGAAATAAATTAAGATATGAAAATTTAAAACAAAAACCAAAAAGTGTAAAAAAGAAAGAGAATGAAAATGAAAAAAAATAATAACAATAAAAAGATTCAAAATGTCTGTTTTTTTAGTTGACTAAACTAATAGCACGATAAAAATAAGAGAACCAGCAAAAATAAATAGGATTGAAAAGTTAAAAGGAGATAGTCTTGAGCCACTGCTGAGATCTCTAACGAATTGAAGAGTGTCATTTTCCGATGATGCAGTTGAAAATGTTCTTGTGAATCCCAAGCTATAGATACTTTCTTTGAAGGAAGCGAGTGCATCAGTTCCTCCTGTGATGGTTGCTGTTACTGTTGTGGTCCATGGACCATTTCCAATTGAAGTAGTTGTATAGAAATCATAAGTCCCAACTGGGGTAGAGGCTAGGAATAATTTTGAGGTATATGAAGAGTATAAGGTATAGTTTTCGTAAGTGTAGATTTGAGTAGCAGGATATCGTGTAATGTTGATGTATGATGTGATGTATTGAAAATAGGAATTGGAGTAATATTTTGCCTTTGTTGCTCTTGATATTTCTTCACCTTGGGAAACAATATTGACATCATCAAATTCGATTTCAGAGTCTGCATCTGAATAGCCTTCGTAATCATTAATATAAGCATTCCATTCTTCATCCAAGATTGGAAATTGATTTTTTGTTGAATTGACAGTTGGAGCAAGAGATATAGTATAGTAATCATAATCGTAGACAGCATAAAAGTAGTTTAAAAAGAAGTTACCTAAAATGAAAAAGTCACCATTTGGATTTTTACGGAAATTGAAATTAAGATAGGTTTCATTGACTGTTTTATTATATTCAACATCATTCATGTCATTATAAGTACGAAGAGAATCAAAATTAACGGATATTTTATAAATGGGGATATCTGCTATTAGGCCTGAAAAATTAAAGGATAAATAGCAACCCAAATTGTATAATATATCGTAAACATCAGAATAATTGTCATTTTTGACTACTAAATCAGAATCGAAGAAAGAGATTGAGGACAAAAGAGAATCATAGATGTCAGGGGGGAAATAGGATCTTGAACCATCATGAGAGAAAGATATTGGATATAATTTATCAGTGAAACACAATTCTGCTTCGGATCTAGTTTCGTTACTAGAGTTTATAAAAGTAGTTTCTGAAGTGATGTTTAATTGCTGCATTGCTAACTCAAAGAACTGATTTGAAAAGGAGGCATTGGCAAATTTATTTAAAACATCTGTTGAAAATTTTAGAGAAAAAGAGGATAGGGTGATATCTAAATGCTCGATATCGGGATTGATATTTTGGTCAAATCGATTAATCATTGGGAAAGTCGTTAACTGCCCTTCATACCTTGTGTGATCTATACCTCCAATTAAAAGGGATCCTTGGTAGTAGAAAGAAGTTGAAGACTCATATCTGAAATATTCAGCCAATACTTTTCTTTGAATTAGATTTTGGTCGACCAATAAGTCCATTAGATTACTTCTATTGTAAGAGTTTGAATTTTGATCAGTGATATTAAAAGAGGATATACCAAAACTTCCAAAGGCCTCATTAACTGATAGAGCCAAACCAAACTTGAAGTCACTGAAAGTTGTTCCATCACTAAAATGTAGAACATCTTTACCCCATAATCCACTTGCAACGGTTAGATCTGACGAGTTTAAATTGAAAGAGGTATTTAATGACAAGATTGGATCATCAACGGAATTGAGAAATTGAAAAGTGGAAGAATTATGTTCTCTGAAGATACCATAGTTGTAACAATGATTCACAAGGATCTCACCACTGGGATAAGTAAAATTGTTATCATGGAAATAGTACTGAGTATCAGAATAAAAGCAGTAGGGGTTTAAAATAGAAATTACCCAAACAATATTGGAATCGAAATTTAAAGAAACGTTTAATCTTTGTGGAGGAGTTCCCAAAGATAAAGTGATAAAAGACTTTCCTGTTTCATAACCATTATATTGGAATTTGATTACGCCAGAGCCGTCAGTGGTAGCAGCAGCAGTAGAGGAGGAGAAGATGTTTATTAGAAGCAAGAAAGAAAGATACCTGTTGAAATTTGGTAGCATTTTGACAGATTAGATTGAGATTTATATGCTGTTAGTGGAATATAAGAAACATTTCACCCTAAATAGTGATAGTGATGAATGGATCTAATTTATTTATTTATAAGCTGAAAGTTTCAACTTCTGAACAAAGTTTGCAGGACATTTTGGTGGGACTTTTGCGGAGGAGCCTCAGAAAAACGTATATTCGTCTGCCGTATAATACGAATTATTGTTGCGCATGCGGTTCGTATTTGTGCATAAACTCAGAAGCTTAGTACATTAAAAGTAACTTGAAGGTAAATACGGGTCGGAAACAAAAAAAGCGTACATGTTTCGAAGTTACGTCTTATCCGTAGAACGTCATTGCCGAAGAAGAGGAACAGTTATCATCCAATAGGTCTTATCCACAGGTTCAGAATATGTTTGGTTGGAAACAGCAAGAGAGAGGAAAACTTGCCAATAAAAACAGAGCTGCTCTTGAGGGCCGTGCATCTATTTAAACCACAAAGAAATATACTGGTATCGACTCTGTAGCTTTAATTGTGGTTGAGTTTCGCCAAACAATAGAAAAAAGCAGCTCCGGTCGAAACACCGAAATTTACGCCGAATCCACGGAATACTCGGAAACACCACTTCTAATCCGGCATGTACCGAATGAAATCCCGTGACCGGCGCAAAAGCCGAAAACCAGCACAGGAGGTGAATAAAGTGAAGAAAGTGAAGAAAGTGAAGAAGAAGCAAAGAAGAAAATATAAACACTGTGAAACTGCTGGAATTTATTTGCTGCTGAAAATGGACTTTGGGTTTTCAGGGAACAAGAAGCAGTTGAATTCTTTCATATCTGGTTCAGAGAGCCACTTCAATGAAAGTGACATGGAGCTAGACGACCAAGAGGCTGCTGAAGAGCTGTTGAACAGGTCCAGGGCCTCGTTATCCCACTACAACAACATGTCCCATGTTTCCTCCAGGAGCAATGTTCATGGCAGCTCTATCAATGTTGCTCACAGATTCGATTCAATTGAGGTTGCCAACTTGAAATCAGAGATTGAGTCGTTGAGATCCCAGTTGGCGATATTGAACAACTCCCACAAATCTGAGATACTAACCTACGAGACTGAATTGAACTCGACCAGAAATGAAATTGACTCTTTGAACCTACAAATTGTCAATTTGAACAACGACAACGAGTTCTTGTACAAGACAAATGAGGACTTGAATACAAAGTTGAAAAACGTCAATGAAATAACTCTAAACACAGCTAAATCTCTTAACAATAAAATCAATAGCTTGAATTTAGAATTAATCGAAAAAAACGATTTGATCTTGGAAAAGGATTCAAATATATTAGAACTAAATAACAAAATTGACAACTTATACAAAAACTTGAAAGATCTACAGCATGAAAACAACAATTTTAAAAATGAATTTAACGACCAAATTAATCAATTATCTATTCAAAACTCACATTTAGAAGATTTAAATTCAAATTTGCAAATCAAAATTGACAACTCTTCTACAATCTTAAACAATCAAACAAATTACACTGATCTATTGTCTCAAATTAAATTTTTAAAAAATGATTTACTAACTCAACTCAATATTAATACCAATTTAAATAAAAAAATTAAAGATTTATCTTTCAAATTAAAAACCCAAACTCAATCAAGTACAAGCACTCCATCTTCAACTTCTTCAACTTCTAATCAAATTCTCAATAACAATACCAATACTAATGCCAATAATAACACAAATTCTATAACCATATCAATACTAAATGATAAAATATCCTCTTTAAAAAAGAAATTAAGTTCATACTCGAGCTTAAACGACGATTACAACTCTTTGAAATTAAAGCTTATCAAATATCAACAACAATTTCAAAAATTCTTATACTATGTATCTTATGACAATAAAAGCAATAAGAACCTTGAAACGGATTTTGATATTGAATCAATTCTATTAAACTTGAAAAGAAACTCAAATACAATAGATTCACTAAAATCTCACATTGAGTTACTTAATGATTACATTAATGAATTGAAATCCAAAAATAATGAATTGAGTTTAAAACTTTTAAATTCAGACAAAGAATCTATCACAATTCAAGAAAAACTTAAAAATGAATCAATTTTAAGGAAAAATTTCGAAAGGGAAAAAGCCTTATCTCAAAGAGAATCTTCTCATTTAAGAAGTCAAATTATCAGACTAAATTCTTTAATTGATAAATTTATAACCAACAATCAAAATAACAATAACATCGGCAACAATAATAATAACAACAATACAAACAACAATAGCAATAATAATACCAATACTAACACTAATACTAATACTAATAATAACAATAGCAATAACAACAACAATAACAATATTAAAAATCTAAAATTCAATAAGCAAAATAAACAAAATAAATTTGGTAAAAACAACACCAATGAAAACCAAGATTCTGATAATAATCAAAAAATAATTGAACTCTTGCAAATTAAAAACAAAAATGATCAACAAGTAAAAAATTTGGAGGGTTTAATCACCGAATATAAAACTCAATTAGATAGTATTAACAAAAACTTGGCAATTCAAGAGAACCTCGAATTAATGAATGAAAATAATAAACGCCAGAAATTAAATGATTCTTCACAAAAAATCTTAAAATCAGACACTAAAATAATTGAAAATTATCAAAATAAAATTACAGAATTGGATAATAAAATCTTAAAATTAGATCAAGATTTAAAAGAAAAAGAAAAAGACATATTCAATCTATCAAAAGATAATAAAGATTTAAATCATAGATTGAGTGAAGTTATAAGTTTGAAAGAAAAAGAAAATCAACTCCAATTATTACAATTAAAAGATAATCCAATGCTAAATTATCAAAAAATTAAACAAGAGACTTTAGATACCTTGAAAAAAGAAAATGAAGATTTATTAAAAGAATTAAAAAACAATAATAAAAATATTGACCAAGAAAACAAAAATTATATACCAATATCAGTTTTGGATAGATTTTTGCTTGATCAAGAAGCCTTGGAGAGAAAATTAATAGAAAGTAATAAAAGAATGACCAGGCTACGTGAAGTTTATAATAAAAAGTCTTTAGAATTTTTACAATCGATAAATCTGTTATTTGGATTCACTTTAGAGTTTTTTGCCAAATCAAAAAAAGTTAAATTAATTTCTAAATATTCAATAATAAAACAACAAAAAAGTGATAAGAATAATAATGATAAAGACGAAAACATGGACGCAAAAGAAGAAGAAGAAGAAGAAGAAAAGGCATTGGAAAGAAATTATATTATTATTGATCCATTTTCAAATTCATTTCAAATATCCGGTGATTGCGATGATAGCTTTAAAGCAAAATGTGAAAATTTGGTTCAATTTTGGATTGAAGATAAAAAACAAATTCCATGCTTTTTAGCAGCTTTAAGTTTGGAGCTATTTGAAGAAAATGTAAATAAGATAGAGTAAATTTAAATAATAAAAGATAATTATATCAATATTGAGTATATTGTTGGATTCAGAAGTTTAGTTTTAATTTTAATTTTAATTACAATTTAATATCGAGAGTTGTTTTATATTTATTATATATTGAGAGCGAATATTAGTCTTTAAGAAATAAATATTTAAAATAAAAAGTTATTAATCAGGATAGTAGATTACAAATCATAGGTTAAAATTATTGTTGGAATCCTTTGTGTAATATTTTTCTTCAGTAACAATAGCGTCAATAAATTTGCTTTCAGTTATATCAAAACTTGGATTCCAAACGTTCATGTTTTGTGGAGTAATTAAGACCTTTGCAATAATTACATCATTGTCCTGGTTAAGTTTTAAATTATTTGTTGTTGGATCGATTAAACCACCAGTTACATTTTGAAATTCAGCTGCTGGTCTTTCTTCAACAACAATGTGATCGCCATTATCGATGCTTTGATCGATTGTAGTAGTTGGAGCAGCAACAATGAATCCTATTTCAGGGTTCAAGTAGGCCAATTGGGACAATTGAAAAGTACCAATTTTATTGGCAGTGTCACCATTTTTAGCGATTCTGTCAGCACCAACTATGATGAATTTGATGGGAGGAAAGTTTAAATTTTTTGATTTAATAGATTTGATCAAGAAGGAAACCATTGAGTCGGTAATCAATGTTGATGGAATCTTTTCTTCAATTAATTCGTAGGAAGTTAATCTCGAACCCTGATTATAGGGTCGTGTTTCTAAGGGAAAGACATGAGCCAAATGTGGGATATTGAAATCTCTTTTGAGTTTTTTCGAGGAAGAACCGTCGGTTGGTTCATCGGATTCATAATTCAATGGGCTTAAGCTCCATAGTTTTCTGATAATACCCAAAGCAGTCCCATAAGCAGCAGTTGCCAAAGATCCAGTATTACATATGGTCAAGACAGAGAATTCGCCAGAGAAATTTTGATTTTGCAATTGAGTCAAAATAAAGTCAGCGCCGTTTTCGCCAATCAAATAGTTGTTTTTTAGGTCTTTGGATTCCAAATCCACAGCATAGTTGTAGATGGTTTGATAGATTCCAGACAAAGTGATATTGTTCTGATCATTGGCTGATAAACTTTGAACAATATCGTTGCATGCATTCGACAAGTTGACGGCAGTCGGTCGCGATGAAACCAAAAACTGGATTCGGGCAAAGAGATTTGCTTTGAAGTTTTTGATATCGTTCAAGTCGTAGTATGTCTGGGAGAAACTTCTGACATTTAGAATGTAGTTTAGCTCCACAACAATCGAAAACACACCAACAATAGCGATAGCTGGGGCACCTCGTACCTGCATTTTCTTAATAGCATCGAAGGCATCGCTGATTGAATTTATCCGGATGTATTTGGTCTGAAAGGGAATCAATAGCTGGTTGAGAACCAGAAGCTGGAGCTTGTTCTGGTCGAATCTGATGGCCTGTAAAGTCATAGTACTGTTCTCCAATGATTCTGTTCAAAAAGAAACAATTCTTCAAACCAAAACTAATCTCATCGACAAAAAACCCAAAAAGTCGAGCAGCGGAAAGCACCGGTTATAAATCCGCGTCATATCCACAGATAATTAGCAATCAGCACGTGACGTTATGATCCCGTGATTATAAATAATCGCGTGACCCGCAATTATCACGTGATTAACACTATCACGTGCTCTGAAAATTGAAAGAGGAAGATTGAAAATAAATCTCAGAGGCTGTTGAAGAAATGGCTGTAGGTGTATAAGGTGTTCTATCGTTATATCCTTCTTTTAATTCTGAACCAGATTAAAGGAGTGTAGCAGATATATCTAAGCATTCATATCCAGTTCACTTGCTTGGTAGTCTGATATCACACAGAGAAGCATTTCGTTATGTTGTCTAGATTTCCCTACTCCAGTGCTCCACTTCGTACTGTGAAGGAAGTATGTTATTCTTATCTCGCTATTCACAACCATGAATTGACCCATCTACTTTTTTTACTTTGATGTTCTGGACTGCCTACTAACCTTCTTTTGCTTTGCAGGTTCAATTTGGGCTTTTTTCTCCAGAAGAAACTGTATGTATCACTTTATCTTATCCACAGAAATTTCTTTATTTTTGAATAGGGTTGCTAATTTCAATTTCGCGTTTTTTTTTTAACAGAGAGCTATCAGTGTTGTCAAAATTGAATTTTCTGAAATCATGGATGAAAACAGAAAACCCAAACTAGGTGGTTTAAGTGATCCCAGATTGGGCACCATTGACCCCAGTTTTAAATGTCAAACCTGTGGTGAGGGCATGAGTGAATGTCCAGGTCATTTTGGTCACATCGAATTAGCTAAACCAGTCTTCCATATTGGTTTTATACCCAAAATCAAAAAAGTTTGCGAATCTATTTGCATGAATTGCGGGAAATTGTTATTGGATGAAAATAACTTTGATATGAAAAAGGCTATAAAAATCAAAGACCCAAAAAAAAGATTTGCAGCTGTTTGGCGTCTATGTAAAACCAGAACTGTCTGTGAAGCTGATGATGATCCTGAAAATCCAAACATTATACATAAAACCGGCTGTGGCCACACTCAACCAACCATCAGAAGAGACGGTTTAAAACTAATTGCAACATACAAAAAGAAAGATTCCGATGACGATATGGATCAACCAGAAAAAAAAACTTTGGCTCCATCTGAAGTTTTAGAAGCTTTTAAACATATATCTCTGGAAGACTGCCGTAGATTGGGTTTTGACGAAAACTATGCAAGACCTGAATGGATGATTATAACCGTTTTACCTGTCCCTCCACCTCCTGTTCGTCCCTCTATCGCATTCAATGAATCTGCTCGTGGTGAGGATGACTTGACTTTTAAATTAGCCGATATACTAAAAGCAAGTATAAATGTTCAAAAACTAGAATTGGATGGTTCCCCACAGCACGTTATCATTGAATTTGAAAACCTATTACAATATCATGTTGCAACTTATATGGATAATGATATTGCTGGTCAACCATTAGCCAAGCACAAATCCGGTAGAGCAATTAAATCAATTCGTGCTCGTTTAAAGAGTAAAGAAGGTCGTGTGCGTGGAAATCTCATGGGTAAGCGTGTTGATTTCTCGGCTCGTACTGTTATTTCTGGTGATCCAAATTTAGATTTAGATCAAGTTGGTGTCCCAAGAAGTATCGCAAGAATATTAACCTATCCAGAAATTGTAACTCCTTATAATATACATCGTTTGACTGAGTATGTTCGTAACGGTCCAAATGAACATCCAGGTGCAAAACATGTCATTCGTGATACTGGTGATCGTATTGATTTAAAATATCATAAGAAAGCTGGTGATATCCAGTTACAGTATGGTTGGAGAGTCGAACGTCATCTAATGGACGATGATCCTGTTCTCTTTAACCGTCAACCTTCTTTGCATAAAATGTCCATGATGTGTCATAGAGCGAAAATTATGCCCTACTCTACATTTAGAATCAACTTGTCTGTTACTTCTCCTTATAATGCGGATTTCGATGGTGATGAGATGAATCTTCATGTGCCTCAATCTGCTGAAACGAGAGCTGAACTACAAAATTTGGTCGCTGTGCCCTTGCAGATTGTTTCTCCACAATCTAATAAGCCAGTAATGGGTATTGTTCAAGATACTCTATGTGGTATTCGTAAAATGACTCTTCGTGATATATTTATTGAATATGATCAAGTAATGCAAATATGCTACTGGGTCAAAGACTGGAATGGAATTATGCCACCACCTGCCATATTAAAACCAAAACCGTTATGGACTGGTAAACAATTATTATCATTAGCGATTCCCGAGGGTATCCATTTATTAAGATTCGACGAAAAAACAACTTTGCTAAGTCCAAATGATGATGGTATGCTTATTATCAATGGAGAAATAATGTTTGGTATTGTCAACAAAAAAACTGTTGGTGCAACAAATGGAGGTCTAATACACACGGTAATGAGAGAAAAGGGCTCCAAGGCTTGTGCTGATTTATTCGGTAATATCCAAAAAATTGTAAATTATTGGCTACTTCACAATGGTTTTTCCATTGGTATCGGTGACACTATTGCCGATGCCGATACTATGAAAAAGATTACAACAACAATCGCTGAAGCTAAACAAAAAGTTCAAGATTTAATTCTTGATGCTCAAGCAAATAGATTAGAATTAGAACCTGGTATGACATTGCGTGAGTCCTTTGAATCAAAAGTTTCCAGGGTTTTAAACCAAGCTCGTGATGATGCTGGTCATTGTGCCCAAATGAATCTTAAAGAATTAAACAATGTCAAACAGATGGTTGTTTCTGGTTCTAAAGGTTCATTTATTAATATTTCACAAATGTCGGCATGTGTTGGACAGCAAATTGTTGAGGGAAAACGTATTCCATTTGGTTTTGCTGATCGTACTTTGCCACATTTCACAAAAGATGATTTCAGTCCTGAATCAAAAGGTTTTGTTGAAAATTCTTACCTAAGAGGATTAACTCCCCAAGAATTTTTCTTTCACGCTATGGCTGGTCGTGAGGGTTTAATCGATACCGCCGTTAAAACTGCAGAAACTGGTTATATTCAACGTCGTTTAGTGAAAGCTTTAGAAGATATTATGGTTCACTATGATGGAACAACCCGTAATTCAGTCGGTGCTATTATTCAATTCATTTATGGTGAAGATGGGCTAGATGCAACTCAAGTTGAAAAACAACCTATTGATACAATCCCAGGTTCTGATAATAAGTTTGAAAAGAAATACCGTATTGATCTTATGGATCCGTCTAAATGTATTCGATCTTCTCTTTTGCAAAGTGGGGATGATATTCGTGGTAATTCACAATTACAAGCTATTCTTGATGAAGAATATAATCAACTATTAGAAGACAGAAAATATTTGAGAACAAGTGTCTTTCCAAATGGTGAATATAAATGGCCATTACCAGTAAATATCCGTCGTGTTATACAAAATGCACAACAGAATTTCCATTGTGACAACGGTGAAGCAAGTGATTTAAATTTGGAAGATATTGTCAGGGGTGTTCAAGAGTTGTGTTCCAAGTTAACTGTCATTCGAGGTGAGGGCAAATTGGTTGAAGAAGTTCAGCAAAATGCTACTTTATTATTTCTGTGTTTGATTAGATCTCGACTTGCCTCCCGTCGTGTTATTGAAGAGTTCAAGCTAAACAAAGCAGCTTTTGAATGGATTTTGGGAGACATTCAATCACTATTTCAAAAATCGATAGTCCATCCTGGTGAAATGGTGGGAGTTGTTGCTGCACAGTCAATTGGTGAGCCTGCTACTCAAATGACTTTAAACACATTCCATTATGCAGGTGTCTCTTCTAAAAATGTTACTCTTGGTGTTCCACGTCTTAAAGAAATTCTTAATATTGCCAAAAACATTAAAACACCATCACTTACAGTTTATTTGAGACCAGAATATGCTGATAGTAAGGTCAGGGCTAAAGAAATTCAATCTGCTATTCAGTATACTACATTGAGAAGTGTTACAGCAGCCACAGAGATTTACTATGATCCAGATCCTAGAAGTACCCTTATAGAAGAAGATTATGAGATGGTTGAAGGTTATTTCGCTATTCTTGATGATGCTACTGAAAGAACATTGTATCAGCAATCACCTTGGCTATTACGTATCGAAGTTGATAGAAAAGCGTTGCTTGATAAACAACTTACTCTATCCCAAGTTGCTGAAACTATAAAAAGCACATTTGGGGATGACTTGTTTGTTATGTTTTCTGCTGATGCTTCAAGTGATAAGTTAATTATACGTTGTCGTGTTGTTCGTGATCAAAAACTTGCTATTGATGAGGACACAGAGGAAGATAAAATTGTGAAGCAGATTGAACAAAACATACTTGATTTATCTCTTAGAGGTGTTCCTGATATTGCAAGAGTGTTCATTTCTAAAAAGAAGGTTGACATTATTGCAGAAAAAGGACAGTTAATCAAAGCAGATGAAGAAGAAGGAGGAAAGGATTATGTAGCTGAAGGAGGCGAATATGTTCAAGTTAAAAAATACTTCCTTGAAACCGATGGTTGTAATCTTGCAGAGGTTATGACTGTTGCCGGGATTGATTCAACTAGAACTTATTCAAACGATTTTGTTGAAATTCTCGAAGTTTTAGGTATTGAAGCTACACGAGCTGCATTGTTTAAAGAAATTTATCAAGTTATCTCATTTGATGGTTCATATGTAAACTACCGTCATATGGCTTTGCTTGTTGATGCAATGACTTCCCGTGGTCACCTTATGGCTATTACAAGACATGGAATTAACAGAGCTGATACTGGTGCTCTTATGCGTGCCTCTTTTGAAGAAACTGTTGAGATCTTATTAGAAGCTGGTGCATCAGCTGAGTTAGATGACTGTGCAGGTGTTTCACAAAACGTTTTATTGGGACAAATAGCTCCTATTGGAACAGGTGCATTTGATGTTTTGATTGACGAGGATATGTTGAGTGCTATACCAAATAATTATAATTTACCCTCGGCTGCTCTTGTCAAGGGTTCTGACACTTTAGATGGTGCTGCAACTCCTTACGACTCCAGATCTCCATTATATGATGAATTCCATGATGATATGGGAGAATCAGTTCTGTTTACACCTGTTCGTGATGTATCACCAACTGAAGGGGGTGGTTTCACTGAATATGGTGGATTCCAAAGTCCATTCCCTGATAGGGCTGGAGTGACACCAACATCTCCTTTCGGACAGTATCAAAGTTCATATGCTCCTTCTTCGCCGTTGTTTTCTTCAACATCGCCATCTTACAATCCTACCTCTCCTTCGTATCAAACAACATCTCCTTCTTACTCTCCAACATCTCCTTCTTACTCTCCTACGTCTCCATCCTATTCTCCCACTTCTCCTTCTTACTCTCCTACTTCTCCATCCTATTCGCCAACATCGCCATCTTACTCACCTACATCTCCATCATATTCACCTACGTCTCCATCATATTCACCTACATCTCCATCATATTCACCAACATCCCCATCATATTCTCCCACATCCCCATCATATTCTCCCACATCTCCAAATTACTCACCCACATCCCCAAATTACTCACCAACATCTCCATCATATTCACCAACCTCTCCTTCCTATTCACCGACCTCTCCATCATATTCCCCAACTTCTCCTGTATATTCTCCTAGATCCCCATCGTATTCTCCTACTTCTCCCAATTATTCACCAACTTCTCCAAGTTATTCTAATAATAGAAACTACTCACCTACCTCACCAACTTATTCACCAACATCACCAACATACTCGCCAGGAGCCGCAAGTTATTCACCAACATCACCAACATATTCTCCCACATCTCCTAACTATTCACCAACCTCCCCTGCATATTCTCCTGGATCTCCTAATAACACTTCATCAATATCGCCCAATAACGGTTCTCCAAATTCTCCCACCTATTCTCCTTCAAATTCTAACTCTTCTGACCCTCAGGAAGACGTTACAGATTCTCCCAATAAAAAGAATGATCAATGATTTTATTTTGAAAATCGGTTTTATTGAATTTTATTTTTGTTTTGTTTGATTTTTTTCTATTTTTTTTTTTGGTATGTTTAATTTTTGTATTCTATAATTATTTCGGTAAAAAATTTAATTCAAAAGAAAAGTTTTTATGCAGGTTTTCTAATATATACAATATATAAATAATATTAAATTCTTTAATAAATGATATTTTGAGATAAATCTTGATATAGATAGAAAAACTATGAAAATAACTATTAAGATAAAATACACAAAAACAGGCTAATACTTTTTCAGAATCAAACCTTTAAACATATCAAAAGAGTTACCATCAGGTTGCAATTCATATCTTTTACCAGTTCTTAACCCATTTTTATCTACCTCTTCAGCAATAAGCATTCCCCAGTCTGGTGTTATTCCAGATATTCTCGCTTTAACATTTCCATGAGTGGTTAAGGTAACTTCTTGATCTGAATGCAACCAAGCATCGTAATATTCAGAAAGAAAACTTTGGAAGCCTGAGACAAGGAAAACTCTAAATATCTTTTCAAAAAAAAACATGTATCTTGCTAAAAACTTCTCAATTGTAAATGGGGGTAGTTCATCCTTTCCTTGAGATTTTCTAAGTTCATTCAACTTTTTAAGAACTAAATTCAATGATGTGGTTGGAGCAGCGTTAAATACGTTTACACCAGTTCCAGCAACAAGCACAAAATCTTTGTCAATAACATTTGTATTGATTAAAATACCACAAATTTTTGCATACACTGGATCAATGTTACTAACAGTGATATTTTCATATTTTGTTCTTGTTTCAAAGTATTCTGGTTTTAAAATGTAAACATCATTTGGCCATTTAATTTTGACAGGAATTTCACTATAACCGGAGTTTTCAGTTCCACCATAAGATTTAATTGCTTTCACAACAGCCAAAGACACTATATATTGAACAAAAACAATTGGAGATATTCTGTTATTTGCAATTGGGATTTTTAAAGTTGAAGAGGCAGCCATAACACCAGGGGGATTAACCCAAACGTTTCCACCTCTTCCACGACCAGCGACTTGAGTGGTTCCAACAGCTAAAGTACCTTCAGGCAAGTATTTTAGTATATTGGTATTTTTATCTAGAATTGAAGAAGTTGATGTGATAACTTCAGCATATAGTAGAGTAGAACCAAAACTTCCGCAAGATTGGCCAACATTTTTCCAATTGGTTTCTAAGAATTTAAAAAAAGAAATGATGTTAAAATAAGGAGTCTTTCTGTAATTTGGTAGGATATCAGTAAAATATTCAACTTCTTTTAAAGCAGTAGCAGCATCTTCATATTCTTCATGGGGTTTAGTAAGAAAATGGTTTAAGGAATCTTGATCTGCATGATGAAGTCTAAAGGTATCTTGGATACCATAAAAGACTGTTTTGTCATTTTCTTCACTTTTATTTTCAATATTTTTTTCCAAAGTTGAAACTAAATTAGAAACTACATTTTCTTTATTTGAGACCAAAATAATTGGTGTTAATCTTGGAATATTAACGGTGGAAATTTTATTGACTTGTAAACCCAATTTTTCTAAACAATGTCTTAAATAGATGAGTCTATTTTTTGAATTTTTAATTAAGATTTCGATTATATCATGAATGGATTCCTCCATTTCTTTTGTCGCCTTCATTAAAACAGGATTGAATTCTGGATGATTACCAAATAACAAGGCCTTACCATTACCTACTTTGCACAAAATAGAAGCAGCTTTAACGTTATTTTTTCCACAGGACACATTTAAATCATCTTTATATGTAGATAGAATTTCAACAGTATCTGGATACTTATCAGCATTTACAAAAACTGGACCACCATTAAAATAGGTTATACAGCTGTCAATCTCAATACCATCTAGAGAATTTTTGTTGATTAGAACTTCACAAGCTTTAGCTCCTGCTTCAGAATGATAAGCAAAACCAGGAAAGGCAGGACCTCTTGCTATATCAGAGAAAAACCTCAATTCTCTTGGACCAGACACCTCTAGAACAGGATCACCAACAGCGAACTCGCATCTCGAGGAAGCATAGTAAGCACCAGCACAGAAACCTAGATACTTACCTCCTTTTTTAATATACTGCATAATTTTCTTGTTTCCAGGGCCATTGAGCTCACGACAACTTGGTTGATCTTGACCACCAGGGAACACCAATAACGAAGTTTTCTCAGGCCATGGCTCTTCGATGATAGTCTTTGCAGTAACAGCAGTAACAGCATAGTAGGGAGAGAGAAAGTTTCTAAGAGTTTCTAAACAGTGTTTAACAGACTCAGGAGTGGTGCCAGCACCACTGTAGATAAGAACGTTCATTCTGAAGGAGAAGCTGTGTGTTGTGTGTGAGAAGCAAGACGAGAAGCAAGATAAAAGCAGCAGAAGTGGCAGAGAAGCAGAGGCAGAAAATGGTCTGTTTTATAGTCCCCACAAAGAGATGATTCAGGCTCTTTCCCTTTTGGGATACAATACTCAGAGTCATGCACCAGCAGTGCGGGTCTGCTGCAGCTCATCTGCAGGAGCAATACCGGAGTAATACCAAAGCTGGAAAACCGGATCTCACCGGTCAATATTTTAAATTACCCGGTGTACACATAACTGTGTGTTCATGCACCGCTATATAAGTTCCCATTCCAGTGGTTCTCTGGTCTCAACCAACTGGGCAAAAGCTGGAGCAAAAATCGAAGCAAAAGTTGAAGCACAGGCAGCTCAAGTTGAGGAAGCTGGAGGCTTTGATGCGTGGTTGTTGCTTAGAACATGAATACTTTCTTAGGAATTGCTCTCCATCCAGCTGTACCCACCTTTTTGAAGATCGCGCCTAGGAGCATCTTGCCATTTTCTCTTGCAAGCAAAGCTTCTTGTCTTTCTTCTGGACTTCATCTCCAATGGAAAAGGCCAGTTGGAAGTTCTTGGAATTGTGTCCAACTGTTTAGAGCAGAAGCTGCTTCATTCTCTAGAGCTTTTGCTACATCCAACTGGAATTTACAGCTTGCCTCGAAGACCTTGGCTGAAATGACAAAGGAGAAGTTCAAGACCAGGCAGAAACAGATTATCGATAAGACAAAGCAGATCCAAAAGAATATTGTGAAACCTTTGAAAAAAGTTATTCCAGAACATGAAAATATTTACACAATTCCCAATATCTTGACCTTTACCAGATTGGCTTCAGCTCCACTTATTGGTTACTTGATTGCAAATCAACATGTTTTGTCTGCTTTTCTTTTATTCGGTTATTCCTGTGTGACTGATTTTGTCGATGGATATATTGCCAGGAAATATAATATGGGATCAGTGCTAGGCTCAGTCATTGATCCAATGGCTGATAAATTGTTAATGATAATTTGCACTGGATGTTTGACCTATTCAAACACCATTCCATTGTATTTGGCTATCTTAATACTAGGAAGAGATGGGTTACTAGGTTTGTCTGCTATCTATTTCAGATATATATCGCTACCTCTTCCAAGAACTTTTCTCCGATTTTGGGATTTTAGTATTCCTTCAGCTGAGGTTCATCCAACAACAATCTCAAAATATAACACCTTTTTTCAAATGCTTTATATTGCTTGTTGTGTTGTTCAGCCTGTTGTATATCCGTTATTAGATCAGAATTCTCTCGATTTAATTAAAACTGCTTTCACTGGCCTAGAATACTTGACTGCAACAACTACTGTTCTAAGTGGTTTATCATATATTTTTTCCAAAAACGCTGTGGAAATTCTCCATAAACCTTCAATTAAATAAATAAATAAATAGCCAATTAATTAATTAATCAGTTAATTGAATGGTTGAATAATTGAATAGTCATGGTGTTTTTAAAGTTTTAATTTAATTCATTGTTTATATTCACTAAGATTTTTTGTTAGTTTCTATTTTTACACTTGTACAATTTTTAATGTCTGTATCAAATAACACTATTATATATCAAAAACAAAAAAAAAAAATGATTATTATGATTATTATGATTATTATGATTATGATTATAATTACTACTATTCTATTAAAATATAATACTAAAACTAAATGATTAATTAACGAGCAAATACTATATCATCAATACGTAAAATAGATTTAACACATTCAGCTGCAAGTGAAATCTCACTAGAATTAACAAGTACAGGTTGTAAAACATGTTCTTGGTATAAATCTGTGACACCAGATCGACGAACTGAAATACCTGCATTTATTTCTCCATTTTCGTGTCTATTTCTTAGTTCAGTAACAATTTTAATACTATTCAAACCAGCATTTTCTGCTAATGTAATCGGAATCACCTCCAATGCTTGGGCAAATTCTTTCCAACAAAATTGTTCACTACCTAACAATAATTGACTTTCTTTCATCAATACTCTTGAAACTTCAATCTCTGGTGCACCACCACCGGCAATTAGCGCTTTTTGTTTAACAAGACAACGCATCACACAGAGTGCATCATGAATTGAACGTTCAGTTTCATCTAATATTAACTCGTTAGCCCCACGACAGATAACAGAGACTGTTGGTTTAGATGCAGATTTAATTCCACTGATTTTAACGATCTTTGATCCAGAACTTTCAATTTCTTGCACTAAATCAGCTGAACCTAGTCTATCTTCAGTAAATGAATCAATATCAGCAATTAATTTACATCCAAGGGATTTCGAGATAAATTCAACTTCTTCTCTTTCAATATCTTTAATACACATAATATTTAGTCTTGAGAGGAAATGCAAGGCCAAATCATTAACTGCATCTCTTAAAATTGATTTTTGAATTAATAAAACATTGCATTTTGCCTTTTTAATTTTTTTACAAATATTTAACAAATATGCTCTTTCTTCTTTGAAAATTTTGTCCATTTGTCTGTAATCGTTAATGACAACAGTGTTTTCCATATCAGGTTTTGGAGGAGATAATTGAAATTGAATTACAGCAATTCTCGCTTTTTCCATTCTAAATGGGCCACCAGCACTTTTAAGTGCATTTTGGGTTAATACAACACCTTCAACTAACTCAGTGTCTTCAATTGTACCACCAGATTTTTTGATCAATCTAATGTCATTTAAATCAACGTTATTTGATTCAATATCAGCAACTCTTAACACGGAATCAACTGCAAGAGGAGCCAATAAAGAGGTGTAAGGAGAAACAATTTTAGAGCTTAAAGAAGTCGATGCAGCACGAATCAATGCATCGCGATCATCAAAGGATATTTTAACAGACATGTCAAGTAAAATTTCAACTGCTCTCTTTGCAGCTCTTTGAAACGATTCACCTATAATAGTTGGATGAATTCCCATTTTCAATAATTTGTCAGCAGCACTCAACAATGCGCCAGTTATAACCACTACAGATGTTGTTCCATCGCCTGCCTCAACATCTTGAGCAGCAGAGACATCAACTAACATCTTAGCAGCTGGATGCAAAATTGCCATTTGTTTTAAAATGGTGTGTCCATCATTTGAGATAATTACTTCACCTTTACCAGTTTTTATCATTTTGTCCATACCTTTTGGACCAAGAGAAGTTCTAATAGCATCGGCAACCGCTAATTAACAATTGAGCTGTTAGTTACAATATTCCAAAAAGTTTGCTTAAATGATTAAAAAAATTTTCTCTAGAATTCCCAAAAAACAGAAAAAGGCGATGATAAACATACCTCTTGCAGCAATGATGTTGCTCTTACGAACTTCCTGGGGTTTGTCCTTGTCCCTGAAAGTTGAATTAGAAGGAGACGATCTGGCTGCTACTTTCGACATGATTGTTTGTATGATTGTTGTGTGGATGATAAAAAGATGCGAGAAGTGTTTAATGTCACTGAAAGATCTTTTGAAAAATCAGCTCAACTCAAAAAAAAGGTTGGGTGTGTTCAAAACCCTGTTCATACCGGACATATCAAGGGAATTAGAGCTTCGCCATACAAATTCCCCACTCACATGGTACATACCTCTAAACAACAATAAAGCCTTTCAAAACAGTGAAGGATTTGATGGAGAACAGTTTCTGAGATAAGAGAAAGAAGTATTCGAGCTTTTTATCACGACGATGGGGTGGGAAAGTGTTGAGCTGCTTTTTTGTTGCTGGTGTTGAGACATTGAAGGTGGCAATTGTGTGCTGGGTGCTTTTCTGACACAAAGACAGGTTCTGTCGACAGAGCTGGAGATGCTGCTTTTGCTGCTTTTGCTGTTTTTGGTTCCTGGGAATTTTTTACATTGATTTGGGGGTCTTGGGGCGAATTGGGTGGTATTTGTTCAATGAAATCAGCTTTGAACAACACAACAGAGCAAAATGGACGAATCTGCTTCTTCTAGTGATATTATATCTTCTTCTAACTCTTCTGCTATTCCTTTGCTTTCAAACAATAGTGTGGTAACTTCTGCATTTATCGAATCAATTTCTTCACTGGAAACTTCAAACAACCAAAGATCAAATTCTCTCACCAACAATAGAAGAAGCTTGGCCAATGAAACCTCAACTTCAAATTTTAATTCCTCATTGATCAGTTCAGGAAACTCTTCAATGGAATTTTTCACTTCGGATACTCATATTACCTCATCGAATTCAATAATCACCAAAACTAATTCCATTCTCTCCAAGAATACTGGAGGCAACTCTGCTCTATCCAATTCAACATTAAACACAACTTTATCTAATAAATCGTCGCCATCCATTGGTTCATCCTCAGTGTCTTATAAAACTTCTTCAGCACTTTTCAATAAATTTCAACAAGGCAATAATATTTTATCGAAAATCAAAGAAGAAAATGAGTCCTGGGAGAGAAATGACAATGATATTCAAAACATAGACTCTCCATCATCGGATATCATCTATGGTAATTTAGATAATCCACATGAACCACCTCATCCAATAAATCTTAATGGCCAAAAATCTTTGAAACAAGCAGCCGCTGATAGACACTCATCATCTATATTTCCAAACGATGACATTTTCACAACTCATATGGAAGAAAGACTACTTCGTTGGAGACCCCCATCTTCACAAAATAATGTTGATGATGCACTAAATGGAAAACATCCCTATCAATTAAATTATCATGATGATAACCCTAATTCACAAGTCTCCTTACAAAAGACCCCTGCCCATTTTTATTCTTCTGGAATCGATCGTTTAAAAAGCGTATTTACAAATAAAAACCAATCTAAGAACGACATCAATTCCAATTCTTCTACTTCTCAATTGAACTCTCCAAACAATCCTGAAACTGGCATATCTCAGTTTAGAGTCACTTTCAACGAAACTTTGTCTATTCAAGAAATTAGACAAAACTCTCCAGTCCATAGAAACTCTTTAGTATCTTATACTCCCTCAAATGAATCTTATTCAATTGATCCTAAAAGATTATCCAATATAAATAAAAACGCCAACTGTCCTGGAAACTCAACTAAAAGTATTTCTGATAGAAATGTGTTAAATGAACAAGAAGATTATTCAACAATATTAACTGTTATATCCGTTAATAGTGAGCATCTCGGTCTTGGTGATGAGATTTCGTCCATTTTTCATAATGAGAACAATGGCTTGAGAACCCAACAACCTTCTTTTCTTGGTGATCCTGCTTATTCTTTAAATCCAACAACACCTGAAGCGTTTCCTTTGAATTCAGAAGATTTGAGTAAATTTCAACATGATTCAGATCAAAGTACCCATTTAAACTCAAATCCATTTATATCATGTTGGAATTCGAGCTGGAATTCAAGTTGGAATTGTGTATTTTTTTAACAATTAAAATTTTATATGCTGTTTTTTTTTTCTTCTTTTACATTTATAGATATGTTTCAATAAAATTTTGTTTTAATCCAGTATTTATTTTTTGAGTTTGTAGACTGCAATTTTTTTTTCCATTTAAAGATGCAAAATCTAGAAAATAAACAATTTCTATTCAAAAAATATTGTCAATTTTACATTAATCAAATTTTAAAATTAAATAATTAGATCAGTAATTATATAATATTAAAATCATCGTTTACTACAAGAATAATTAAGTCAAATCAATTATTTTTTAGTAATGAGGAAGTAAATGAGTAAAACAAAAATATATATAAAAAAAAGCGTTACTTGATAAATCACTCGCTGGCTTCAGCAAAAGAATCGACTAAATAAGATTGTAATTTTTCAAACTCAGCTCTTCCTGCTTCTTCTCCAAGTTTTGGTTCAAAGAATTTAGCGGAAGAAACTTTATGTCTTGCACCAGTAGTAGCCTCAGTTAATTTAGCCCAATTAACACCACTGGAAACACCCTTTTGAGCTTCGTCAAAGTAAGTGACAAACGACTTCATCATATCATATGTTTTCCAAATTGGACAAAATGCATCATATGTGGAGTAACCGTTCTGTTGCAAGAAATCTTCTTTAATCAATGTTGAAACATCCAAAACAATTTTATCAGAATCAGACAAAGCGGATTTACCAACTAATTGAACGACTTGTTCTAATTCTTCAGCATTTGATAAAATTTCTTTAATTCTGTCTCTCAAAACAGGGAATTCTGGATAGTTTGTGTCATAATATTTGTTTAAAACATTAGTATATTTGGAATATGAAATTGAAGTATTGATTGATGGAAAATGTTTTCTTTGTGCTAATTTTTTATCTAAACCCCAGAAAACTTGAGTGATACCCAAAGTTGATGTTGTGACAGGATCAGAGAAATCACCACCGGCTGGAGAAACAGCAGCAACAATAGAAACCGAACCAAGTCTTTCAGGAGAACCTAAAGCAACGGCTTTACCGGCTCTTTCATAGAAAGAAGCTAATTTAGCACCAAGATAAGCAGGGAAACCTTGATCAGCAGGCATTTCACCAAGACGACCAGAAATTTCTCTTAAAGCTTCAGCCCAACGAGAGGAAGAATCGGCAATCATAGCAACATGTTTACCTTGATCTCTGAAATATTCAGCTAATGTGATACCAGTATAGATGGAGGCTTCTCTAGCAGCAACAGGCATATTAGAGGTATTAGCAACTAAAGTGGTACGTTTCATGATAGGTTCTTTACGGTCACCAATTGTGGTATAAAGTTCAGGGAACTCCATTAAAACTTCAGCCATTTCATTACCTCTCTCACCACAATTATGAACAAGTGCCAAATTGGATAATAAAAATTGATGGTCACAATCATCAGAAAGAGTAAGACCATAGTATGGAGCTTGTTCGAGTTCTTGAATGGTGAAGTCAAAAGCCACTGGTTTACGAACAATGTTTTTGGATGCAGATATTTTACTTTGGGCAAGACAGGATTTGGAAAGAACCGAGTTTAATACTTCCGAGCTAAGCAATTTAATGATGTAGGTGTTTGCTTTTTTGGTATTAACAGAAGTTGAAAGACCAAGGGAACGGGAAACTGAGACCAAAGAATCTCTGAGGTAAGAGTCTGTTGTAGATATTGTTGTATAAGATTTTGAGAAAGTTCCATTAGAGTCTATTAAACCAGCAAGAATTTGTTCACGAACATTAATTGATTCTGAGCGGAAAAATAATGGAATTGATTTATTATGTTTCAAGCCAAGGTCTTTAACGATATTCCAGAAAACGTTGGTATTCATAGATGAATTCTTTTTATAGAAGGTAATGTAACATTCTAAAGAACTTTTTTCAATGGTAATAGATAATCCAAGGGAGTTGGCTAATGAAATAACATGGTTGATAAGTTGAAGGTTATCAGGGTTAACAGAAATAGAAGGTTTTGAAGGATGACCATTTCCAATCCAAAGACCAAGTAAATAAGCAATGGATTGAGTAAAAGATTGATCAAAATCGTATTTTTCAACTAAAGATTGTAATATGTTGTTTTCAAGCAAGATGGGGGCAATTAGTTGTTGAGTTGCATTGCGAACGTTTGAATTAAGAATAGAGAAATCACAGGCTTCGATAGTCCATTCAATTGGATGGCTGTCAATAGAAGTGGCAAAGTCATTTGCTTGTTGGGGATTTTCAAAAGATTTTATGTTTTCTTTGACCAAGTCAATTAAACGGCCATCTTTGTATTCCTTTTCAAGAGCAAAGTAAGAGACGGTAGATTCTGAAACTGTTGTAATTTGAGAAGTTTGAAGGACCAATCTATGATTTGAGTTACAAGTAAATGAAGTAAGACCATAAGTGTTTTCATTTTTGTCTTTGTTGGATTGAGTGATTTTGTACATTGTTTCGGTACCTCTTGGGAGAGCAATGACATCTCTTGGTTTACCATCTTTTCCAAGAACTTGATCGCCAATGTTGATATCCTCAACTCTTTTATCGAAACCATCGGCCATTAAGACTTCGGTACCTTCAGCAAAACAACCGACGTAGATAATGACATCTGAGTTGGAATATTTGGATAAAGATTGAGAAATGACAGTTTTTCCACAACCAAAGGCACCTGGAATACATGTAGTACCACCTTGAACACATGGGAATAAAGCATCCAAGACTCTTTGACCAGTTAATAAAGGATAATCTGCGGACAACTTTTGAGCGACGGGTCTTGGAGCTCTAACAGGCCATGTATGCATCATGGAATAAGAGTGGGAGTTTCCATCAAATTCGACTTCTAAAATGGTTTCATCGACTTTATAAGAGCCAGCTTCAGCAATGTAGGTGATGGTACCCTTAGCACGAGGAGGCAAGAGAATCTTATGGTCATCTAAAAGAGAGTTTTCATAAATGGAGCCAAATATGTCACCACCGGTGATATGGTCGCCTACTTTTAAGGAACCAGGAGTGAAGGAATATTCGACGGATCTTGATAAAGCAGGAGCATCAATACCTCTGGGGATATAAATGGATTGAGATTTTTCCTTGATGGCCCTTAAAGGTCTTTGAATACCATCATAAATTGTTTCCATTAAACCTGGACCTAATTCGACAGATAAAGGTTTACCAGTTCTTAAAACAGGATCCCCGACAGTGACACCAGCGGTTTCTTCGTAAACTTGAATAGTGGCTTTATCACCATCAATTCTAATAACTTCACCGACTAAATTGTCATGACCAACTTTGACCAATTCATACATGGCACAACCAATCATGTTTTCAGCGACAATAACAGGACCAGAAACAGAGTAAATTTGGCCATACTCGCTTTCAGCATGGTCATCTAATGAAAGACGTTTGATTTCTTTACGGGCATTTTCAATTGCGCCAGCCTATTTGAGAGAATTAGAAGTTAGTTTCAAGTGAATCAACAAATAGTGAAATGTGTTAAATAAAGCAATCAGGGCAGAAAAAAAGGAGAAAGGAGAAAAGAGAATCAAGAGAATCAAGAGACGCAATTAACAAAATGGCAAAGCAATAAGCAATGGGTGGTAAGACAAATTGCGAGAAGCAATGAGCCAGATCCCAGGCCTGAAGATGTGTTCGTTCTTACCACGAATTGAGGTAATCTGGGCTCTGAGGAACAGCAGGGAGAGAAAGAGAAGGGAGAACATAACGTACCATTTTGGACAAGTGATTGTAATATCAAATACTAGTAGCAGCAGCAGAAGAATCTGATAGGAGAGGAGTGAAAACAACAACAGAAAGCTTTGAAGAAGCTCCACCTCAAAGTGGCTGCAACCACCCGGAAGTCAGTGCCGGGCGGGTAACGCGGTCGGAAGTGGTGCGATGCCGACGGAGAAGGAAGAGGTGGTAAAGAAGGACTGGACTATATAAAACAAAAAGCTATAACAGAAGGAGGTGGAAGAGACAAAAATGAGATGCAGTGGTACATGGTGGTGTATTGGCACGTCGCAGCGCTGAGTTTGTAGTTCGAGCCAGCAAGTCGAGATCTTGATCCAGATGGACTGGGGCAATGGTTGTTTTGCTGAGACTGCTGCTGCAATACCTTTCTTGCTGCTGGGCTTCCAAACTTCGGATCGTGGGCCATTTACTTTTCTTCGATTTTCAATTCCTGCACAGTTTTGCTCAATTCATCAACTGTGCCTGGGCTCTCGGTTTTATCGTGAATGTTGGAGTCAATTGAGCTGTTGTTGCTATGATACCCAGGAGAATTACCATCGGCATTATTCGCACTGCTGCAATTGCTGCTGTAGCTACTAATGTTATTACTGTTATTATTGTTATTATTATTATTATTATTATTATTATTATTATTATTATTATTATTATTATTTCTGTAACTGTTTTTGGCAAAATTTCTCTTATATTTGTTGTTGTTGTTGCTATTGTTATTGTTATTGTTATACGTATTCCCATTAGTAGGTACATAGAGGCTTTGTGATGGTTGGATCATATAATTAGAAAATGGGGGAGGGTAGTATTGATTGCCATTATATGATGAATAAAATTGCTGAGGATCAGTGAGATTAGTATTACTATTATTGTTGTTGTTGCGATTATAAAAATTATGATTATGATTGGGTTTGCTGTGACGAATATTTGGAGAATTTGGTTGAGATGTGGAGGGATTAGAACGTGGTGGTGGAGGCACCATTAAATTAAAACTGGATGGTGTGCTTTGAGGCAAATGAGGCATTGAGTGTTGATGAACCAATGTTGGTCCATTTATAATTGAAGGAGGCATTTGTGGAAAGAATTGGTTATTATTGGCCACCGGTGAAGTTCCTGTGGCTGTTGCTACTGGCGAACCACCACCAGGCACTATTGGTCCTGTAGCTGGAAGCATTCCAATTGGGATATTCATACCATATGGTGGAGTTGTTGAATAGAATTGTGGTGAAGGGACTTGAGAATAGTAATTTGGATTCCAATTTTTACTATAACTATTAGTATTTGAGTTTTTTACATTCATATTGTTATTATTGTTATTTCCGTTCATATTATTGTTATTGTTATTGTTATTATTGCCATTGATACTAGTATTAGTGGTATTAGTGTTATTGGTGTTATTACGATTATTGTATTTTTTATTTTGCAATTTCTTATTTTGACTTTGATTTTGATTTTGGTTTTGGTTTTGGTTTTGATTTATTGAATAATATTGGTTATTTGGATTATAATAGTTGGCTGATGCCGAGGGATAATAGAACCCGGTATAATAAGTTGGATTGAATCTATCAAAGGCTGCATCTAAAAATCGATTGTCATATCTGTCATAATATGGATCATTATTGTTATTGCTATTATTAAAGTTATTGTAATTTTGAGAATAGGAATATTTATTATTATTATTACTATTACTATTATTATTATTAATATTAATATTGTTTTTAGTATCATTATCGAAATCTTCATTGTAATCTTCGTTATAGTCGTCGTCATCAAAATCGTCATCGCCTTCATTGTCTTTGTAAATTCTTTCTCTCGCTTGCAAATAGTAGGCTTCTTTGGAGGCTCTTTCAGACTCGAGGATTGGGTCTATAGCGCTGACAGATGTATCATTAGGATCAGCTATTTTATTTTCTGGAGATTGAGAATTGAATATTTTGGGATTGATGTTGTTGTTGTTGTTGATGAAATTCATTTGGTGATTTGGATGGAAGGTGTGGTCTCTTTTGTTTAGAAAGTCTTGGTGTTTTAATTCTTTTTGTTCTTTTTCTAGTTTTGCTTTTTCGTCGAGTAATCTTTTAACGTCTTCTTTACGCTTCATGATTTTAAAGGCATGGCGGTCGATGCTGTTGTTTAAGTTTCTGCCGTTATAAGATCTAAGGTTATTGTAATTAGAAAAGTTGTTTGAATTTGAGGGATTTGAAGATGAGTTATTGTTATTATTGTTGTTATTATTATTGTTGTTGTTGCTATTGAAATTATGGATTTTTTTCGAAAAATCATAATTATGGTTGTGATTATGATTGTGGTTGTGGCTGTGATTTGGAATTGAGTTTTCGTTGTAGTCTAGAGTCGTTAGAGGTTTTGAGTTGACAAAGTCAGGGATTTGGCTGAGATTAATTTTTGGTTGATTTTTGATTTTTTCATCATTATCAGTTGGTTTTGTGTCGTGATTTTCGTTGTTGATATCTTGAGAGTCATTATTGTTATTGTTATTGTTAGTGCTGTCTTTGTTGAATTTTGGGGGCAGTTTATTTGGAGGATTGAAGGTTTTGTAGACAACTACGGAGACGCCATCGTTATTTAGAATGTGGCCTAGGTCATGGTAATCGGCAATATGGTGGGCTAGTAGTCTGTAGTAGGAGTTCATTGGCTTTAGTTTATAGGAGTTGATGTTTGAGATTGAGAAATCGAGAAGGGTTGATTCCAATTCCAATACGAATTGTCTATCGCGAGCGTTGAATAGGGCGCCAACAAGACAGTCAGATAGGCCATATTTGTTTGATTCTTTGGATATTTTTTGGTCTTTAATTGATTTTTTGATGGAGATGTTTTCGGGGGATTCGATATCTTTATGAGAGAGCTGAGGGTGATTTGTGTTATCTAAGTTGTTTGGATGTTTTGGGTCGTTTGGGTCGTTTGAGTCATTTGGGTCATTTAGTTGATTTAGTTGATTTAGTTGATTTAGTTTATTTAGTTTATTTAGATCATTTGGTTTATCTTGATTTAATTCATTTGATTGAATTGGTTCTTTTTTAAAAGAGATATCTTTTTTAAAAGAGGTATCGTTGTTTGTAGGATTGTTATTGGTGAGAATTTGGTTTGATAAAATTATTGATTCTTCGGCCTTCATTGAAAATACAAAATTGAATGAAAAAAAAAAAGTGAAATTGAAATTGAAAATGAAATTGAAATTGAATTAAAACGAGTGATAAAAAAGTCGTTAGTAAGGTATAATAAAATGGAATCAGATGGAATCAGATAAAATAGATTGAAATAAAATGAAATAAAATGAAATAAAATGAATTGGAAATAATCAAATCAAAAGTAGAATTAATTAATTAATTAGTTAATTTAAATTTTACTTTATTTTATTTTATTTTATTTTATTATATTTAAAATTATTTTATTAAAGTTATTATCTTATATTATTTGAATTAATAATATGAGATAATAGAAATGAGAGTAAATTTAATTGAACAAAATTGAATTAAATTGAATTAAATTGAATTAAATGACACATACCATTTTTTGTTTTTTGTTTTTTTGTTTAATTTTTTCTGAATTTTCTGAATTTTAATGTTTTTAAAATTTAGAAATTTAGAATTGATGTTGTCGACTGTGGATTAAGATTTCCAACAAATTGGCTGCTGTGAATTATGGAAAAAAGAGAATAGAATAACAATGTAGTAAAATGAAAGTGAAAATAAAAACGAGAATGAAAATCTGGGAATTGTAAGAGCTTGTAGGAGGGTTGAGCAAAGTGTGAAAACTGGAGGAAAGTGGGAATTGTTGAATCGAGCAGGAGAAAAGAATAACTGCAGTTCAATGGGGGAGACGAGAGCAAACTGAACTTGCAATTGACAGAGTATTGACAGAGTTATAAAGGACGACAATTGAAGAACCGCAGAGCGTAGAGTGCAAGTGCAAAGTGCAATAAAAACAAGACTCTTTTCCAGGTTGAATTGAACTTGAGAAAGAGAAAGAGAAAGAGAAAGAAAGAAAAAAGAAAGTCGCTGATGGACAATAAAGCACGAAAAAGAGAAGCGAGAAAACCAAGAGGAATTGAAAGTGGAAAAGGAAAAAGACTATTAAAGTGCAATCAAAGCACAATCAGTGCAATTCTGATAGCGTTATAAAGTTGTGCTCAAAGTTGAACATTGAACATGGGAAAAGTTGGGTAGCAAATTCTAAATAAAGCCATGCAATTCGAAACTGGGCTGCCTGTTTCCAGAGTTTGCATCCACCAGCCCCAGCAGACCCCAGAAAAGAGGCCTCTTCTGCTGCCGCTGCTGCGTCGGCGTCCCCGGCCGCTCCTGCTCCTGCTGCCTGTGCTGCCTCCGCCCAACGCCCATCCCTTCCCTCAGGCCCAGACCCCCAATCCAGCTATGTGCGCTATTATTAGAACTGCACCACCACCACGGATCCAGCGCTGCCACACGCTGTCTACATCAGGGTGCTGCAGACACACGCGCACTCCACAACCTCGGATTGCACACGTGTTGGTTATCACGTGATTATCTCATCACTGCTGTTTTCGGTGCCGACAGCCCAGCGGCCCCGCGTGGTTTCTGTGTGCTCGCGCCATTGATTATTAAACACTCTTTTTCAGCACACGTAGCAAAACAATCCCGCCGGCACGCGGACATACGCCCACGCTTGCAAATATGCACGTGCAGTGTGTGCATTTTAGTCACGCGCTATGCACGTGCACGCCACTTTCTCCCGCGCAGTTTAGACCCCGATAAGAACACCTCGACATTTCGGGCGGGTGCGTGCAGCGGCCGAGTTGAAAAAGCTTTGCAACCTTTGGCCAAAGCACAAGAAACGATTTTGACACGCTCACCCCTTTTACTTTTTCTGCTGTGGATATATTCACTTTTGCTCAAAGATAGGAAGACATTATATTATATAATCCTCATATCTTCTCTCTTCTTTCTTGCAATACAATAGTTTTCCTCTTTCTTCTATTCTGTTGCAGCTTCGTTCTTCTTTTGTAATCCTTTTCATCTTTTAGGTTTCCAAAGTTTTCTTTTTCCCTATCCCTATCCTTATCCTATTGTACTATTTATTCAATCGTAAGTTTCTTCTTAATACTTGATTCTTCTCAATACTTGATATCCTCTTGTTGCCATTTATCATCGCCCTATCAATCGCTCTTTAAAGATATTTCTCCTATCCTGCGCTGCAATAATCTCAGATATATTGTTCCTCTTCAACATCTAAGATCTCTGCCCTACTCGGATCTTACCTTCATATCTCATCCACTGTTTCCACTTTCACTTTGATTTGCGTTTAATTATCTTTGTCAATTCAATATCAAATCTATATTTTTTTTCTTGAAGAAAATCAAAAAAACTGAAAAAAATTACTCAATATATTCAATTCATTAATATATCTTATACTTATCTGATCCAAACTATATTCTATTCAATTACATTGCATTACATTGTACTCTACTGTATTGTATCCTTATATTTTCTATCCCATATACTAATCTGTTTATTTATTTATTTATTTCTTTCTTTCTTTCCTTACTTGATCATTTATTCTTAGCAAGATGGGTCTCTCTTTCTCAAAACTATTTTCAACTCTCTGGGGTCGTAGAGAAATGCGTATCTTAATGGTCGGTCTTGATGCTGCAGGTAAGACAACCATTCTCTATAAATTAAAACTAGGTGAAATCGTTACTACTATTCCAACAATCGGTTTCAACGTCGAAACTGTTGAATATAAAAACATCTCCTTCACTGTCTGGGATGTTGGTGGACAAGACAAAATTCGTCCTTTATGGAGACACTACTTTCAAAATACCCAAGGTATCATCTTTGTCGTCGATTCAAATGATCGTGATAGAATCGCTGAGGCTCGTGAAGAACTACAACGTATGCTCAATGAAGATGAATTACGTGACGCCTTATTGCTAGTCTTTGCCAACAAACAAGATTTGCCAAACGCAATGAACGCTGCTGAAATCACTGAAAAACTAGGCTTGCACTCCATTCGTCAACGTCCTTGGTACATCCAAGCTACCTGTGCTACCTCCGGTGATGGTTTATATGAAGGTCTTGAATGGTTAAGTACCAATCTTAAAAATAGTAGTTAATTCTAATTATCATTGTTATTACTATCACTATTATTATTATTATTATTACTATTACTATTATTACTATTATTACTATTACTATAACTATTACTATTATTTTTTTTTTTTTTTTAATTCTCTTTTTAATTCATTTTTATTTTCAATTTAAAAATCTTCAGTAATCATTACTCTTTTATCCCTCAGTTTTATTATCATAATTAAAATAAATTAAAATTAATTAAAATTAAATTAAAATTAAAATAAAAAATAAAAAATAATAAATCAAATCAATAAATTAAATCAATAAATCAATAAATCAAATCATCAACAATCATCAACACAATCAACACAATCAACACAATCAACACAATCAACATAATCAACATCATTCATCTTCTTCCTGCTTCTTATCCATACTAAATCATCTTATCCCAACAAACTAAATAAATATCACCTAATAATATACACAAATCGAAAATTATCACATCTTTTTTCTTTCCTTTTCCTTTCTTTTTTCTTTCCTTTTTCTTTCCTTTTCCTTTTCCTTTTTTTTTCTATTTCTCTTTCTCCATCGTTTTTTTCCTTTTTTGTTAACTAATCTGTTTTCTATATCTTATATCCTAATACATCTTGGTTATTTTGTTTCGATCGACCCCTCCATAGCTTATCTCGCCCTTCAATTCTCTCTCCTATCTGAAATGCTTATTCCCAGATGCTGGATGACGCTGGATGCTTACCGCATCTACTACAAATCAATCCCCAGTCAATTTTCATCTCGTGATAACATCTTTATTATTAGGGCTCATCACTTATAAACAGATGTTGTGAGGAACAAATTTAACCTAAAGAAGCTTATTATCTATTGTTCCTCCTTTAAAGTTATCACAACCCTTTTCTCTCCTCTTTCCTCGGTTATATCTCTTATTATATATCTAATAAGTTTGTAATTCATTTACTGTAAAGTGATGAGAATTTCATCCCAAAAACAAAATTCATAATACAAAACTAATCATTCGATCTTGTTTGTTTGTTTGTTTGTTTGTTTAACTTTTTAATAGTTATCTGATCCACCATACAACGTTCTCGGCATTTCCCACTTTTTCAACTTTTCTCATTTTCCACATCAGAAATATAATCAGAATTCAATTCAATTCAACTCAATTAGTTGTAAAATTAAAACTAATCTTGTATAATTTTTCAAGTAATCAAACAGTAATATTATCTTGCACACCATCATATACTTATGTTAGGTGCTTACATAACTAATTCCTCATCAATGTTGAATACACTCTAATTAATCTTAGAACAAGCCCTATGTAACTTCCCGTGACTATCAATTAAAATTGCTCAATCCCATCGCTCGCAATTTAAACTTTCGCTTAGAATACTATTAAATAGTCACATGTCTTTCTTTTTCACCGATTTCCCATTTTCTAAGCATTGGAATCAGTTAGGGCTTGTTGCAGAGCTGCTTTGGTTTCAATATATACAAAATTGCAGATTATAGGTGAAAATATATATATTAACAGTTTGGTGAAAGATCTCAGAAACACTATCAATCAGTAATTAATAATATATCAAAATGGTATGTATCTCACTGAATCCACATCCAAACAATAAAATATATCAAATTTTAAATCCACATATACCCCCAAAGTGCTTTTTTTTCTTGTTAGAAACGCTCTGAGCAAGAATTATCACAGAAACAATCATCAACAACTGAAATGTCTAATTTATCAACAAAAATTTGATTCGTTTTTTTTTGTTTTTTTTGCAATTGATAGCGTTGTGTTAATAAACTTATTTTAATGTAGAACTGCATCCAATTACTAAATATCAAAATTATTCTATAAACATGATAATTCAAAAGACCATTTGTATCATCACAATCTTAACGCTTAAAAGCAGAAAAAAATATTAATCCAATTAATTTCACTTTTAATTTCAATTTATAAATATATTATTTAAAGTGAAATTCATCGTTTTTCTTAAAATGAATCCAATTGTTGAAATTTTACATGGATCTTAATACTACCCTATCAATTACGTTAAATTATAATAAATATCTCACAAGGATAAATGATTATATTTTATTTAAAATTTCAAAAAGTCTCATTAGCCCTTGAGACCTATTTCTAACATTTTGTTCAATTTATAATAGAGCGGCGTTAAAGCATATGAATTAAAAATCAAATCAAAACAACAACTTGAAGATCAATTGGTTGATCTTAAAAAAGAACTTTTGTCTTTAAGAAGTCAAAAATCTAGAGGTCCTTCTCCAAAAATTGGTATTTTAAGAAAAGATATTGCTCGTGTTTTAACTATCATCAACTTGAACCAACGTGAAAGTGTTAGAGCTTTCTACAAAGGTAAAAAATACATTCCAAAAGATTTACGTGCTAAGAAAACTAGAGCTATTCGTCGTCGTTTATCTGAAAATGAAGCTAAGAAAATCACCTTAAAACAAAAAAAGAAGCAAATTGCTTTCCCACAAAGAAAATTTGCTGTTAAAAATTAATTTAAATAAATAATATTGATTCAATTTTTATTAATGAATGTATCCTACAAATATATCTTTAAGAAATGCTTTATTTTTATCAGTGTTCATTATTTATATAATTAATAACAGTTTAATTACTTATCTATATCTTCCTTCTATTTGTATTTTATATTAAGATGAATTTTATTATTACTAAACTATTTAATAGCAAATGCAAGAAGAAACGGTAATCAAATTAATTTATTCATAAAACAAAAACAAAAATAAAAATAAAACAAAAATAAAACAAAAATAAAACAAAAATATCTGTAATCAAATAGAAAAATATAAAAAATATAAAAAAATAAATATAAAAAAGAAAATAGAATTTTTGCACTCAATGTAAAATATAAATTAAATCATTCCAAATGTATATTATGGCCGGGCCAAATATAGATTATGGTGGGGAGGTCATTGTGATATCTCCATCCTCTGTTTTACTTTTTTCTTTTTCAGCCCTTCTTTCAGCTTTAAATGTTTCAATTTTCTGTTTCATTTCTAAATCGGGCTTAACTTCATCCAATTTTAGTGGCATTCTGTTAAATGGATCTGTTGGATCATTGAGTAAATGTGCTTTGATAGTGGATCTATCGACCGTAACCTTTGAACTTGGTAAAATGACAGGATCAACCATAAGTTCATACATTAATGGATCTAGTAATTCATCTGGAATATCTCCCAACTCTAGTTCTTTTTCTTCATCTTCCAATTTCTGGGCTTGGGCTTTATCCCCAAATCTAACAAAATCATCAATGAAATCACCTGAAGCTAAACTGTAACGCTGTAAAAATCCTCTTGCTTTTATGAAAAGCTCATGTTTAAATGATCTACTGTCTCTTGAAACTGCATTTAGAAACTCTCTTTCTCTTGATAAATTGACAAATATTTTGCAAATATTTAAAAGCAACTGTCTAGGTTGGAAATTAAACTTCAATGGATCTTTGACTTTTAATTGAGTATATTTTTTTCCTACTAAGGCATTCAAATTATAGTTGAGCATACCAGCTAATCTATCAACAATTTCTGGAGTAACGAATGCTTTTGGTGTTTCAAGAGTGAAAATTTTGAACAAGTTGACAGTCTTATTCCCTAAATTAATATAAGATTTGGCCTGTCTTTCTATGCTTGCCAAATGATTAGCTAATTCCTCGTCAGTTCCCTCCATAACAGGTTCTGCACCATTTTTTCTGTTTTCAATTTCGCTTTCTAATTCATGAATCTCAATCAAATCTCTTAATGATTCATCTAGTAAAAATGTAGTATCGTTAAGCATTCTAGCAACAAATCTGACAAAGAAATCTTTATTTTGGGCACTTTGTTTTTTGAATTGGCTTCTATAAACTTCGTGATTCCATAAAGATTCTAATATAACTGCCATGTGAAAACGACTGTTGAATTTATCATAAAATTGAGAAGAAGCACCAGTTTTTTCGACAACGACATAGAAATCTAATAAAGCATATAGTAAATTGTCAATTATTAAAGGATCAGTTATAAAAACGTCAAACATTATACCAGGGTGACCATTCTGCATTGGTAATGAGCCAAAAAATAGTAGTTCGACAAAGTTGCCTTTTAAATGAGGATTTCCAAGTATTTCAGGGCATCTCAACATAACAATAACGAATTCCACAAAATGTTTTAATCTCGGATTATTAAATAATGGATGATTAGCATATTGAATGATATGAGAAGCATAATTGACTAAGCATTCAATGACAAATTCAGGATAGTATCTAAAAGGGGTAGGTGATTTTTTCCTTAATTCTTCAGCGTTGTCGATATTTTCAATGTTAACTTCATCAGGAATAAGTGGCAAGGTAATTTGGCGAAATGGGTAACTTGAGTTTGGATCAACAGATCTAACCATAAACACAGAAGCGCCAACAACAAAATCAAATATTTGTAATTGGATCTCTCTATCAAGGAAAAAAGCGTTCATAACGGTTTTTGAAGCTTTTGCGTTGGTTAACATTAACTCAAATTGGGGTAAACGAATAGCATAAGTTCTTTCAGCAAAGGATAGAGTATTGCCACTAGCTTTCGATTTTTCAGTTAATTCTTTTAACCTTTCGACTTGTTGTTCTAGTTGTTTAACTTCTTTTGATACTCTTTCTCGATCTAAAATCAAACCGCCAATACCAAAATGTAAGCAGCCTAAGCCTAAGAAAAAACAATCTGAGATAAAATTTGTTTTTTCAGTAGATGCATGATCTTTGGCATATTCTTCATATTCCTTTTCTGTTGCATTGATTCTTGTTTGATCTTGTAAATCGAAATATGATTGTTTATCAAAGAAAAATTTATCGATTCTATCGAATTTTTTATAAGATGAATCTAAAAATGGAAGAGACATTTTAAATAAAATTAGAGATAAGTTTACGAAAATTGCATGAGAAGTTAGGCTCAGGTAATCGGCTTGCATACCAGTTCTTAGGTGATTCCAATTTATAACGGTGGCAATGTACTTTAAAGTTGATTCTCTGGAATGATTTGAAGCTCTTATTAGTTTATCAAATACAAAGAATAAAAATTCTAGAATTAGTTTATATTCAGCCTGTAAGGATTCCATCAATCTATCAATTTCTAGTTTTGACATTGCAGCGGAGTTTCCAAGGATTTTTTTAGCAAAGTTGTTATGTAAGGGAGATAAAGAAAGAATTGGGCCCAAAATAGTTTTAAATTCGACATCAGAAGGATTTTGAGATTCTGATAAGCAGAAATCATCAATATTAGAAAACTCAGCGGCGATAGCCTTGTCATTTAATAAAATACGATAGATGGTGAAAACTCTTAGATATATTTTATTATCCATTGTAACTTTGTTTTCTAGTAAATATTTTGATAAATAGGGAACCAAGGAGTTTATAAATTCAAAAAGAGAGCCCTCTGACTTTGCAGTTTTGATCAATTCGAATAGAAAATCGTTAATCAATTCATTGGGATTATGTGATAAAAATGGGAAAACAGTTTTTTCGATAGTGTTGTTTAGAAACATGTCAGGGATTTGAAAAGAGCTGCAGGTGTAGTTGAGAGAAAGATTGACTATTTGGTCTAGTAGGGCAATTTTTTTTGATTTATATTTTTCATTAAATTTTGAAGAAAAAAGGTTGTTTAAGGCTTTTGATCTCAATTTAAGGGGTTGTCTTAGAGATTTGATGGATCTTAATTTTGATTTAGCGGATTCCCAAGCATTGAATAGATAAAGAACCGGGTTAGGAACAGCATTTTCAATTGTCATTTCATCGATGATAGCATCCACAACGTTTTTATTAAATAAAACAGATATGTTTTTGTCGATATCGTCTGAATTAGAGTCAGTGGAAGTTTTTTCATTTATCAAGTCATTATAAGTTGATTTTAAAAATTTGAGTTTCAAATTGGTGTTGTTTGGATTTACAGTTGCCTGAAAGATTTCTTGTAAAGTGTCGTTAACCCAGTTGTTATAGTGGTCTTCAAGTTGGGCATCGGATATTATAGGATTTTTTGAAAGTATTTGTTTTGTGGGATGGTTTGGAATGGATTTTTGTTTCAAGGTGTCATTGGATAGGTTTTGTTGTTTGATATTCTGAGAGACGAGTAAAGCGCTGAAAGGATTAGCAGATGGAGTGGAGGATCTGGTGGAGGTAGAGTGAGAGGTGGCAGGTCTAGAAGGATTGGAGTTGTGTTTGGGAGAAGAGGAAGAAGAGGAAGATGAGTGTGGAGCCGAAAGATTGTTTTCTTTATTGTACTTGGCCAAACGTGCTAGCCTCTTAGCTCTGATATCGTCTGGGTTGTCCATAGCCTGAAAGCAAAAGCAGCAAAACAAAAAAAAAGAAGATTACCAAGAAGGGAAGATCATACAGTGGTGGTGGATTAGATGGATTAGCTGTTTGGCCACCAGAAGAACCCTCTTTGATAACGAGCAAGAGTCTGAGGCGGTCGGAAGTCGCATTTACGAGCTGTCATACGCGTGACAAAGAGAGACCACAAAGATGGTTCTCGGCAGAAGAGGGCAGAAGTGGCCGAGAGAAGTCTCCGCGAGGTCGGAGAGCGAAGTCCGAGGAGTGTGTTTTGGATTTTCGATTTTTCGACTTTGGATGGATTTATTTGCCATTTGCTTATCTACTGATCTGCTTCTCAACAAACTGAGGGACATTATATAAATGGCTGTGGTGCGAGGGGTTTCTTTTTTTCTTTCCTTATGCGTTGGTGTATGATTTGAGCGAAGCACTGTCGTATTGAAGAATTATAGTCGAGTATGTCCTCACAAACAGCAAAGGTTACGAAGACTGGGTTACCAACTCCCATGCCAGCATACTTTCCAATGGAAGGATCGCCATTGTATGCTGACAGAGAATTTTATAAAAGGGTCCATGAGAGCTCGAAGAAGCTAGTCTGGAAGGAGATTGTGCCAATCAGATCAGGAAAAGCCTGGAAGGTTCCCAAGGGACATGTTTGCAGAATTACTACGCCCGAGGGACCGCAAGTGGGTGATTTAAATATATTCAACTACCACAATCCAAGAGAAAGATTTTGGGCTGCAAGAACCAGACAATTGCATTCTGCTCATGTTTCTACATACGACAGATTATGGTCGAATTTGCCATACTTGAGACCAATGGCGACCATTACTGGTGATTCAATTGACTATGGGCTAGATGATCAGGGAGGCAGATGCCACGATTTGCTAGGAACAAGATGCGATCCATATGTCGACAAGTTGTTGTCTGGACAAGACAACGATTTCCACTGCCATTCCAATTTGACCAGAGCCATCCTCCCATACGGGCTAACCGAGTTTGACGTGCACGATGTGTTGAATGTGTTTCAATTGACAGGGCTAAACGAAAACGACCAGTACTTTATGGAAACATGTCCTGCCAAAGCTGGTGACTACTTTGAGTTCTTTGCTGAGATAGACTTGTTGTGTGCCCTCTCGACCTGTCCTGGAGGCGACCTCTCGACGTGGGGCTGGGGCGAAGGCGACGAGGCCAGTGGGTCGAAGAGCAGCGAGGACGACATGGTCAAGTGCTGCAGGCCCTTGGGCATTGAGCTCTACGAGATAGACAAGGCAGACGTGTTGCAGCAGTGGAGTGAACCTGGGTTCATCAACTACAAGGGCAACCATGGCTTGCAGTTCCCAGTGTTCAACAAGCAGAACAGGCAGTGGTAACAGAAAAAAGAAAGCACCGCACCGCTGGCTCCGTTCTGTCAAGTCAATCTGATGATGCAGCACAAAATCAACCACACCACTTTCACTCTTCGAGTATTCTATTGTGATGCCTCTGGTTGCTCTATTTGCTATCATTCTGCTATGCCTCTGCTTTATATAAGCTCACCCAATTCTCTTCTCTTTCTTTTTCTCTTTTCTTCTCTACCATTTTCTCACTGCCTTGTCTTTTATATACCATCTCTATAATCCACAGCCACTCCGACTCTACTTCAATTCACAATGGGTGTTCAAGACGTTTTATCAAGAAAAACCGGTGTCATTGTTGGCGACGATGTTCGTGCTTTGTTTAACTACGCCCAAACAAAGGGTTTTGCCATTCCTGCCATCAATGTAACCTCCTCTTCCACTGTTGTTGCTGCTTTGGAAGCTGCCAGAGACAACAATTCCCCCATCATTCTCCAAACCTCCCAGGGTGGTGCCGCCTACTTTGCCGGTAAAGGTGTCTCCAACAAGGACCAATACGCCTCAATCCAAGGCTCAATTGCTGCTGCTCACTATATCAGGTCAATTGCTCCTGCTTATGGTATCCCAGTTGTCTTGCACACTGACCACTGTGCTAAAAAATTACTACCTTGGTACGATGGTATGATCAAAGCTGATGAAGAATACTTTGCCAAAAACGGTGAACCATTATGGTCTTCTCATATGTTGGACTTGTCTGCTGAAGTTGATGAAGAAAACATTTCAACCTGTGTCAAGTACTTCACCAGAATGGCTAAAATGAACCAATGGTTGGAAATGGAAATCGGTATCACTGGTGGTGAGGAAGATGGTGTCAATAACGAGTCTGTTGACAAGGAATCCCTCTACACCTCATCTGAAACCGTTTACTCAGTCTACGAAGCTCTTGCTCCAATCTCCCCAAACTTCTCCATTGCTGCCGCCTTTGGTAACGTCCATGGTGTCTACAAACCCGGTAACGTTGTCCTTAGACCTTCAATCTTAGGTGAACACCAATTGTACGCTAAAAATCAATTATCCTCTGACAAATCTTTCCCATTATACCTTGTCTTCCACGGTGGTTCGGGTTCTACTCAAGAAGAATTTGATATTGCAATCAAGAATGGTGTGGTGAAAGTCAACCTTGACACTGACTGTCAATACGCTTATTTGGCTGGTATTAGAGATTACGTTCTCAACAAAAAAGACTACATCTTGAAAATGGTTGGTAATCCAGAGGGCGACGACAAACCAAACAAGAAATATTTCGATCCAAGAGTCTGGGTTAGAGAAGGTGAAAAGACAATGACAATAAGAGTCTCCCAAGCCTTGGATATCTTCCACACTAAAGACCAATTATAATTATAATTCATTTCAATTATACATAATCATCTTTTTTTACATTTATAGATAAATATTTTCACTACTTTATAAACGTATTTTCTTCCTAATACTTTTTGGTTTAATAGTAATATTTATTTGAATATTGAAAAAATTTCTTTAAAAATTTATACATATATATATATATATAAATTATTGCGTAAAATCATTATTATTGTTATTATTGTATAAAAAATCATTACGACCCTTTTTGCTGTTTTTTTGTTATTTAGTTAATCAATCAATTAATTAATAATTAATTAACTAATTGCTTAATCTAATGATGAAGCACCAGTAATAATATCAACCAACTCATTAGTGATAACTGCTTGTCTAGTTCTGTTATAAAGAATAGAGTATTTACTAATCATATCACCAGCATTCTTTGATGCATTATCCATAGCATTTCTTCTGGCTGAAACCTCTGATGCATATCCCTCGGCCATTGCACTGTAAATACCATTGGCTAATGAAAATTCACTGAAACTAGCTGGAATATTAGAATCAGCATCAAGCTCAAACAATGTCAATTTGGGTGAATTTGAAACAGATTCAGGAGTAAATGCTGGTTTGGCAGTGGCTTCAAATGAAACTCCAGAAACAAACTTGTTATATAAGATTTGAATATTATCGTAGGTTTTACCTTTGGTTTCCTTTAAAATCTCATCGGCAATTAATGTGGCTTCGGTAAAATTTGGAGTTTCTTTACCAACACCACTAATAGCTAAAATCAAATTCTCTGGATGGGTTCTGGTTAATTGAGATTTGATTTTTTCTCCAACAGCAACAATATCAGCATCAGGATATTCCTTCAATTGAAGTCTAGTTGCCTTAGCGATTTGAGAATGAATTGATCCACATAATCCCTTATCTGATGAAACAGAAATTATTAAAGCTTTTGGAGATTCAGAAGTTGATGCAGCTGTTTCGGCATTTTCATAAAACTCTTTTTCACCAGAAGTGTAAACTCTTGAAGTAGTCATTGCACGTTGAGCTTTATTCAAACGAGTAGAAGCAACAACCTTCATGGTATTGGTAATCTTTTCAATGTTTTTAATAGATTTTAAACGGGTTTCAATTTCACGTAAAGTAGCATAGTTTCTAATTAATAATCAAAAAATAACAATTCAATAATTCATTAGTAATTTATACTTTAAAGAAATTATAACTAACTATTCTCCTTTATTTATATATATATATATATATATATATCAAATTTAAACAAGATAAATGATTTTGATGTTTCTTGATGCACAGTTTTTTGATCTCTTCTGGCATATCTTTAGATCCTCATCCCGGATTTGAACAATTCAAATTGTATTATTATTTCCAATATTGTTTATAAACATATTATCTGCATTTAAAATCAAACTTCTCAATGTTTAAATCATTTTGATGAGCTGTGATTAACTCTAGAAAGACAATAGGATACATACCTGGCTTGAGAACCAGCAACATAAACAGCTTTGGCACCAAATCTAGTAAACATTTTCGATAATATGGATATAATTTGTTTCTAGATTAAAATCAATATTAAAATCACTTGAAAATTGTGCAATATATTATCGATTATAATGAATATCTCCCTTAACAAATTGGGGTGTCTCCAGGAAGAATTAGAGTATTTTCTTTGGTGAAAAAGTTCCCATCTCTGATTTGCCAATCAAAATCAAATCACGTGCTGTAGGTCACATGAATGATGCAGGATGTGATTTATCAGCGCTGAGTCATTCAGTGCAATTTCAAAACGATACCAAAGCAAGGTTTTTCAACAAGACTGCGAGGGCAGAGACAAAAGTTTGCAGCCCTATGTGCTAGACTCTTTTCTGTCTTTGTTCACTCCATATTAGGTGCTCAACCGGTTCCAACGAGAACACTTTTTGAAGATGATCTTTCCAAAGCTGTTTTCTCTTCCAAGATGCCCTTTTCCCACCAAATCAACATGAAATCCACGCCCACGGGTTTCATTCTTCACGCACTCCAACGCAAATATGCGTCCTACTTGCGTGGTGCACCCGTAGTGCTGGTGCAGAGCAGCCCAGTTTCAAGCCTTTTTGGGTGAGTGTTGAGATTTATTTTTAACCATTTCCTAATTGGGCTAAAATCAAAATAAACCTATTTCTGTTTCCTTGTGGAATAAGGTGCAAGATTATTGAAATTCACCCATTCAGCTTACCATTAAACTGCTTCCAAAAGATTTATTGGTTTTCTTATACCAGCTTTTTTGCTATTTTATTCATCAACTTTATCCTCAAATCCACCACCAAAGAAACCTCAAACTCCTTTTGATATTCTTTTTTAAAAATTATATGTTGCTAATAATACTAATAATATTACCAAGTTTTGAAGTGCCTTCTTTTTAAGCTTCGAGCAACATTGTACAACTTTACAACTCAGAATCCTTCAAGCCTGAATTAAGAATATTGGATTAAAATTTCTTCATTAATAATTAAAAACCTCTACAATATTCTTTCGAATCTTTTCCAAACACATTCGCTACCATAACTAAATAATATACAACAACTATACCCAGCAATAATAATAATAATAATAATAATAATAATAATAATATCAATAATACCAACAACGGCCAACAAAAATTACAGTTTTTATAAAAATGGCCCTAAGCTTAAAAAAAAGATTTAATGAATTACTATATTCTTTCAAAACCAATGATAGATACTCTGATTATGATGCCAATCAGAAAGCAAGAATTCCTACATCAAATCACCAAAGAGCAAACTCAACCCAAGATATATTTAAAAGTTACAATATCAATTTAAATTCCAATTTTAACGATGCATATTCCCAACAAAGTTCAAATTCTTCCTTTCGCAAAAGAAACAATAGAATCTCTTTACAAAATTTTGATGGCGAGGGAGTATCTGAATGTATCCTAGCATGGAGACATATTCAATTATGGACCTCAAAAAATCATCCTGAGCTTGACGAAACATTATCACCACCAGTTACAACTAATGACATTATAAAAGCTCAATCCGATTTAAACATCCAATTTCCTCAATCTCTTATAACTTCTCTAAGGATCCATGATGGCCAAGATTTATCTGGCTCCTTGGGCAATGAAGCAGGTGGTTTAGTTTTTAATTTACAATTATTAAATCTTGAGAAAATCGTTTCAATGACTAAAACTTGGAGAAAAGTTAGTGAAAAAGTTAACAATTTTATTTTAACAAAAAAGAAAAACCAACATTTACAAAATTTAAAATCCCCCGAATTAACTTATTCTTTAGATTTCCATAAAAGTTCCATGTCAAAACATGATGGAAACGACTATTTTCTTTTAGATAACGACGATTATGATGCAGATTTACAATCAGATTCATTAAATCAATTCAAACCGCATCATTCTAAATCGAAATCCCTGAATTATCCTACTCCCTATACTTCTAATACCCAAATATATGGTCATAGTAAACAAAACTCAACTTTTACCTCCCATTCAAGAAATTCTTCAACAAATACCTCTGTGCTATCTTTTGGTAATGACTTGCTATTAAATAAAAAATCAAATCTTTTTTCTCAAGGATCAATACCCCCACAATCAACACAACCTGTATATTGCCATCGAGATTGGGTTCCTTTAATTTCTGATAATTGTGGAAATCAAATAGCTGTGGATCTATCCCCTGGTCCAAAGGGCAAATGGGGTCAAGTAATCATATTCGGTAGAGATTTTGATATTAAATTTGTGATAGCTCCAACTTGGGGTGACTTTCTATTAACCTTTGCAAAAGATTTAGAAAATAAAAATTACATTATAACTCATCCCGATAATAACCTAATCGATGACATTTACTCAGGTGAGGGAGACTTATTATATTATGATAATACTTTAAAAATGCAAAAAAACTATCTTTATGTTTTAAGAGATAGAGCATTGGATGATTGGAAAAAAAAATCCACTTTTGACCATTACAGCTCTTCAGTATCAGAATTGGATAAAAAATCAAATCGATCCTTCTCCCCTACCTCTCAAAGTCACCAAAGAAGACATACTTACTCACAGCCTCATTTATCCACAATAAAACAAGAACAAAATTCAAATTCATTTGCCCAAAATATTATACCAACAATTAAGGAAAAATCCTCAATGGACTCTTTACCTACAAATAATTCAACAATTGATTCTTCTCAGTCTAACACATTTTGTGATTTAAAAGATTTAAATCAATCAACTACAAGAAATCGCTCTTCTTCAGAGTCAAGTGAATCTTCAATTGTGATAACAAGAATTGTTCAAGTTCCCGAGAATAACGGTAAAAATTTGAATAACGAAGTTATTATAATTGATGACGATCCTTATGAAAACATTGTTCTTTAAGTTCTTATTCATATATATATTTTTCTTTTGTTTATTTCTTTCAATTTTTTATAACTATGGTTAAAAGCAATATTTTTTTTTTCTTTTCTCTTTTCTCTTTTCTCTTTTCTCTTTTCATTTCTAATTTTTCATTGATTATACATACATATTCATTTATGGATATGCATATATATAGTTTTTTTCTAGATATCTATCATAAACTATTTGGTGCATCTTTTTATTTATTGTACTCTTTCATCTAATCTTTCATTTTATGCTACCAAATAATTCTTTGAGGTAAACCTGGCTCAGTATCCCACGCAAAGGTATAATTTATAAATATAAATATTATAACGAAATTTATAATAAAAAACCATAAGAATTCTAAATGTAGCTTAAAATTTTTAATTTCATAACTGTTCTTTTTGAATAATGTATCAATAAAGGAAAAAGTAGTACTTTCAATATCAATTAAAACTCTCCAAAATAAATAAGGAAGAATATAATATCTTGGTTCAAATAAAGGTGATGGAATAATAGTTGCACAAACAGATACAGTAAAAGCACTGATTGTAATAAAAGTTGGCTTTAAATTTTTGTTAATTCTTTCAATAACAATTTTATTTCTGTTTTGCTTATTGTTTTGAGTGTTAATAGTATCATTAAATTTGTTTAGATTTATAAATAAATGATAAAATAATGAGTAGCCAGAGAAATGGTAAAATGGAATCATAGCATATCTTGAATAAGGAGGTTTGAAATCAATTACTCTTTTCCAAATGTAAAATGTATAATGACGGTTATCAGCTAGTAAAAACGGATGAACTATAGTAAAGTACTTGACTGATAAAAACATAAAAACATAGATAAGAGCAGTAACAGATAAGCTCTTAAATGAACCAAATGAGTTTTTCAAATACAAAACCATGAATGTTGAAGAAATTAATAATGGTCCGCTCAAGAAAGTTATAAAAATTAAGCAGTAAAATAATTGTGGTAGATGGATTGTAGATATATGATTTTCTTTATCACCAAAAGTAATACCGCCATTATGAATTATAAAACCAATAAATAAGACAAAGTTAATTAAAAAGGGAATAATACAAATTACATCTTCCAATGATTGTTGGATAAAACCAAATAAATTGATAAAAAAGGTTTCCAATATATGAAAATGTTCAATTTTTTTTATAAAATAGTTATTTTTTAAAGTTTTGGAGTTATATTTTTGAGATAATTGTGCATTTCTATCAATAAACATAACCAAGATAAAAGCAGACCATACAATGTTTGTTTGACGAAATGTTACTGAAATCAAAGATATAATGGACGATAATAATGCTGATTTGAACTTCCCTAGGGGCAAACAAATTGCTGTTGAAAATGATAAGAAAATCAATATTGTTGACCAGACATCAGTATAAAAAAGTAAATAATAAATGGATAACAAGGGTAAGAAAATGATATTTGAAGACCAGAAATTATTTCCATTATATTTCAACAACGGATTTAAACATAAAATTGGAAAAACAATCAAACCACCAACAAGATTCAAACTTCTCAAAACTGGTGTACCACAATACTCTAAATTCCAATTAAAAATATTTAGCAAATTTACCAATTTTGAGTAGAGAAACCCCAAGTAATACAAGCCTGGAGGTGTGGTTATTTTTGGGTCCCAGTAGGAAAAGTTGCCATCACAGTATTTCTGGGTTTGGGGAATGTGAAATATTTCATCCTGGAGAAGTGAGTATTAGTAGCAAGATTCAAATACGAGAGACATAAGAGATAACCCATTACTTACGATAAAGCAGTATCGCACAAATCGAGCAGACACCAAATGAAAGCATCCAGATAGAAACACCAAGCAGATAGTGTGTAGCACATTGTTGCTGCGAGTCGCAAGAACCATTTTTCAGCAGCTGCAACCAACAATCAGAAACAAATTCCTCCAAAAAAAGGTTCAATGCTGTCAAAAAGTGAGATCACCTGATTCAAAGCAGTGGACGATGGTTCCGGAGCTGAATCTGCGTCAAAACTAACTCAGAACCAAGATGGTTTGAATGAGATCGCCATTTGGGAAAGGAGATGCAATGGTTCAGCTTCAGTTTCGGCATCAATTGAAGAAACAGCTTTGTTGATTCGAAAGAAATTGCAGGACAGATCAGAGACCAGAGGCGTGGAAGTTGCTCTTTTTGGCCACTCGAACTCTGAGCAGATAAGAGAAGAAACAGCATCAACAACTCTGAAATATTGCCCATTAGACTTGAATTTCTCAGAATTCCTTTTCACTTTTGTCTTTCTCACAAGCCTTGCCGGTGGTTCTATTTTCTTGAACTGTTTTCACTTCATTTTCATCTTCATCTTCATCTTCATCTTCGTCATCACTTAAATTTAGTGTATTTTTTGCCCAAATTTCAAGCAAATCACTTAAAGAATATCCCTTTGGTCTTTCTTTCACTTCAACAGCACTTCTGTCATCATTATTATGCCCCTCAATAATTTCTAGTGCTCTAGTTTTATTTTCTTCAAAAAAGTTGAATCCCGAAAACTGTGGTAGATTAGGAACAGCTAACTTTTTTAGGTTGGGCAAATTGGGAAAATTTGCAATTGAAGACGAAAAGTTTGGTAAATTCGAAAAGTTGGGAAACTCAGGCATGTTGGGAAAACTTGAAAAATTAGGTAAATTAGATAAATTAGGAATTGTCACCGGTTTTGAAAGAGCAGGCAATGTCAAATTGGCGTTAAGATTGAAATTCAAATTCAAATCATTGATGTTAATTAAATCACCATCATCATTATCCGAGTCTTCATCACTTGTTTCTTGTGCTTTCTTCTCTTTTTGTTTGTCCTTTTTCTTATCATTTGCTATGGTTTCACTATTTTCATCCTTATTATTTAGTTTTATTACTTCATTTGTTTCTGTAAAAGGCTCCAATTCGTTTGCAGGAATTGCTGGATTAATATTTAAATTATTGTTAATATTATTATTGATAAAATTCCTCAAATTATTGATTGGTTGGGAAAATGAAGTATGTGAGGATAGTGCTGATAGTAGATTAATATTTTGATTTGAAAATGAAGGCAAATAAGATTTCACACTTTCAACATTAGAGTTGTTTGTTTGATTTTCAATTGTATTTATTGTGTTGGTTGTATTAGTTGTCTTAGTTCCAGATAATTCTGAATTATTATTTATAAAAGCATGAAATAGAGCATCTCTTTTATTCATGGTTATACTGTTCAAAACTAAATCTCTATGGATATCATTTTCAAAATCTTCATCGTCTTCCTCTTCGTATTCCTCGTCATCTTCTTCATTATCATCTCTTTCTTCATTAATAATATTATTGTTATTATTATGATTATTATTATTATTATTATTATTTATTTCAATGGTTTGATTTTGATTATTGTTTCTTTTCTTTTTTTTTTTTATTAATTTCAATTGATTGGTGTTATAACTTCCACAATTGGAACATTTTAAACCGATAATGTGAAATTTACAAGAGGATTTCAAAGTGCAATCATTGCAAAAAACAATGCATTTCCAATCGGAATAAGGATGGGGTAAAATCTGATGCGAGATTTCATGATCTAAAATTCTGAATTGATTTTCCATATCAATAATTGATTTTAAACAAAGAGGGCATTTATAAAAATTTTCAACATATTTATTGAAACATTTTTTATGGATTGAATGGCCACATTTCATAAAAAAAACTGTTTTAATTGAATTAAAAAGATATTCTCCACAAATCGGACAATCACTTCTAACAGTGTCTAGAATACATTTGTGGTTATCCTTTAAATCGATAGATATGCAAGCATTGCACCCTTTACAATGATAATAATCTATTCCAAGTCCATAACCTAATCGACATATGCCACAATCTTTGCAGTGATAAATGTTTCTATTAATATCGTCATCATATAAATTACAAACAGAGCAGAAATAATTAGCAAAGACATTATCGCAATTAAAACAGGAATTTGAAGGAGATTGAATTAGATTGCAATTCATGCACAAAATTTTAGTTGAACTATTATTTTTCAATAGAGAAAGAGAATGATCATGTATTTTTTCATCATGACAATGATGGCAAGTGTAAAAATTCACACATTCGGGACATAATAATTTACAAGACCTTTGATAATGTTCGCAGCCTAAAATTTCGTTAGTTGCATCATAATAAGTAGTTTTTTCGTTTTCAGCATAATATTCCATATCTTCTTCATTTTCATTCTGATCCTCCTCAAAGTTGGCATCATTATTAGTATGAATGTTATTTTTATTTTGATTTTGATTTTGATTTTGATTTTGATTTTGATTTTGATTTTGATCAATTCTATCATCATTTCTTTCATCATCATCACTATGATTATCAAACATTTCAACATCTTGGTCGACTTCGGAGAAAGATGATGATGATGATGATGATGATGACGAGGAATATATTCCATAACCCAACATTCTGCCTTCTTTTTCCTGTTTAGTTTTCCTTTGAATTTTGTGATTTCTCGACATTAATTTTTGAGTTAGAGTTCGTTTTTGCAATGAATCCAAAAAGGAATGGTTTTGGATTGCCTGGATTTTTTTTCTTAATAACAGTTCATTCTTTGAATCCTCGTCTGATTTGAAAGTGATTAAATCGTTATATTCTCTAAATAGTAGTTCGTTTTCAGCTAGAGTCTTATTAACCTCTAGCCTTTGCTTTTCCTCCATGGAGTTCAAATCGTTGGATCGCAGAGAATCCTTGGAAATATTTTTAGCACCATCGCTGTTGTAGAACGAGAACCCATTGATAAGATTGTAAAAAAAGCCAAAGGGGCTCTTTTTGGCGGGATTGACGCCGCCAGAAGAACTCAAACTGCTGATGGAGTGCTTGCCATCGTGGTGATCAGCTTCACTCATGATCTCGCTGGCAATCGTGTGGATTCTGCTGAAGATGAAGGTTGAGCAGCAAAAACCCCATCAAAACCATTGCCAAAATCCGAAAATCCAAAAAATGCCGGAAGCGTGAAATAAAAAAGCATGTGATATGCAATAATCTGCACTCCGGCTGCATTTCCGCTCCTCCTCTAATCAGAAGCTTATCTAAGCACACGTAGAAAGAGCGTCCACACCATTGGCGTCGAGAACGCTTCAACATCTTCATTCTGATTGCATACCACTTTTTATCATTTACTTTGCTCGTTTCTTTTGGCCAAGTTCCAGATCTGTTCCTGGTTCTCGTTCAACTACACAAGATGTTCAAGTCCTCTATAATATCATCCACTCGTTCGGCAGCCTTTGGCTTAAATAGCTCAAGAGCAATTCACAAATATTTGCAAAAATCATTTTTCAGCAATTCTGCTGCTTTTTTAGCTAAAAATGATCCAAATCCACCAGAAATCGACTTGATCAAGATTAAATTTCCCAATAACTCTAGGAAACCCGATCCAGATAGCAGGGCTTCCAAGTTCAAAAACATTGAAGACTCCAATAGTGGTCAAGGCGATTCAAATCCAAATCCCAAAAAGAGTTCCTCGAAATTTAAAGTATTACTTGGATTATCTCTTTTAGGTGTCTTGACTTTATTTGGTAGTTCCGTATTCATTGGGAGAGAGCCTAAGCCCTTCCATGATATCTTAAAAGAAGCAAAAGAAAAGGATTCATCAAAGAAAAATGGCGAGAATGATGATAGCACTGTAAAGAAACCAACATTTCAAGAAAATGAAGTATCAGTGATCTTTGTTCTTGGTGGTCCTGGTTCTGGTAAGGGAACACAGTCTGCTAATTTGGTTAGAGACTATGGATTTGTACATTTATCTGCTGGTGATTTATTAAGAGCTGAACAAAACAATCCAGATTCCAAGTATGGTGAGTTAATTGCACATAACATTAAAAATGGGATAATTGTTCCACAAGAAATTACAATTGCTTTGTTGGAGAATGCAATGAAAAAAAACATTGAAATAGGTAAAAAGAAGTTTTTAATCGATGGATTTCCAAGAAAGATGGATCAGGCTCTAACGTTTGAAGCTAGTGTTGTTAAATCAAGTTTAACCTTATTCTTTGATTGTCCAGAAGCCATCATGTTGAACAGGTTATTAGAAAGAGGTAAAACAAGTGGTAGATCTGATGATAATATTGAGAGTATCAATAAAAGATTTAAAACCTTTATTGAAACCTCCATGCCTGTTGTGGATTATTTTGATAAACAAAATAAAGTTGTTAAAGTATTCTGTGATCAACCAGTAGATGCTGTTTACTCTCAAGTTAAAACTGCATTGAAAGATAAATTGAATTTAGATTATCTCTAAAAACTGAAATAAATTAGCGTACATCACTAAATATCAATACATCTTATCATTTTATTTTATTTTATTTTATTTTATTTTATTTTATTTTATTTTATTTTATTTTATTTTATCTTACTTTATCTTATTTTATCTTATTAGTTTATTCGTTTTTTTTTCCAGATAACTTTTAATTACGTTATAGCTCATATATTAAGAAAAAATAAAAAAAAGATAAAAAGGATCTGCATTTAAATGTTAAAAGTAAGAACGGCTTATTGTCAGGTAAATTTTAAGTAAATATTTTTTAAGCTGAAATCGTAAATATACATTTAAACAAGATAATATTTGGTCCAATGGATACTTGCTTCACCGATCTAACAAAACCAATATTTTAAAGGAATAATTTAGTGTATTTGACAATTTTCTTTGTTCCTTGAAATTGAAAAAGCCATATGGTCTTCAAGTAACCACCATTTAATAGGTCAATAGAAGGTTTTTCTTTTCTGATAAAAAAAAGTTTTCATCTAATTTAATCTTGTAAATAAGTAGTGGATATTAATGTATGATGATATTGTTTATTTTTTTGTTTTTTGATTAATATTGACTCGATAAATTGTTGGATAAAGATATAAATATCGATGAGTTTGGTTGCCTTTTTTTTTAGTTTATAAGTTCTTGAGTTCTTTTTTGTTTCCTTGAATATAAAGCTTGTTCTTGATATCAATATCAATACTGGTACCTATCATTTTAATTATAACTATACCAATCATGGAAAATTCCAATAGCACAGCATTCAAACCAGGTGAAATCACAGTAGTATTCGTTCTTGGTGGCCCTGGATCCGGGAAAGGCACCCAGTCAGTTTTACTAGTTAAAGATTATGGATTCGTTCACCTATCTGCTGGTGACTTGTTGAGAGAAGAACAGTCGTTTCCTGGTTCTGAAAATGGGAAACTAATCTCAGAGTATATCAGCGAGGGCAAAATTGTTCCAGAAAGAATAATCATCGAGTTGCTATTGAATTCCATCCAAAGGAATTTCGATAAAGGCAACAAGAAGTTTTTGATCGATGGGTTTCCAAGAAAAATGGACCAGGCTCTAACATTTGAGAGGAAGATTGCTGAATCAAGCTTTATCTTGTTCTTCGACTGTCCTGAGGAAGTGTTGGAAACGAGGTTGTTGGAAAGAGGCAAGACAAGTGGACGAACAGATGATAACCTCGCCAGTATCAAGAAGAGATTCAGAGTGTTCGCTGAAACATCTTTGCCTGTAGTTAATCATTATGAAGCGAAGCAGAAGGTGGTTAGAATCAGCAGCGAAAAGCCTATCGACCAGGTCTACAGCGCTGTTAAAGCTGCCCTCGAGGCCAGGTCTTTCTAAGCAGTCTATGTAGAAGTGGTGTGTAGTCCTCTATAGCTCCCCAGCATTGTAATCAACTGCAATTAATAGCAATACAATGGTAATACAATGATAATACAATGGTAATACAATAGTAATATAATAGTAATATAATATTAATACAATTTCAACACTTCCCCATGCAGGTGGTATAGCCCTAAATTAGGGCTCTGACTTGATGAAGGCTCCTGAAAATGCTTCTCTTCAACCTCCCAGGCTCCAGCTATCACCAAGAGCCTTTTGTGTTGAGCGTACTGTTTGCTGAGGAAGTAAGATGCTTATACGCGATTAGTCGACCTTACAGACACCAGAAAATGAGCGAAGCTAACCCCAACAATGATTTCGAAGATGACTTGGAATTTCTCCTCCTGAAAAACATTTCCTCAGTTCCTGCCTCAACTGTTCCAGCTGGATCTCCAGTGCAACCACAACCAAAGTCCCAGTTCAAGAAAAGAATCAACAACAGCAATCAAAATGCTGCTCTTAGAGACAAGAGTTTGGCGAAATCTTTTGCTTCTCTAAATCTCGGTGCTGATAGGTCTAGTGCAAGACCACAATTCAAACCGTCCTCGTCTAATGATTTGAGATTGAACAAAAAAACGATTGACCAAATATGTGATGATATCGATATTTCCTGGGATGAAACCAGTAACAAACCAGATTCTGATGATTCTGATGATTCTCAGAATTCTGGTTACTTGGATGACTTTGAAGCTGGTTATTACAATGGTCTTGAAAGTGAAAATTTTTCCAAACTGGACACCGATACGAATGCTAAACAAAATGTTATTGACACAAACAGTCAAACCAAAAAGCAAACAAAAACAGATTTAACTTTATCATCTTCAAGTTTGGACTTGAATCTTGCCGATAATCCAACTAAGATTAATCTTGAGCTCGATCTCGATAATCAGGCTCTATTGTCAAAAGAAGTTGGACCAGTTGAGATCAATTCAGAGAAACAAAAGTCAAACAAAAAATCTGGAAATCGTAAAAAAAAATCAAAAAATAATATTAAAATTAGTACTAACGAACAAACACGAAATGAGAAACCAAAGGAGAAATCAAGAAAACCAAAAGCAACACCAATTACTCCCAATAATTCCAACTCTACCGAATTTTGTTATTTATCTAAAAAAGAAATTAAAAAATTTAAAACTTTAAAACAAAAAAATCAGTTGAATGATACAGAAATGGATCAACTAAGACAACTAAAAGAAAAAAGAAAACTCTATTTCTTAAATAAAAAATTTCAACAAGAAATTCCCTTTTCTGAATCTTCAAACAATGCTAATTCAAACACAGAAAATAAGCTAAAATCTTCTTCATCTTCTTCATCTTCTTCAAATCAAAGGCCTTCTAAAATACACCAAGCAAAAAAACCTGCTAAAAATCTGGCCTTCAAAGTTATTTATAATCCTGTTTCAACCATGAAATTAAGTGATCCTTTTCTTGAAAAAATTGTTCTCAACGCTAATGACTTGGCTAAAGAAATCCTCCAGTTTTTGTTGGTTCATAAAGACAATGTCTTTAGTGATTTTTATCGGGCCAAACTTTTTTTTACCATCTCAATTTTGGTGGCTTTAAAAGGTCCCAAGAGCTATAAAGATTTGTGTTCTGATTATGATTTAGAAATAAAAAATGAAAGTTCGAAAAACAAAGAATTATCCAATCCAAGATATTTTGAAAGATATTCTGAATTTCTCAATCCTCGGGGTGATTTTAATTTTAAACTAGTAGGATATATTGGTCATATCTTAATTTGGGGATTTGATCGTCAAAGATATGGTTTAAAGATGCAAAAAAAAGATTTTAACAATACTTTTATCTTTAAATATCAAATCAAATGTTCAAAGTCAATGATTTTGAGTGGTATTGGAGGAATGAATCTTTGGGATAAAAATCAAAAAAAGGATAGTATGCCCTTAAGTAAATGGCAAATTTTAAATGGATTAAAAAAAAGTTATGAATTTGATGAAGATTTGTTTGTTTTAATCTTGAGATTTATGGGAATTGTTGATATTCCCAAGATGATCTAAGTTTTTTGTGCATATGATTATGATTAAAATTATGGCTGTGCCTGGTAAAATATAATTTCAGTTATTGAAGAATGTTATTATCGGATATTTTAGTCTATTTTCAATATGATTTTTTAATTGTTCTGATATGAATGAAACTCAATTGAAAAAAAATAATATAATGATATTTGGAAATAACTTTGATTAAGAAATTGATTGAATTTTAAAAAAGTAATATAAAATAAATTGACAATTGTGATGAATAATGAAAGAAAAACAATTTAAAGATACACTTAAGGGTAACAAATCTGATATTCAAAAAAACAAAGGTAATTGATGAGAAAAAGACAATATAAATTCGAGAAGTAAATTATAGTAAGAGTTTTGTTTTTTTGGTATACTTTTTGTTTGTTTTGTATTTTTTTTTGTTTTGTAATTTTTTTGTATTTTTTTAAGATTCTTAAGATTTGACTGCAATTGTCTGTAAATCTATGTAAAGGTATGTATGTAGTAGGCAGATGAGTCTTAACTGCGGTTTCCTAATTGGGAAAAACAACATCTGATTCAATTCTCCCATGATTCATGAAAATATTCATATAATTACATTTGTGGTCTCAAGCCACCAACATTATCCTCCAGACAGTTCTTTGTGCTCTTTATTTGAGTCAGGAAACACTCTTAATAATATAAAATATATTCTAAGAAAATATAACAAAGCATTTGAAAAAATTGGTACTGAATATAGTGACTAAATGGGTATCATTATATAGGTCTTTTCTCTAAACACTTAAAAGTGTCTGATCTTGGATTGANACCATCTTTATCACCTGTTGCTCTCAAAGAAGCATTGATTAATATGTTATATCATTTAGAAAAGGAAAAGAAGAAAAAGGCATTGATATCCCAATTTTTCTACGCTGGTAATAAATTTTTTTACAGTGAACAAGGAAATGCAAAATTAATTGATATCGTTTGAAAGCATTAATATTTGATTAGCAAGTTATTGCACCTGGTTGTTACTAGATATATAGTAACAATATATGAATAAATTTTTACAAGTACCTTTTGATGATTTTATCCACTGAAGTAATTAAAGTATTAGCCATCAATAACATGAATTGCTCCATCTTCAAAATTCAATTAAGATTATTATCAATGATAATTATATTGGCAGCAGAAGAAGTACCATTTAGCAACAAGAAATTTCTGTTTTATAATCTGAAGTCCATTTCCATGTAT